AGCTGATATCAGCCAAGCCTTCGACTATCTTTCCCCCACTAAGTCCTGAAGTGGCAGGGGGTAGCGTTTAAGGAACGCGAGGGTTGACCAATCCATTCACATAGAATGGGGCAAAGCCTGTCGAGGTATGCACCGCGTTGTTCAACGCAAACTCTACCAGAGGAGCATCGCGCCTTATTGCTTGGGTATATCAGCACAAACTCTGCGAAGCATATCGCCAATAACGCGGTTGACGCGTTCAGTCTGACCATCGGTCTGCGGATGATCCGCCGTGGATGTCTTGTCAAGTGCCGAGCACTTTAAAGACGGATGTCCAAAACTTACCCGTAAAACGGGGGTCTCTATCCGAGACGATTGCCACAGGCAAGCCTTGTTGTCTAAACACACGATCCATGAACAGCTTTGCTGTTCCTTCTCCATCAATGGAGTCCGGCACTGCCGATAGATGAGCCATCTTGCTCAATCGGACTACAAAGACCACTATCCCAGTTGTCTGCCGCATCACGCGGTAGGCCAAACACAAAGACCATACTAATGGACTGCCACAATCCCGAGGGTACAAGCAAACTCGCCAAAGGCGCAGCCATACAAGGCTAGGGTTTCACCCTTTGACACGTTTCACACGTGCGTACGTAGGTGCCAACCAATTTATACAACTCAGGCCACCAATAATGGGCGCTAACCGTGCTGTAGGTCTTTTAACAACCTAAATGACCACCAAGGGGTGTAGCATCGGCCTCATAAAGTATCTGATACTTGAGGTCCTCATCATGAGGCACCACAACACGAGGCTGGTCATCCGACCCTGTACTATAGTACAACAGACCATCGGTCAGTGCATAACGATGTAATCTCGCACGATTACGTGGTGACAACTTCACCTTAGAGTACTCAATCTCTGCGCTACCTAGCACCTACAGAATAGCAACACATGCCTCATCGCGTGCATACGCCACACGGATACGATCCCGTGACAGACGAACTCACAACAGTGAGATGAGCAAGCTCATAGTCAGGTCTACGGGATAACGCGTCAGCCAAAACATTCTGTTTTCCCGGCTTATACTTCACCTCGAAGTTATACTCCGGGAAAAAGGAGAGCCACCGAGCCATTCTCTGCGAGAGATGAGGCGATTGTGTCGCTGTGCGTAATGACGCATGATTGGTATAGATCAAAAACGGCTTTGAGCCCAACAGGTGTACCCTGAACTTAATAAGGACATACTTCATCGCAAATAGCTCCTTGTCATGAACTGGATAGTTCTTCTCTGCAGCTTTCAGCTGGCGAGACTCAAACGCGATGACGCGTTCTCGTTCCTCAGAATAGACTTGCAAAAGTGCACTTTCAATAGCAAAGTCCGAAGCGTCACATACGACGCTAAACGGGCGATTAGGATCCGGTAGAGCCATAATTGGCGCCTGAAGGAGACTCTCCTTAATGGCTTCAAAAGTTTCGTAGTGCTCGGTGTTCCAACACCATTCCACATCCAGTTTAAGGAGATTGGACAATGGCCTAGCCACTTCCGCATAGTTGAGGCTATACTTGTGCAAGTAATTTGCCAAGCCCAACCACTTGCGGAGGTCCTTCTGGCTCCTCGGAACCGGCCAATCCACTATGGATTTGACCTTAATAGGGTCTGCCCGGATTCCTCGCTTCCCAATGAAGCATACGAAAAAGGTAATCTCTTCCGCACCGAAGATGCATTTGTCAATATTGGCATACAACTTATGCATCCTCATGCAACCGGGCACAGCTCGCAGGTGCTCGATGTGATTCTCCCCATCAGTCTTGCCATTTCGGCTCGACTATGAACGAATATATCGTCAAAGTATGTCTGTGGATACGCACTATGGGGCCGAAGCAACTACGTCACTAGACGATTAAGCGTTGCAGGTGCGTTAGATATCCCTTGAGGCGTCACAAAACACTCTCAGAGCATACCGCTCGGAGTACTGACCGCTGTCAGCGAAATATCACTAGCTCGCATGAGCAGTTGGTAATATCCATCGACTAAGGCGAGGGCACTGTATATCGCACATCCCATCATATTGTTCTGAAGAACATCCTTGCGAGGAATCGGTGTTTGTTTGAGCCGGGATCGTGGCTGCATTCAGCTTATTGTAAGCATGCACTATTCGCCACTTCCCATTAGGCTTTCTCACACAAAACGTGGGCGTAAAGTGAGGAGACTTACTCTCACGCACCAAACCAGCCGCGTGCTTCGCACGAAAGAACTCGTCAATGACGTCACATTGTTCTCGTGGCAGCGGCCACTGTCGCGTCACACAGTATTTGGTCCCTGGAACCAAGTCATTTCATGACGTACACCTCTATCCGGAGGTAACCTCGTCGGAGGTTCTCTGGAGACAACATCTCCATATTCCTTCAACAAAGGAAAATAAGGATCCGAAGGGTCCTTCAGGATCTGTGATCCACTACGCGCATTCAGCGCCTTCTTGGTATCTTCAAGAACTGCGTTATCCATAAGCGATGAGGAGTTCAACTCCTCATCAGGCCACTTCGGCGATGTCGCCTGCCTGTAAGGCAATGCCAAACTTGGCAAAGGACAACTCATCTAGCTCTAACAGAGCACTAACTGCGGGTATAGCTGAAAGAGACACTGGCTCTTCTACATCCCAGTCAAAGCACTGACGAGTGTATATAGCTGTTTGGTATCACTGTCACTCACGATGTCATCATCGCTACTCTTGATGCTCTCAGCATCCGACTCATCAGCGTCCACAGGTGTACACGCCTCAAGGTCAAAGACCACTTAGTTTACTGACTACAACTCACCCTCTTGGGTCAATGCCTCGTCATGAGATGTTTGCACCTCGTTGTCCTCAAAGACAATCGTCATTTTTGACTTCACCCGACCCTCTTGGGCCAGTACCTCGTCGTTAGGTGCAGGCACCTCGTTATTCTCAAAGATAACATCCATTAATGACTTCACCCAGCCCTCCCAGTTCCTTGTCGTTAGGTGCAGGCACCTCGTTATTCTCAAAGACAACATCCATTTGTGACTTCACCTGGCCCTTCAGGGTCAGTTCCTCGTCACCCATGTCACTTGGCCTCATATCCTGGCATCTTGGCTTGCAGCCACCAACACCACTCACGGTGTTTAATGATGTAACATCATTCTCATGACACATGTCATATGTGCCATCTAGTGGGTTCTCAACCACACTATCGACAGTCATTGGGCCTCGCTTAGGACTATTGTCCTTGACATTTACAATGTCTACAAAGTCGGATATTCCGACATCCAACATATTGACCGACTCGGTCCAATATCCGCGCCAAAAGCGCTTTTGCTTCCTAGCAGAGGTGGGTTCATGAATCTCTAGAGCCCTACCAGGAGCATTGCGCGTTGCGCCTAAGGTCTTTGACCTCCAATCAATCCATGGCTCATGACGTTCTAGCCATGCCATGCCTAGGATGAGGTCATACCTCCCATTCAAGTCTAAGACCAAACAGCGTTCCATGCTGTTAAAATCCAAGAACTTTACATTTAGGTCCATTGGGATTTGGGTATCGTAACACGCGTGCCCGTCGCGAAGCGAGCTGTGACTGTGTCACTTTCACGCGCTACAAGCGATTCAGCATACTGCTGACTACCTTCCAAGGTGGCACGGCGCACATAATTGCCCGATGCCCCCAAATCGATCAAAATGATGCATGGCTTATCATAGCCCTTAATCGTCCCTTCGACGACTAGCAAGCCTGGCTTGCATTCTCGTTCCGTTTTTGAGAGTTCGGATCTCTTTGGGGCTGGGCCCTGTTTACTTCTACCTCCTAGAGGTTCAACTGAACTCCGCCCCGCGCCTACTGGCTACTCTTTGTAATTTACAAGTCAAAGCATATGTGACCATGTCACAGGAGCAATGAAGATGTTGTTAACTTGTTACGGTAGCAAAAAATGTGAAGATGCTGAAAGTTGTTAGCAACAATAAAGATCATGATTCACTGTGGTCGAGCCAAAGGATGCGCAGAGGCGTCTTGGGAAACGAACATCGTCCGATAACGCGTTGCTTTATCAAAGCATGAGGAGGCTGACAACAACTCACAAAGCACTTCACAGTTTAAGAGGTGAATTGAACATATAAACTATGAAATACTTGACCACAACAGGTTGTCCATTGCATCAACTAGTTGCTCGTCCTATCCGATTTTTTGTCTAACTGAAGTCGAAGAGCTGTTTTCCGTGTCTCATCTCAAGATTAGATGCTAACATCAAGGTTGCCGCCAGCCACAATTTGTAATAAAGTCTTTTACTTTAGGTATGGAACTACATGAGATGTCCAGTGGCTCGGAACCCGATAACTGCTTATCTTTTATCGTAACCTCGAGCTCCAAGGGGATTAGACAAAACAAAAGCCCTTGGAGCTTTGAGGTTTGCTTGGTACTAAGTTTCTTATAAATTGCACGACATACAACTGTGTCAGCGTCGTCTAGACTTGTGAGTGACCGCTGTTGCAACATGTATTGGAATACAATCGTCGTTCTCGATGTCCATGACCATCGGTCATGAAACGAAACTGTAGTTTGTTACAAGCGGCCGTACCGTTGGCAACACTATATCATCCATTGACACAGAATATATCGCATTTGGATAAGTACAAAGCTTTCGTTGATGTAGACCGTAGCAACAAGAAAAGTGGCACCGTCAGATGTGCTACAACACTCGAGTTGAGGGCTGCTCGAATGTAACAGGAATTCCTGCCGCATTTCACAGCGGCAAAGAAGACGCTCTATCCTGGCTTTGTTCTCAAGTCTGGCTAATTCATGCGTCGGGCAAATGTACGTCACGAGTCTTGACTGTAGATTGATCAAGCACGGCGGGCGGGACCCATCAATACCAGTTCTGTACACTGAACAGGCATTGATGGGTCCTGCCGTCCGACTTTTCCAAGCTCGAAGAATTGTCGATAATCTTACAAAGCCCTCGGCTTCGACCAAGACTTTGATTCCACTTTCACTCGGTTTGTCTTACCTTACAATGAAAATTACATCAAACTCGCTTGTCCAGGTACAACGTTGTCATCATCCTGAGGCCGATATTGAAGCAAAGCTAATGTGTCCTCCTGACCAATGTCGTATTAGAGTAGGGGGGGCCCGGGTTCGGGGAGGCCGAAGAGCTCCTGGTGACTTCAAGAAGCACTATTTCTCAACTCTGGAGGAAAATGCCAAGTTTACGATCCAAACTCTCATGAGAATACCGGGACTGGATGTGGTGGTTCCTCAGGGTGCGATGTATGCTATGGTACGTGCAAGTTGCAACAGATCTATGAGATGGTTTGTGAACGCAGGAACTTACCATTTGGTTAATCCGTTGCAACAGGTAAAATTAGAACCGACATCCTAGCCACGATCAAGGATGACTTGGACCTTACACAAAAGCTGCTGGATGAAGAATCTGTCTTCGTGTTGCCTGGACAGGTAACTAATTACACGATTAAGCCGTTGGTGACTTTGTTTTGCAGATTAACTAACGTCTGTCACTTGCTATCTCAAAGTGTTTTGGGATTGCCAACTACTTCCGTATCGTGTTTTCAGCACCCCACGAGGTACTTGCTGACGCCTTCATTCGCCTTGCCGAGTTCTGTTATCGTCATCAATGATGGAGATCACTGTTGCCGACTATGGTGTGTAAAGAAAGCAATCGAACTTGTCTCCAATACAGGAGACGCGACGATGATGCACGTACATAAATACAAACTCGATTTCATTATCGTTCTTGTTTTATGTGGCGTTTGCATGAACAAAAGGGATCGCAAGAAACGATGTCAAGAACGGCCTTAGTGAAGAAAAAATAGAGAATCGTACTTATTTTAGCGTCAGGTCGCTAAAGCATTGCAGTGTGAGACCGGTAGCTGACCGGTAATAGTCATCACTGCTTAACACTATATCATCAATACTGGTGGTAACAGACAGACAGACATCACTTCACTTGCATTCGTTACAACATGAGCCGAGGACGTGGTCGTGGACGCGTACGTTTTGGTGGCAGCCGAGACTCGATGCTTGCAGACATTATGGATGAAACACGTGAGGATTTGGGGCTTTCACATACGCAGATGGAACTTGTGCACGTACGACTTGACTCTTGTTAAATGTAATGGTTATCAGGCATTTAATGATATTTGCTACTGGTGTTGATATTTAGGCAGAAGCTGGTGCATCGCTGTATCCACCCATGCAGTTACCACAACCTGAAGCACTGTCGAACCGTGAGGCTTATTTGATTCAGAGACAACGTATTCTAGCGCATAAGCTCGAGAATCTGTATCATCCGTGGGAAGCAGACCCGGTAGGCCCAGATGTTGGACGCAATACGTCCGATGCTGCAGCTTTTGTACACGTGACAGTGCCAGAGACACAAAAGGCCAATGAAGTGTACGTGCCAGAGGAGTTGCGAGCTAATTCGCTCAGTGGACTACGCACAACGACAGCGGCAAACTCGACGAACCGTGGTATCATGCAGCCACGTGCGTTTGAAACGGTATTCAAATCATTGGAAGCTCAAGAGAAGAAGATTGCGGCTGACAAGGCCAAGGCAGCAGAGCAGGAGGTAGATGACGGTATTATGGACGATGTGGAGGAAGATCTGGGTGACGACATGAACGACTACACATTTGACTACTACGATAGTGATGCAGTAAGCAACGACGGTGACGAAGAAGTGTTCTTTTAATGCCATCTTCTACCGTCGTGCTACAAGTTGAATGACGCATGGCAACATACGAAGACGGCTGGGGATTGATAGACCACGAGCATCCTATTAGGTCGCTCGTCACAGCGACCTGAGCACACAACGCGCCAAATAGATGAATTTTCATGCATAGGCAAACCTTCACCATTCCCTTCATGAATCAAGTGCAGCACCAACACACGCACACACAATATTTAAGCGGTTCACACTGCAAATTATCTTATGAATGAAGCTACAAGCGGTGGATCTTACTCATGCTCTCCAGATAGCAATGACGAGCTGAGCGGCCCCAGTCGATTCTCGTCTTGTGTTCCGTCAGAGATCGTCGTAGTTTCCGTGTTAGCTACGATGCCGTCGGCATTAAGCTCCGCACTTTTCTGCGCCATATTGGAGAGAGAATAATTGTACATGACAGAATAGTTTGCAGGCGCAATTGGAAGCGGTTTTACGCGGCGCATAACTTCACCAGGGCGAGGACGCGTGCGTGGTCGACCCCGCGGTTTTCCTGTTCCACGCTGTTTCTTCTTTGCCATCTTGGCCGGACGATCAGAATCTTCATTTTCCTCCTTTATTAATCGATCATCAGAAGAACCATGGTCCCTAACAACAGCACCAGGATTCGACATGCCAGGCAGCATGCCGGGAAAACCTGGCAGCAACGGCATCGGTAGTCCATATCCCCACATGGGAAACTGCTGTTTCAATGTCTTTTCTTCTTCTGCCTTGGCTCGTGCAGCTACATCCTTTTTCGGTGGTCGACCGCGTTTACGCTTGGGTACTTCGTCCATATTTAGTGGAACAGTGTTCGTCCCAGTTAGCATTCCAAATCCATCTGCGGCCCCAAAAGGCGATGAAAGTCCCAATGACTCGACAGTTGATGGATGATACGTAGGTGACGTTTCACCAACTTGTGGTAATGAAGACGTCGTCGGTTCAGACTCGACCGTCGTCGTCGTCGTGCCAGTCTCGTCCGAATTTGTTGTAACCTCGACGGATGTCGTTGGAGTCTCCTCAGAAGCAGTCACAGATGTATCAGTGTTCATTTCTGGTAGTATAGATGACGTCATCATCGTTTGTTGCTGCAATGGCATCATCAGAGGAAACATTGGCATCATAAAGAGCGCCAGTTGCTGTTGTTGGAGAGCTGCAAGTTCACTAGGGCTCATATTTTGGCTCAAACTTTGTAGCTGCTGTTGCTGAAGTTGAAGCAATTGCAGCTGTTGCTGATGAAGCTGCTGTTGGAGGATCGTTTGCTGCTGTTGTTGCGCCAAGTCATTGCTCTTGGGTGTCGTGTCAACTGTTGGCTTACCATCGTCTGACATGACGCTGCTCCAAGTCCAAAACGAGGGGGGATTTCTTCCTGTCGTTGAACGCCGTGCGGATTAAAATCCAATAATGAGTGGAGAAGCGCGGCCATTCGACAAAATAGGGAAAAACCTTGCACAAAACCGGTTTTTGTCCAAGGGTTTTTTGTGTGCTCGAGGATTGGTAGAAAAGAAACACATACATTAGTGGCCCGTTGGCTCTTTTTATCTCGTCTTCTTTATATTTGTAAAATAGACAGAAGTTGCCAATACATTCAACAATGGATAATGACGACATGGTTGGATTGTTCAAAAAAAACGCTTTGAAAGACGCAATCATGACTTGCCACAGCATATGTCTTCAATATGGTATACGTATACGTCAACTAAGACAATGAAAGTCCTACCGTAACAAACACGCGACAATAAATAAGTCGGTATGAGTCTGAGACTAGACATTACTGAACTGACAGAATGTCACGCCCACCTTGATGGCAAAGGTCAAATGATGCGATCTGTCTTGTGACTTCATGACTTGCCACCACTAGTTGATACTATTTGATAGAGCTAAAAAGCACAATGCATTGTATGTCCCTATATATATATGGATACTGATTGCATCGTCTGTAGCAAAGGCCATGCATTGTTGTGGATTAACATTGATTGACTGAACTCAGAACTCCACAATCCTCTTATGATGCCATCCCATTCAACAATACGCATTTTTGCAGCCGCTGCTTGCTCGAATATCAAATCCTTTGACAATACAACCAACGTACATCTTCCATGTGTCTCTCGCTATCCTTTTTACACCTTTTTGTTTCAGTTTTGATTTTACACCCACTCACTCAGTCACAACACGTTCAGTCATGCGTCGCAGCATCACCACAAGCTGTTGGTGTGTTTGGGTGTAAAGCGTCATCTGGTCACGCCACCAACTGCCTACTGTCCCCGGACGTTTGGAGTTGCTCAACAAGGGGTGAAACCCCCAATCTTTTTCGATTCGCGTTGTAAGATTGCCAAAAGTTGCGTAATAAGGGACATTTTCTTCTCGCCAGACAAAAGCAGTCGTAAAAGAGCTCCTCCCGACCAAGAAACGAGTGCATACTTTCTTCTCCATGAGCCTCCTTCGCCATTCCCTGCGTGCCTTAAAAGCTGGTACGTCTATCTTCTATTCTTTCCCCTCTCTCTCTCCATATGTTAGTTGTTCAAAAGTGAGCTATATTGACTCTAATCTCGTCATTTTTTACAGTCAACACTACAGCTCCTCTTGGCCCCCTTGTTGCTCGATTCTCTACTGATGGTACAGTGTACGGTGTTCCAGAGCAGAATACACCTACGGAGGACCCTCAAGTTGTAATTCCAGAGGTACACCAAACACTCGAGTGGTGCCTCTCGTCACCTCCTCCTCTTCATCAATTTGATGAAGCTCCATTGGTTATTGAAACGTACGGTGATGTGGATCCATTCCACTAGACAAATGACCAAACGTCCTAAGGACTCTTTCATCATGTTGACCACAAGATGATTCATCTTGTGTATCATCATAATCTAAAGACCTCAAGTGACAAATACAGAGAAAAACAAACAGTTACAACAACCACAAAAACCACAAGAGCATGACACAATCTGGTAACTCTCTTTTCACAAAGATGCAGGTTTGTTGCATTGCTTTTAAGCTATTGTGTTGTTGCTATGGTAGTAGTCTCTAGTGTTGTAAACAGGAAGGAATCAAGAGGTGTGGCAGGATGGATAAAAATGAACCAATGATTTGTAGAAAAATGCATCTACTTTCTCTCTCTCGTCATTTTATTCGCGTGCTGCTGCTTACAAGATGACAGCTTTAATGATGAGACACACATCATGCGGTCTATCTATCGTCGCCAAGTGTCCTTAATCAGCTGGATATCAGCAAGGTCGTCGTTGACAATGTTTGTCAAATGCTCGAGTCCCTGTCGCTGTTTGTTCAAAAGCTGCCGAAATGCACACGATATTGCAACCACGTGTCAACGATTTTGATTGACAGTGATAGGGAATGCACCGATTGTACGCACCTCATAGAGTCGTTGCAGATCTTGTGGACTGAGATGACTTGTTGGAGGCGGCGTTGCCTCCTTTTGAACACGCTGGAGCGAGACAGCATCATTCAGTCGTGCTTTGTACTGGCCTGGCGAGTCCAACAACGTTTGGAGCTTCTTCAGCATCATCCTGTAAGTCAATCCATTCATAATGACAGAGAGTTAGTCAAGTGGTAGACATGGTCGCGTGGCTGACATTAACGCACGCCAGCTGTATCTCCTCGCGTTGAAGCGGCTTGCCGTAATTCTGTAAAAGCTCAATGTCCCGCATGACCTTCACTAGCGCGTGAAACAGCTGCACATGCTCATGACGACACTTTTCCAGCTTTTCTTCTGTCGCACGGGTGTGCTTATCCATCTCATTAAGCTGTGCTCGTAGGTCGTCCGTGTACTTGTTGTACTTCTCTGCGTGTTCTTGTTGCGCTTTGATACGCTTCAGCAGATCACTAAACCCCAAGATAGGAACGGGAGCGCAGTTGAGCGGGTCTGGATTGTCCAGCTCTGCTTGATTCCACAAGCGTTCACTAATGTGTGGTGGTCGAACATACAGGTGTCGCTGTGTCGGATCAACCGTGTTGTACATGAGGAACTTGAAGCGTGACTGAGTGGGATCCTGGTATGCAGCCTTGACTGTGTTCAGCTGAGCAACAGAGGCATCTGCACCCAAAATGATCGGAGCTGGAGCAGTTGGAGCCGCAGGAGCTGCACCGAGGTTAGATAACGCTGCACCAGGAGGTGTTGCAGTGCCAAAACCCGTACCGCCAAGATTCCACAATCCTGTTGCACCCGTACCAGTACTAGGACTATTTCCTGTACTAAAGCTGAATCCAGTGCCTGTATTCGCTCCAAACCCACCACCAAATCCAGTCGTTGCAGTACCAGTCGCTGAAGGCTGTTGTCCAAAGAGCGCAGGCTTTGCAGCAGAAGTAGCACTAAAACCAAACGATGGTGTTGTATTTGTAGCCGGTGCCGCCGCACCAAAGCTGAATCCCGAGCTTGTAGTAGTCGGAACTGTACTTGTAGCTGTTGCCATGGTACCAAAGATAAATCCAGAGCTCGTAGCAGCAGGAGCGACTGCATTCGTCCCACCAAAGTTAAAGCCACTAGATGCAGTAGGTGTAGCTGCTGTACCACCAAAACTAAAGCCACTGTTTCCACTAGTAGATGGAGCTGTACTTGTCCCTCCAAAGTTGAATTGATTACTTGTAGTAGCAGTAGTAACAGCAGCAGGCGTAGCACCAAAAGAAAAACCACCACTAGAAGCAGTAGAAACTGGTCCAGAACCAAAACTAAACCCCGTAGATCTAGTAGAAGGAGCCGTAGACGTCGATGCTGTTACTGATGGAGTTGCAGATGTTGTAATTCCAAAATTAAAGCCACTAGAAGCTGCAGTTGTTGCTGTTCCTCCGCTAAAATTAAAGCCATTAGCCGCCGCCGACGGCGTCGCGCCTGTCGTCGATCCAAACATTTGTGTGAATTCAATGTCTTTGAAAGATTACAGCATATGCAGTAGCGTTATTGAACGTGTTTTGATTGGCTATAATGTGGTATAATAATGTCCAATCCGTATATTTTATTTATCTACTAAACAAGTAGCAGGAAATCACACTATGGTCGTAACCGATCAAGCTACTTTAGTAGCTTCTTGTCGCACGAAATGGCGCGTTGGAGAGCGTCAAATACCTGAATCACGTCATCAACTAGCACGTGATGTGATTACGTCGAACGAAGCGCATCCATTGGCTATGACAATGTCTTTTTCTCGTATAAAACACATTAATCGAGCTGTCTCATCACGTTCTCCACGACATTCTACGTCTATTGCTCCTTCTAGTGACTCAATTGGTACGAAAAAGAGTGAAAATGAAGTCTTAAGAGAGCTCGTGATACTTCAAGATGGAGATGTGGATCCTTTGGGAGTTCTCACGTCGTCTAGCGATGGAAAAAGAACGTCTCACGAGTCTGTAGTGATGATGACGAAAACAAGGTCAATTGACGTCGTTTCTACGGCTAAAGGACCTTATAAAGAGGATAAAACAATGCCACGTACAGTTAAAACCAAGTGGGAGGAACATACAGATTGCCTCTTGGCGAAATATGCAGATTATACGTTCAAGATTAAAGCAAGTATGCTCGAAGTGAATGAGGTTGAGCCAGAGCTTTTATTTGATTCCACGAGCAATTTATACCACAAGGAAGATACGATAATGACTGTAGATGCAGCTTCAGTAATGAAGAAAACACGTGCAAGGCTTGAGCAATTGGAGCGTGGAGGACGTGAGAAGACTCGATCTTCTGTCTTGGCACAGGATGAAGAAACTATTGAAATCTCACAGAGTCAATATGTTGCCAAAGTGAAAGAAATGCAGACGAAATTACTGGTCAATTGGGAACAGGATCATAAAGTTGAGGCACTTCGCATTGCAATCAAGTGCGTTAAACTACTGGCAGACATTGACACGGCACCTCAATTGTATCCATGTGTATTTGTATTGGTGAGTGAAGTGCTGGATACTTTTGGAAAGCTCGTGTATGATCGCATTCGTACACTAGCATCCGAGGATGAAAACGGACAGCCACTTTCACAGCCATTAGGGGAGCATTTTACAAGCTCAGATATTAATGTGCAAGCTACTGAAACGTGTCGCAATTGGTTTTACAAGTCGGCTTGTATTCGAGAGCTTCTTCCACGAATGTACGCTGGATGTTTGTTTGTTTGTTTGTTTTGGACGTATGTTGCTAACATAATGAGTTGTTTACTTGTGCACGTCTGCCTAGTTATGTCGAGGTTGCATTGCTTCGGTGTTACTGCTTTCTTTGCGATGGCGAATATCCGCAGATTGTAGCACGGCTATCAAACATGATCAAGTATGTGACCGTCTGCTGTTAATGTTTGTCTAGATATGTGAATGTGTCTAATCTATTGCTGCCTTACAATTGTTGTTTTGTTGCCAACTGCTTAGAGGTATCGGCGAGCCGATGGTTGCGTTATACGCTCGTCTGTATTTATCACTGACCAGTTCGGAGCTATTGGGCACCTCTTCTCCAGCTGACCAGACTGTCGTAGTGAGCAGTAGCCTATTTGATTACTTTTACGCGTTCCACTGGTTTCGACAGCATAGGCTTGAGGACTGGTTGCATACGCACAAAATGGAATACGGAGAGTACCTGGCGCTACATTCTCCTGCAGTGGAGTGGCTTTGTAAATGTGCGGCTCCAGGCGCCACACAGGAAACCTTTGATTCGCTCTTGGCACACTCTCAAGCATATTTTGACAGCTCCATGGTGTTGAAGCATTTGTGCGAGTGTTTTGGCGCTCAATTCTATGCCTCGACACCAAGTTTAATGTTGGAGCTAATTCGCACTGCTTCTCCATCGCTTGTTTCCAAATGCCATCTTTACAGTTTAGTTGCAGTGCAACTTAGCAGTGTGCTTGCAGTTGCTGAGAATGAATCAGGTGGAAAGCTGCAGTTTTTAAACAGTTCCTGGTCATTGATTACTGCGCAAAACGAGATCACGCAGTATATGGAATGCGCGGCAGCTTACATGAAGCTCATTGTGGCTCATTTCTCGGTACGTTGACTGATTGACCTATTTATTGTTTTGAGCAACAAAAAGCCAATCACATTACTAATGGTGTTGTGGTGACAGCATCGCGAGGCCCTCATTCTCCTAAAGGATGTTGTCCGCCACCTGAACGCAGCTATCCCTGAGGAGCTTACGGCAAAAACGTACAATCTACTTGGTGCCTTGATTGAAAATGTAGTTTTCGGCGCCAAGCAACATTACGAGTTCTTTTTGAGACTTATCCCGTCGCACCCTTTTTTGGTGAGTGTCGAGCGGGTAACACGTGAACGGTCTTTCGATGCTAATGTGTATCTGTTGATGCACGCAGACTCTTATGGACATGTTCAAGCGAGAATCGAGTGTGAATGTGGCGAAGAAAGTATTGCGAGCCTTTGTTGGAGGAGATATGAAGAAATCACTCAACCGTTCAGGCACCTTACGACTCCACGTCGTTGGTCCAGAGGCAGCTGTAGCGCACACACTCTTGGTTGTATGTTGTCGCGTGCACGATGCGCTTGACTCTCTCAGTACCGTGTCAGAGCGCGCTGAGGTTAACCGCGACATATCGGCCTTCATTACACGGCTTGGATACGTCAATGAAAAGGACGATGTGAGTGAAAGAGCACAAGATGAGGAAGTAGAAGCGCTGCTTATGCTTTACACAGACTGTCGTCGCGCGTTTTACAAGCTGGAGTCGATTAAGATACTGCTGTCAACGATGGTTCTCCGCTTAGCGATGCACGTACACAAACGTATCAGCGGTAGCGTGGTGTCGGTTGGGAGCAAGAAGCGTGCTCATGTGCGTCGAAACTTTGTACAATCGTGCTTAGCATTCGCTCACATAACGATACCATCAATCGATGCGCCACTTGAAAAGCTGCAGCTAATGGTGGCGGCGGCAAATGTAGCGTTGGTAACGAGCTGCATACCGCAGATGGACGCAATGGTGAAAGCTGCCATTATATTTCTCGCAGATCTTGATCTCAGTGCTGTTCGGTCTAGCTGCAATAGCAATAAAGAGTCAGGGATGATGAGCTTTTTTGCTTCAAGTCACGGTGCTGCTGTTAAACTGTTTGGTGTGATGGGCATCAACAGCACCAGCATTAAAATTGATCAGGTCGTGCAAGTGATCGCTCAGTTGGCAAGCGTATTGGTGTATGCTCCATCATTGAACGACGACGATGCGTTTTATTATATAAATGCGCTGCGCAAAGCTGTTTTGGAGCGTATGGTATGGACTTCACGGACCTTGTCCTCCCTGTCATATCAACTTGAAGCGGGTGTTGCTCGTGTACGCGTGTTGCTCATGCTTGTTCAAGTCTATGCGATCTGGGCACAACGGTCACTACCAGATCGTCTAGAGAGTGTAGACTCGAATGACGTGCTCTACTGTGGCGATGACTCTTTTTACAACGAAGTTCAAGCGCGCTTCAGCTCGGTTGTTGAAGAAGTAGCACGAGACATCGAGTTGTTAGGTCAAATTAGCAAGGACAGCGACAGCGACAACGTGGGGAGCGCAGTTACTGACCAAGTAATGGCAGCGCAGATTGAGCTCATGTTGGACGTTGTCAACTTGGTGGTACCTTTGCTCGAGTATGACGAAACTCGACCGGAAGAAGCTCTAGTCACAACCAATCCATATTGGGGAGATGAATTTACCGACAATAGTCGAAGCGGCAGTCGACGACGTAAGAAGTCTCGTTCTGGTACTGTGTTGGTCTGTAAATGCATGATGTACAGCCACGAGAAAGTAAAATTGCTGAAGCAAGCCAAGCCAAGAGATACTTCGACAAACCAACTGCAGATGGCCACGTGGATCTGTCTCTACTTTAATAGCACGCGAGCGTACGTCGTCAATTTTATGCTGGAAATGTCGAAGCGCACTGCAGGTATTCGTCGAGACGCGACAAGTCAGCATACAGTCCAAACTCTTGCTGATGCTCTCAACCAGCTTGTGCTATAAGGTATCCATGCAGTTTACATCGTAAGGTTCGAACAAGTCGCCGGGCAATCAATCAACCGCGATGGCAAGCTTTTACTCCATCACGAAACGACGTTGCCATCAAGCACTGAATAGGATCCGCTTCAATTTATGACCCATCAACTTCGTCCTCGCCGCGACTGCACGCATGAAATAGCGTGTGGAGGAGATAGCAAATGCATTTTGGAAGATATTACAGACGATGGACGACCTGGTATATAGCTCGCTTTTGGAGAGGTCACAGGTCATTTACGTGCTAGATGCATGACCAAAAAAGCACGATCGTTTCATGTATTGCTTTTTTTACCTCGGGCGGCAGCTGTACAAGATACTTTGCCCAATATCGACTGAGTTGATCGACCCTGGTTGGTGTCACGGAAGCGGAACGTTGTAGGCCGCAAACCCAGGAGACCCGGAGTTTCGGTTGGTGGATGATACTTAAGCTATCACGGAAGCATCTTGTGGATGGAAGAAGACGGAGAAGCTCATATCGAGCAACAACACGCGGATCGATATGACAAGCCGCACGGCGTCGGGATCAACCGCAATGGCATTCATGATGAGCACCACATCTTTCTCTTCTCCAAATCGAAGTTGAGTGCGTGAAAAGCTCGACTTGTCTATGCTAAGATCCTTGAGTAGAAATCGCATCCGTATCACTCTCTTGATACCATTATGTTCTCTGCTTTATTTGAGCTCAATGCAACCGTCTTCAATAAGTTGAGAACCACACAACGGGAGTACGACACCTTTCGTCATGACGCTTTGAAGTTACAAGTCGACACCATACGGAAACTGCACTGCATAAGCATACCGATCCGGTAACACGTTACAGATTGCGATGAAGGTGGTGATGCCATCGTACTTTGGACGTACAAGTGATACCGGCTATGAACGGAATAATGTCGAACGTTTGATCATGTAATGATAATCCATCAGGACCAACACTACTTGAGCTTGATGTCAGCTTCGCCGAGAAGCTCAAAGATGATGCTTCTGTAGCTGCGCGCTGACGCCATGTACGCCTTTCGACGGTGCTTCGTAGCTGATGAATGCTTAAGCGCAACTATGAAGCTCACTTGCGCCGCTTCTTCTGCAGTGCCCCTACGTAGGCGCTATTGATCAACAAAACAGGAAGACAGAAGGTAATTTGCACAACATTTTTATGAATTACCTGCCTCACACCCAGCTCCAACAGCGTGTTTCGACACGGTGAATATAGCTCGGGCCTGCCACTTATTTGCGCCGTCGCTTCTGGCCCCTGTTGCTAGTGCCACAGCCCCGTGATTTGCGAGTGTTGTGCTTCCGTTGCTCGTCCAATGCAACCCGAAGCGGCTCAAAAACGCTTTGCCCAAGACCAAAGTGCTTATCTTCATTGTATTCTCCTTCATGAAGTTGATGCAGATGCCGGCGATGGTAATGTGCAATTGGAATGGCTGGAATGTAGCACAATTTATCAACCGGCCTCATGGGACGTGGTGCACCGGCAAAATCGAATTCACCCGGAAACTCGGAACTTGGACTTTTCAAAGTGAATACATCAACCGGAGCATGCTTCGCTTCTTCAGCAAGTTTCTCCTTTTCGATTTTTTGCTCTTCTAGGTCACGGTCAAACACCTCCAAGTGCAGTTCATTTTCAGTGATAAGACGAAAACCTGCAGGATACATCGCCCCTGGCCATGTTGTCGTAAAGTTCTCCTCAAGCACATGCAAAGCTCCGCTGGTAGAGACGGCAAGTACACTCTGCCTTAATGAATCCCATGTCAATGCCAATACACCATCTTTTACCCCAACATTGTGCTGTGCGGTTGTCTTGCCAGAATTAGAGGCACGATGCCACGTGAACAAGCCGTTTTCACCAACATGTCGATGGCGTACCACCGGTGTGCCGACCACAAATTCTTCGCCGCCGCTGAAGCAGCAAACTGCCCAAGGTGCCCGCACAGCGCCAGTTGAGTGCAGTGCCACCTCGCGCAGCCCTAGTGGATGCTCTTCCGTCGCAGCAACGCATTTGACATCTAGATCATCCGGTACGGTGGCTGTTTCCACAGCAGAATTCAGTGCGAACTCGTGAATACCTTTCGAACTCGTAAGTAGCACTGCCGTCTCACGCAAGTTCACACAGAGATCCATAAACTGAATAACTACGTTCAACTTGAGACTGTCAAGACACTGCAACGTAACAGCATCCAAGACGGCCAGTATTGGTTTGGACGTGGCACAGTAAATACGCTTTCCTGAATGCCCATACCGCGCACAAGATGCAAGCACAGGATGCCGTGAGTTGCTTTGAAGGGTTGGCTGGGAGACTTCTGCATTGTCTAGCGGTACACTTTTCAGCTCTGTACGCTGTCCGGAGACAACATCCAGCAGCACTGGGTGGGAATTCCAATAACTCACGGCTACCAACTTTGGGTCATGAGGGTGTGCACTTAACGAGGTGATCGTACCATTGAATTTGAACGCTGAAACAAGTGTTGCAGCTTCTACATCCCACACACACAACCTTGCTCGTCGTGTCGATTTCTCTTCACATCCAACAAAAAGCCAACGAGAATCACACGACCAACAACACTGCGACACCACCTTTAGTGCCGTCTTGACCACTCGAAGATCTTCCAGCGTCAATACAGCTCCCCCTTCTATCGTACGAGACTCATTACCTGCTACAATTTCTCCACTCTCATCTGCTTTGGCTTCTTGGTCTGTCTCCGTCACCACATCTTCCTCAATTGACGCCGCATCATTCGTTCTCTCCTCTACTTTATCTTCCACCAACGTATCGTCCCTGTTTTTTACACCCACTGCATCTCCTGGTTGTACGGTTTGCACGGTCTTTTTAGCTCCATCTTCAGTCTCAAGAGGATCTTCACCCTGTCCATTCAACTTGTCAGTATCTTTACTTGACTCCACGAGTGGCAATACAATCAGCGTCGGATCGAGCTCTCGCGTAATCACACGAATGGTTGTATTGTCCCATATGGTCACACGACCATCACGCTCACCCACAGCAATGAGCGTGTGTGATGTATTCAGTGCCAAACAATTGGCTTGCTGGGTGTCTTCAAGGCAATTCCACGACGACGTTGGCCGCGATAGCAGATGATTCTGCATACAATCATCAGCTTCTTTTAATTGTACTGCTTTTTCTATACAAGACGCTCGATTTATGGCCTTTAGCGTCTTGTTTTCATTGCTACAAGCTACAGCACGTCCTTCCGCGTCTTCTACGACTGATTGTGAAGCTTCTACTGGGACAATCGAGCTCAAACTAGTAGCATTCGATGCAGTAGATGAAGTAGAAGCTGCCTGTGCTAAATGCTGTCGACGCTGTTCCTCCTGCTGCTTCTCCTCCGCGTGCACAACATATCGTAGGGCTTGATTCCACATGCGATTTATAAAGGTACATTCGGGACGATTCTCATAATTACAATTCTCGCACCAGGAATGATGGTCATTTCTATATATTCTGTAGAGCAGTTCTGATATTTTTTATGATAGTTCATGAGTGGGGAGAGGTGAGGTGTTTTTCTCTCTCTCTCTTTCAATGCATTAGTTCATTCATTTTGTAAGAATTCTTGTAACTAATCGACATGACTTGTGGGATCAATTCCAAGCCTACGTACCCCGTTGTACGTCGTGATGACGACATGGTTGAAACTCTTCATGGTATTCAAGTCTCGGATCCCTATCGTTGGTTAGAAGATCCTGATTCATGTGAGACACGTGCGTTCGTCACGCAACAGAACACTGTAACACAACAGGTGTTTCACGACCAAGTACCGTATGTCGCAGAAATCAAAGCACGATTGACTGAACTTTTTGATTATGAAAAGTATTCAGCACCAAAAAAATACAACAATCAGTACATTTATTCCAAAAATAATGGACTTCAGAATCAAAGTGTCTTGTATATACAAGATGAATTACATGGTGAGCCACGCGTGTTATTAGATCCAAATCTATTTGCAACGGATGGCACAGCAGCTCTTTGTAGTCGTGGGTTTTCCGAAGCAAAACTTCAAGATAACAAGTTATTTTTTGCATATGGCGTTTCATATGGCGGATCCGACTGGCAGACGATCAAAATCATGGCCGTACACGAGAATTTTAAGGTACTGGATGATACAATTGAATGGGTCAAGTTCTCGACGATTACATGGACACATGATGATAAAGGTTTCTTCTATTCACGATATCCTTCTCTAGAAAAGATGAAAGGTAAACAAGAGACGGACGATGAACGAGAGCTCGAAAAAGGAACGGAGACGGATTCAAATATGAATCATCAGCTATGGTATCATACACTGCATACGTCACAGACACAGGATAAACTCGTGTTCGCGTACCCTAGTGATCCCACGTTTGTTGTTGGAGCACAAGTCTCGGATGATGGCAACAAATTACTCTTGTACGTTCAGGATGGATGCAAGAATGCCAATATGGTTCACGTGGCGGATCTGAGCGACTTTGCAAACTTTTTGAAAGGACCGAGCGACTCGACTATACCAGTGACACCACTTGTCGATAACATGGATGCCGCGTACTCGTATATTCTGAACGATGGTGACTACTACTACTTTAAAACCAATGCCAATGCTCCTCGCGAGCGTGTAGTGCGTACCAAGCTGAGTGACAAACCCGAGTGGGAAGAAGTGATTCCTGAACAGCCCGATGCCATTGTAATGGAAGGTGTACACCCTGTTGCGTCGAACTTGCTTGTTGTGCAGCTTCTTAAGGACGTGCACCATGAATTGCACGTGTACAATCTTGATGGTGTATTCCAGTACGAGATTCCGCTGCCCACTGTCGGTACCGTCTGGGTGACCAGCAAGCGCACGGAACCGGAGCTGTTTTACCACTTCGTTTCGTTCCTGTACCCGGGGTCAATCTTTCGCATTGATTTCTCGAAAAACTTGGAAACAACTTCCGGAACGGCACCTGATGCTGAGCTCTTCCGTGAGACGAAAGTAAAGGGATTTGACCCGAGTCAGTTTGAGGCAAAGCAAGTCTTTTACTCGTCCAAAGATGGTACGAAGATTCCTATGTTTCTTGTGAACCGTAAGAACGCGCCAAAGAATGGCGAATTGCCGGTGTACCTGTATGGGTATGGTGGCTTCAATATCTCGCTGACACCGGCCTTTAGCGTCGCGCGACTCGTTTTCGTCCAGCACTTTAATGGCATGCTGGCACTGCCTAATTTACGTGGTGGTGGCGAGTACGGCGAGCAATGGCATCAAGATGGCATGCTGCACAAGAAACAGAATGTGTTTGATGATTTTCACAGTGCTGCCGAGTACCTTATTGAGGAAGGCTACACGAACCCTAAAAAAATCGCTATCAATGGCGAATCCAACGGTGGTCTGCTGGTGGCGGCTGCCTGCAACCAGCGCCCCGATCTCTTCCGTTGTATCGTAGGTGCAGTGGGTGTCATGGACATGCTGCGTTTCCACAAGTTTACTATTGGCCACGCATGGCGTTCGGACTACGGTGATCCGGACGTAGCAGAAGACTTCCACTGCATTCGGATGTACTCACCGGTTCACAACGTTCCGTGCGCTGGTAGCCCAATCATGCAAAAGCTCGCAGAGCGTGGTTTTCCGGCAGTGCTTTTAACTACCGGCGACCATGACGACCGAGTTGTGCCCCTGCATTCATACAAGCTTATCGCGGAGCTACAGTACCAGCTCGGTCGCTCAGAGGTACACACGAACCCCTTGCTCATCCGCATTGACACGAAGTCCGGTCATGGAGCTGGTAAGCCTACCACCAAGCTTATTGAGGAGACGTCCGAGGTGTATGCCTTTATTGCATGGAATCTTGGTGCACCTTTTGTTGCAGAAGAATGCGCGGCTAACAGTAACTGAAGTGCTTGACGGGCAGCTACATTCGTGACTGCAATACCGTTGCCGAGCGCACCTCTGCTTGTTCATCAAGCCGATGACATTAATCAATGATACACAATATATACTTCGTTCTTCGAAGTTTTGGCAAGAGTCAGGCATGTCATTGCTCTTTACGCAGTTTCAAATATTTCCGCGGTTGCATCATCAAGCACAGCTCTACACGCAAATATTGCATCAGGGTCGCACAATATGCTCACAGGTAGACTGCCCTCAAGTTGAAGTTGTTCCTTGCTAGTGGGGCCAAGCTCATACGTGTTGGAGCCTTGGACTCGCATCGTACATTCCATAGCCTTTTGTAACGACAAAAACGCGTCGTTGATTTGATCTTTCGTCAGCAAAGCAAATCCTTGCTCCACACTAGAGATCAGTACCGTAAGTCCAGACACAGATTCTGCAAGAGAAGAAGGAGGCAATGCTTTTAGTGCAGCCTGGACCGGCTTGAATAGTGCGCTATCCATCACGGCAAAGTCCGGAGAATACGGCGGGAGGTGCTGCATTTGGATGTTCCAGCCTTCTTTTCGTCCTTCTTCAGCAAACGTCGTATCACTAGAGCACCGAATCTTTGCGCTATCTTGCTGAATGTAAATAGGACCATGCATGAGGTGCACTGGCATTTTTGACCGAATGGCCGGGACAATCAGTTCCGTGATCATACGCTGGACATCGTCTTTTGTCACTGTCTCTAACGCAACAAATGTCTGCTCTGATCTCTGCTGTAGAGACTTGATACCTGTGTCACTAGTTTGCAATTCTTCTCGCAAAAACGGCCACGTACCAATCTTGCCGTCAAAGTACCCCTTCTTGTGTGGATTCCATTGTGGTCTCGCAACCGCTGCCATGACCATAACTTTAGTCCTTTTGTCTCTAGGAAGTGAGAACCACTTCATATTAATATGCACAACATTGTGCATATCATGAAAAAGACCATTGGGTCGTACTTTCTCGACACAATATCGAAGTCGTTCAAGTCGATTCTTATCTGTAAGTGACGGTTTGATCGCGTTAATAGTCGGACGTCCATCCTCCTTCAGCAATTCGTAAAGTGTCGTCTTGGGAATCCCAACTGCCGTCGCGAGAGCTCGTATTGAACCTCGTTGAGCCAATGGTATTTCTTTCACACGTTCTAATTCCGCTGACCAATCTCGTTTCCGACGACCACGTCGTCCAGCTTTACGTGATGCAACATCACACACATGATCGCCATTTTCAAGACTCTGGACTGCTCGTTTCCATAATCTTGAAACAGTCCGTCGATCAACGGAGAATTCCATTGCAGCATCGGTTACAGCATGACGTATGAGCTTTGACGTGCCTTCTACACGTCTCTTCATGAGAAAATCAAGCATAGACCGACGTTCCTCGTACGTTAGATTCTTGCTACCGCGTTCTTTCCATAGATTTGTTTTGGTATCAGATATTGAAGTAGAAACTAGTGAAGTATCTTCAGTGTCATTTGGATGTACTGCAACAGTCAGTAGAACGTCTGGTAGTGGCTCTAAAGCTGTTGACGGGACTAAACGCGATGGCTCGTCATCATCCATTACTGATGATTGTCTTTAATAATAATTGAATGGACGAGACAGTTTAAGCTGAACGCAATACTTATTTGGATGTTTGATTGGTTTAGAACAAAAAGGTCGCGTTATGTGGTACACACACTTCAACTTCAACATCTCACCCCACTACAACCATTCCTTAGTACTTTTGTCATACCATCAAGATGTCTCTTTAGTATGGACATATTGATACAAAAGCTTCACGTTTGCACAAGATACTTACGGGTAAACTTCCGTCCTTTTGTAAGCTCTTTTTCGTCGCATCTTTTTGTGATTCGAAATCATTGGAACCACCAGCTAGTAGGATACACTCCATTGTTTTTTGTAAGACGAGAAAAGCATCATTAATCTGTTGCCTGGGCAGTGCAGCAAATGTTTGCTCTACACCAGTAATAAGCTCTTCGATAAGAGATAAATGTGAGCCACTAAGTTGTGGTGGAAACCTTTCGGGAAACATACGCTTGAGAAGACCATGATTTAATACCACGAGCTCAGGACTGTAAGCTGGTTGATATTGCACGCGAATGTTCCAGCCATCCGTGTTTCCATGTTGTGCGACAACCGGGTCATCAGCTGTTAATCTCACCTGCTGATTGTCCATTTGAATAAATACCGGCCCATTGTGCAGAGGTCTTGGTAAATTTTGTTTAATCGCCGGAATGACATTGTTGATAATCATTTCTTGAATCTCTCTCTTCGTAATTGTCTCTAGCACATGGAACACGTGACTGGTTTGTGATACATCTACACTATTAGATAAAGGTGTTGTCGTCATAACAAACGGCCATACACCTAATTTGCCATCAAATTGTTTCTTTCGCTCTGTATCCCATTGCGGTCGAGCAACCGCAATTAAAAACATGACTTTCTTTCTCTTTGTGTCACGTTTGCCTGGTATCGAACACCACTTGGTGTTAATATGCACCATATTAAACATATTGTCAAACACTCCATTCGATTGCAGTTTGCTACAGCAGAATCGTACTCGCTCCTTCTTATTCTTATCCGACAGTACGGCTTTAATCGAATTGGCAATCGTTGGTTTGAGTTCATAGCTAGTGTCTTGTTCAATCGTCGTACTTGTGCTCTTAGTCGTTCCTTCATGACGAAGAAGCCGAAAAAGTGTCGTACGTGGAACTCCCACAGCTGATGAAAGAGCTCGCAGTGAGCCACGCTGGTTTAAAGGCAGTTGTTTCACTCGTTCCAGTGCAGCAGAGTAATCTTTCTTCTTTCGACCACAATTGCCTCGTTTTTTTGATAGTACTTGCTTCAGTACAACATCAGTAGATGCACCAAGATCCAATGATACTTTCATTAAATTCCAAATACGTGACACTGTATTGCGATGGACCTGGAATTTGTCGGCAGCAGCCGCGATGATTGCTCGAGGCAAACGAGCTTCACCTTGACTTTGTTTGAGCAGATAATTAGCCATTAAAAGTCGTTCACGATCCGTCATATTTGGTTTCCGTCTTCCTTGTACTTTATCATCGACAATAGTAAGTTTTACCATTTCATCTGCATCATCTTCAAGCTGAGGAGAGATCTCCATAGGAATAGGCCGCCTAATATAGTGGTGAGATACCTAAAAGACAGTCGGTTTCTTTTTCTACCAATTATCACTCGAATTAACACCTTTTTTATCCTATCATAATCGTTTAAATGCTTCTTAATGACTTTTGATTTGATCAAATTAGAATAAAGTAAACAACATGCTCAAGTACCAGAAATGGCTTGCTGCCTTCGTCTTATTGCTTACACTATGGCTGCTTCTATTGTGGTATGTTTCTGAACAACATGTACAAGACCCTTACGTGATACATATAGTCAAAGGGCTGCCAGTGTATGCACTTGTGTCGTTTGGTGCGTATTCAGTGCTGGTAATTACGCTATCAGTTATGGCAGTACAAGACTTTCCTGAAGCATCTAAGGAACTAGATTGTCACGTGATGGAGGCGAAGGCTGATTTGAAGAAGAAGGGGTTTCAATTCTAGAAAGAATGAGGATGGAATAATAGAACAAGAGAAACGTCAAGGCAAGAAATGACAGAGAGTTGATAGCATCGATAACATTAACAACAGGATGGTGGTGTGTACTGCATTGATTGCAACGCTTGAAACACGTAGACAAGCACCGTTAGGATATCGGTTGTAAAGTTGCTATAACGTTTGACTAATATGATGTAACCACTCAACTTTACCTATACACTACATTATGTAATGTGAGTGTTAGGCATTGACATTATGTAATGTCTGACACTCACTTAAGTGCGATATATTTGTGAGTGGATCGCAGTAGTTTTACAATCAACACGAGCAAAACGCCAAGTGATTGACTCCAGTCTTTAACGGTGTGGCTACAAGTTGTCTATCTATATATTATTGACATAGAAGACAGCGTATTAATTATTCTGCACTATCTTCTCTTTCAATTGCACCCTAGATCGTTTCTGATACACAAGTATACACGTCAATCCAAGCTCTTGAAGAAGGAACCAGTACTTATGGGAGGCGAATGTGTACCGGACAATTGCCGTGAATGCGGAAGCGCGGACGTAGTAACGGATTATAGTGCGGGTGATGTTGTATGTCGTAGCTGCGGTATGATCCTCGGTGAGCGCATAATAGATGATTCTCCCGAATGGCGAACGTTTGCTAATGATGATCGGGGTGGTGACCCCGCTGCCAAATCCAGGGTCGGCGACGTCGCGGACGCGCGGCTAGATAGTCTTTCGCTGACTACATATTTGGTGGATACAAAGAAAAGCAGTGGCACTGAGTCGGGACGTCAACACAAACGCCCCAATGTCTCGTCCGACAGCGCTAAGGTCAAGAGGATGCAACGCAATATGACGCGCATTCAAGAAGTTGCAAGTTCATTATCGATACCAAAGAAGATTGTTGAGATTGCATTGGACGTGTATGCGGAAGCTGAGAAGCAGAACGTTATTGTGCGAGGCCCTGAACGCGAGAGTATGACTGTTGCAGTGCTATTTATTGCATGCAGGAAAGCTGGTAATGCACGATCGCTCAAGGAGTTTGAGGAAGCGTCAGGAATACCAAAGCGACGCATCGGTAAATCCTTTATGACTTTGCAGCGTCGCTTGGATCTTGACATCAAACAAGCGACAACGGAAGAGTATGTTCAGCGTTTCTGCTCGAGACTCGGTCTACCAAATAAGACACAGATGATTGCACATGCTGTGGCAAAGAAGGCAGATAGTCTGGAATTGTCAAATGGCCAACCTCCTGTTGCAGTAGCGGCTTCAGTGATCTATCTTGTGGCAGCTTACACGAATGCAAAGCGTTCTATTCAGGAGATTAGTGACGTTACGATGATTGGCGAGAAGAGCATGAAGAGAGTATGCAAGGAGCTAAACAAGAGTCGCGTGGTGCTTTTTGAAGGTGTGGTGATGACTTAGACGGCTGCTGGTCGTGACGCCAAGAGAGGCATTGCGACAGTATGAGTGCAAAACTGGTGGTGAAGCATTAAGGCCTCGTAAGTAAACAGGAAGAAGCCATTGAGGTCTAAGGTTCGTATATATTTATAGAAGACCACACATCTCCTATTTGCATGGTAAGACCAATCAAGAAATTCCGATTCTTGAGCATTTCAAAAGTAGTTGACACGTCTTGTCTGAAGTGTCTGACTGATGCGTGGCGCTCTGTTCTGTTGGCGTTGTCATTTGCTTCCAGGTCAGGTATAGATAGAGAGCGACAAAGCTAGACAAGCAGTAGAAGCACTGCATGGATGAGAAAAAGGTGTCAAACGTGCCTTTATTGTACACTAAGTTTAACTGATTGGCTATGAATATGGAGGACAATTGTAGACCTATCAGTCGACCAAATTCTAGAAGCAGAACTTTACTATTTCAGTAACTAATTGTGCAAATAGCTCTAAATTGGATGTATATACGGATGTATACACAGCACAAGCTCGATCTTATTCAAAAACATACTGCAAACATCTCTCGACTAACAAAATAGCGTCCTAATCGCCATCACCTTTGCAAACATACCCAAACTAAGCTCAACTGCTGACGCATTTCTGAAACCCAAAATAGAAAAAGCTGCAAAAAAGCCACACGAGAACTAAAAAACCGTACTTAGACTCCTTTTCTCACAAAGTTCGTTTTGTGGTTTTGCTAGTGAAAAAGCCGCACTTAACAAGAACTTTACCAAATCGACAAAACCTTTTCTCGAATGTCCAACATTCTTTCTTCCGTCAGTCATAGTCAAATCAAGTAAAAGACCAGTCGAACCAAAAATCTCTAAGAAACAGTCACTTGTCTCTCCTTCTTTTAGTTCTCTAGATACACAGCCATGTCTACTGCTGCACGTCGACGATTGATGCGTGATTTTCGTAAGCTTCAGAATGATCCACCATCGGGTGTATCAGGTGCTCCTATGGACAATAACATTATGCTCTGGCAGGCGGTTATTTTTGGGTACGTATCAAGGACACATTATAACGCCACGACATTATTTTGGTTTCTAATCTCGTGTATGGTTTATTTTTATCTTGATTATTGTATACATTATTATTTAGACCAGATGATACGCCGTGGGAAGGTGGAACGTTTAATTTGACGCTTGAGTTTAGTGAAGATTATCCAAACAAGGCACCGACTGTCAAGTTTATTACGAAAATGTTTCACCCAAACAGTATGTAGAGACTGTATTATGATGATGTTATGGTTATTATTGATTACATGTGTTGGTTGATTCATCATTGTGTGGTTGTAGTCTATAACGATGGTCAGATCTGTCTGGATATTTTACAGAACCAATGGTCGCCGATCTATGACATCTCTGCCATCCTCACGTCCATTCAATCGCTGTTATGTGACCCGAACCCGAACTCACCGGCAAACTCGGAGGCTGCACGCCTTTTCCAGGAAAATCGACGCGAGTACAATCGACGCGTACGTGAGATTGTCGAGCAAAGCTGGCAGGCGATTGCATAAGAAAAGGCTCATTCGTCAATGCACTGTAGTCGTTGGTTGTAGTGCACCCACTACATCGTTTGTCTCTTTAATTTCTCTGAGCAATGTAACGGGATATTGCAGCTGGGTCATCCTTGTTGGTGCACTGTCTTTCCTGTTTTGTGGTTTCTTTTGCTCTATTAGAAACAAACAATTGACCAAGAGCAGAGAATACATTGTGGGTGATGCGAAGCGAGTGTCAGACGATCGAAATTTACGACCACGAGAGGAGAGAGAGGAACAAGAGAAGATGGAGCTGAAGTAGTAGTTATACATGCACGAGGTAAGGAAAACAGGAAGATCGCGAAGTAGGTCGAAATTGGCCAGGGATGGACGAGCAAAAAATGAAGGACAACACTTTAATTGCCTAGGTGTTGGACGCGTTAATTGATGATCGTTTACTGCTGGGCAAACGGGGCCTCTGCAGCTTCCTCTACACAATCAAGCAACTGGTTCGATTGAAGTTGCACCGGGTTAAAGCACAGTTTGTTCGTGGATGTCTTGACAGAGTTCGATGCAGCGGTAGTCACGGCAACCGTCCCAAAAGAGGACAGCTGAATATTGCAGCCTAGATCACGCAGCGCTGCATAGGCTTCGTCGCCGCAGCCACGATACTGTTGTGCTTTACAAAGCAATGCCTCGATTTCTAACTCATCGTGTAAAAAGCATGCACGCAGCTCCACGTTACGGGCCACCATGTTACGCACGGCCAGACTGGCTTGACGCAATACGGATACATCACTATGATGAGCCTGCATAGCTTGCGAGATATGTCGAATAGCTCCAAGCTCGACTAATGCACGACTGTTCTCGGGTGAGCGAAGCGCAATTGCAGCCAGCGTAGCGCATGCATTTTGTTGAATAGATGCATTGGCTTTGTGACGCCTCATGATCAGCAATGTCTGCTCGATACCTCCAGATTGTAGAAGTGCACGCTTTAGATCGTCTACCGCCGCCACATTTCGAAAAACTGCTACACATCGTTTCGTAACTTGTGCGCTGTGTTCATACTTCTGCATGAGATGTTGTGCCGTAGTCAAACCCTCCAACTCAGCGATTCGCTTGCAGTTCTCTTCCGTCACGGCAAGTTGCTTGAGTACAGCAAGCCAGTTGACCAGCAGATCCAAAGACACGTCGACTACCTGTTCTGCTGTATCCCTGCATCCAACTTGGCGTAAGACATCTAAGCTATACGATATCACGTCACGTTCAACAAGGGCTTTGATCGTATCTTGTGCTTGCGAAAACGTCGCGCGCGGATCGTCGTTGATAGTCAGCACACGAAAGCAAAGTGCAAGATGCTTTGACAGAGCTCTATTGCTCTTAGCTTTGCCTAAGTACCCACAGAGCGCTTCAACACCACTGGACTTAACAAAGTGCGTCTTATTTGTCTCATGCTTGACACAAGTCGCTTTTACCAGCGCCAAAAGCTGTACCACCGTGTCCATATCCTCCCGCTGACTCGTGAGAACCGACACAAGTCGTTGCATTCCTGTAACACCTACAAAGTCTTGATTGTCCATATTGTCTGTACACAGCAGTACCAACAAATTGCAGCAACATATCACCACAGCAGTCGAGAATCCATCCAGCAGAGCCAATAGCGTGTCCACAGCGTTGTTCCGTCCTGCCACCACACAAGCCTCCGGTATCTCTTCACATACTTTAGTCATCTCAGTGACAAGTCTTAACACTTGATGTTGATCCTTTTGTAGCAGTAAAAGCTCCTGCAGCTCCAAAATGAGCCGCTTCAATCGCGTCGGCAGCGATTCCTGTCCCTCGGACGCGTGCATCACGCCACTCTTGATGATATTGGACAAATCAACACCTTGTGAATTAAATTGATGGACTGCATCAATCACTGCTTCCTCTAGTGACATGTCAAAGTCGTCTACATTCTCACTCACGCACTGGTCGAATGTTTCTTGAGATATTTGCTTTCGCTTGACGGTCATTTTTGGACTAAAGAGACGTGAATATTGCAATACATTTCCGTATTATTGTCATATTTAGAAATCCATTGGTGAAACTTGAAAATTGTCCGAAAAAAGTCAAATCATACAGTCAGATGAAGCACGAGATGAAGACTAACGTCGATCTTGACGAGGTGCTAGTGGAGAGTGTAGAGTTTTTTGAGCGATATCTTCAAGAACATCAGATCTTGTGTGATTATCTCAAGCAGGTTTGCTTTGCTGTACATGCAGGATAGTGAGATAAAGAGGTATTTGACATTGGTTTTGATTCTAGGGATTTCTCATGCTGACAAGAGCTAAGCTGCGGCTACAAGAGCACGTACTGAGCGAGATCTCATACCATGAAGAGTTTGAGGCGTTGAATGTCGTGATAATGGACTCAGAAGGGAATTGGCGACTGCAGAATGTATTGGAAGCAAAAGCACAGCATGCAGCAAGCAAAAGGTGCGACGGTGCGATGTTACATCATCGAAGAGCTGGAAGGAGCAATCAGGATGCAGAATCAGTCAGTGCAGTCACTACTAAAGCATCGAGCTCTGATACACTGCTTTGGTTCAGTTCGTTGCCGCCAAGTGATCTCCGTCAGGCACAAAAACAGTTTTTAAATGGTACGTTATTTCTGTAATGATGTCATCATTACCATCGCGTTTTCACTGTATTTGTGTATTTCTTGCAGGATTACAGGCTATGCTGGTGACAGCATCATATGCACACAAAGCTCAGAAAGCTGTTCATGAAGTCATGGTAGAAAAAGCTGCAGGGTCATAAATTGAAAACAGGAGAATGCGGCCATTGATTTTGCATCACTGTATTACTACAAGGTGTTGTCACGGCAACACTTTATCGAACTGTTCAACAACATCTGATGCTATCAAGACGATTGATATCTCATATATTTGTAAATGATGTCACATCTTGCTCATGAACTTGATACTGTCCTCTTAAATGAAGGACAGATTCATTAATGGCGATTGGCTGTCAACTCTTCTTGGTTGTTTGGTGTGCGCTACACCATTTACATGTACATTCACTCTTAAGTGCGTTTTCCGTACTTTTCCTCAATTTCGAGTGTAACGCCAATGACGATCAACTACGTCGCAGAGTCAGCCGAGGGTAGTATCCTAGTAGCGCAACTTGTGAGCCGCTACTTTCGCCCAGGAGGTATTGTTAAGGGTTTTGTAAGGCTTGTAAGTAAACTAGATACTCCTGATGCATATTCAGAGATCGCATACGTAGTCGCTCAAGTCCACGGCCACGTTACAGTAAACAGTAATCTACTGACACTTCCAGTGGTCCACGTACAATCAACTGGGTCTACCTCACACAATGAACAAGAGAAATTAGAGTGTAATCCAGGAGATAATGCTGCACTATTCGATAAGACAGGTGTGGGGCTGCCAGACGTGCGCAAGTTTACAGGGGACACGGGCACATGCATCTTCTACTCGGCACCGTCGGTTCTTTTTTCCGATATCAACATTGCACAAACTCAATCGAAGGTGGATGCAGCCAGTCAACAAGTGAAAGGAGTGATTGGTCCTGTTTCTGTGGCTGAAGCTGCACATGAGGAGACGATAGAGCGTTGTACGCGAGAGTTTGCGTTCGCACTCCCCCAGCGAATTTGTCCGACCTTTTGCGGTTCCTCTGCCAGAGTATTGTACATGATTTCTATCACAGTCCAATGTGCGATGGCTGGAAGTAAACCGGTGTCTGTACACTTGCCATTTGAAGTCTATGGCTCCGAGTACTTTTTCCAGGCTAGCACGGTTGCTAGTGCTAACCACATCGCGGCAAGTCAGCACGAAAACGATGGTGACACTTTACCAGAAGATAAAAGTGCCAAACCCGCCGCCCCAAAGCAGCATAATGTAGGTGGTACTACTCGCGTTGGGCGACTTGCCTCTGAGGCGCCAGTACCCGTTGGGGTGCGCAAAGGCAACGAGATTGCGTTTGAGTTGCGTCCATTGCTCATTCACGGCCGTGTAGAAACAGATCTGATGCAGCGCGCGCAGACGAGCATCTTTACCATTGGCAAGGATAAAAGTCACCTTGTGCGCTTTGTGCTTACGAAACAATTTTACCAGCCAGGTGAAGTTTTGTTGGGCATCTTTGACTTCACTCATGCCAGCATTCCGTGCTATGAGGTATCAGCTACGCTCTGCCTTGAAGAGACTCTTTCGTCAATGGCGTTGGATCCCGACCGCGTTGTTCAGTCCAAAATATTTGGTACATTTCGTGAGCATACGTTGGGTGTTTTGCATACAAATGCGCAGTTTAGTATTCCGCATGACGCGCTACCGACTATCAAGACGGACCTAGTACGCTTCCAGTGGCTTCTACGCTTCGAGTTCTCCGCAGGTACACCTTCGGCTTTGCTAACAGACTCAAGCATCGGAGCCGCACGACAGCGTCAATCATTTCAGTGGCACGTGCCAATCGTCGTGCAGCCTGGACTGATCACAGAGTATAGATCTCATGCTAATGTACCACACAAGCTCTACTCTGGGAGCATTCGTGTAGTATCGCTGTCCGGAATATCCTCGTCTTGATTGTCGTGACGCGCTGACGTGATTCAAAACAACAATCAAGAAGCTCTATCTCTTTTTTTTGGCACGACACAAGCGACTTTAGTAATCAGTTTCGTGTCATTGTAAAAAAAAGGTAGATCGTGTGGTTGTAGTCACAACCGACGACGACGCGTCACATTTGTGTTAAAAGCTTCACTCAAACTCTCAGACTAAGTACGAGGACACTTGATTCAATTTTATCCCGCGTGGCATTATAGTATTCGACAAATAGAAACAAAAGCACAAGGAAGAAGATGACGAGAAAGGTGTGTATTGTCTCGAGGGCTTGGTTGATTACGCTGCATTCGACATGATAAATTACGACTTGAAATCTTAATGATTATGGTCAACGAATGTTGGAATCTGTGATGGAGATGTACTGATTATACTAATGATTTTTATGTAGAGACGTGCTACTGAGATGAATAACGCTGAAGAGGCGGAGGAGGACCCACATGCGTCGGCTGCTGAAGAGGAAAGTAAGAGTACAGCTTTGGACTTGAAAGAGTCGAACGATAGCAGCAGCACAAGTAGCCAAGAAGGTGACGAGGAGTCGCAACCGGAGCCTTATCGCAAGAAGCTGGAGGAAGGAGAACCTGGTACTTTGACTGGACGTCCCTTGCGTCTTTATGCTGATGGCATCTTTGATCTTTTTCATTTTGGACATGCAAAAGCCCTGCAGCAGTGCAAAGAGGCATATCCTAATACGTACCTGATCGTGGGCTGCTGCAGTGACGCCATCACACACAAGCTAAAGGGTCGCACTGTCATGACGGACAAGGAACGGTATGAATCGCTGCGTCACTGCAGATGGGTAGATGAGGTGGTTGAAGATGCCCCTTGGGTTCTATCAGATGAGTTTCTGGAGAAACACGAGATTGACTATGTATGTCACGATGCGCTACCATACTCTGATACTTCGGGTGAGGCGTCGGAGGGTGATGTGTATGCACGTATCAAGGCAATGGGCAAGTTTTTGGAAACACGACGCACGGGCGGCATCTCGACGTCAGACTTGATCATCCGTATCATTGCAGAGTATGACACGTTCATTCGTCGTAATTTGCAGCGCGGATACTCTGGCAAGGACATGAATGTGCCGTTCATTAAGGAAAAGACTATCAAGTTTGACATGGCAGTAGACAAGGTACGCAACGACGTTGATGGATTCGTGCACAAGTGGATCAGCAAAGCTGATGACATGCAGCACAGCTTTCTAGAGCTTTTTAGCAAGGAAGGTCGTCTGGTAAGCTGAAGTTGTTTTGTATTGAATTATACTGTGGTATAGCTTGCTAATATTCTTTGTTTCATGCAATCGCGGCTTCTGCAATATAGCGCACATCATTCCGCAAGCGTCGAAAGATTATCAAGGAGCGCTTGTCAGAGCGCATGTCGGAGATGGCGCGTGAAGGATTGTGCTAAAAGAGTTTTTGTGTGGATTATCCTTACACCCGCACACACCTCTTGCTAGACACAGGTGACTGAAGGTACCACGCCAAGACTGGGCCCGTACAATTGTGGTAGACTTTGACAGCGCTTGATTTGTATAGCAGTAACTTGGATCATTAACTACTGAAAAGGATAAGATTTGCGTTCTTCGTTTGGTGATCGACCTATGCTGCTTCCTTCCATAAGTCATGACGTTGTCTCTAAGTTGCTCATAGAACCCTTATTTTCGAGATGAAAGTTGCACGGAAATATACAAAGTTGCGCTTTGCTGACCAATCACGTTGGATAAAAGGACTAGAACAAGAGGGAGGAGCAAGTGATGGTAAATCAGGCAGAATCGGCAGATGAACGAGCGTTGCGTCGGGAGCTGCAAGCATTGGCAAAAAAGCGTGAGACGATCAATAGCACAAGTATGTTTTTCTCTTCTTTTCTATCTATTTTTGTGGTCTTTTGACGTCTTTAAGCTGCGTAAAGCTCACATATTCCTATACGATCTTTATGCGAATTGCTCTTTTTTCTATTGTGTAGAACGTCGAGGCAGTGGAGAAGCGAGTAGAAAAGCAATAGGTCGAGGAAGTGTATTTGCAAGATTGGGTGGGGAACCAACACGTACAGGCCGACAGGTTGTCCATTTGAAGGTGAATAATACGCGAGGGAACGCTTCGTGGAGGTTGGGCAAACGTGAGAATGAAGACGTTCGACAGAGAAGTCATGCAATGAAAAAGCAGAAACTGCACTCAGCAGTAGCCAGACCAGATGGTGTTGATCATCCTGATGGGGGTGTGGAGACCAGCAGAAATGCTGTCGCCGTTACGTCACCATCTGCTAATAATGCTCGTGCCCAGGAGCGGAAGCAACGTGCAGTAGCACCGTATGCACAGAAGGATGGTATTGCACGCAGTCGACGGATGTTTGGTGCACTGATGGGGCATCTGGGCAAAGCAAAGCGGCAAATTGAAAAAGACACTGATTTGTTCAAGCGCCAGGACACAAAGCAGCATGAGGCGGAGCAGAGGGAGAAGGCGCAGAGCAAGAATCTTGAGGATCAAGCTCGTCTGGAGGCGAAAACAGCGCAACTCGAGGCGTTGATTGTGCGCACTGAACTTGACCGGAGGGAGCAGATCGTACGTGCTAAATTGGAGCATTTGCAGACGGTTCGAAAAAGCGAAAGCCAATCAAAGTTTCTGGTCACTATTGCGTCTCCACCTATCTACTATCTTCCCTCAAGGCACACGAAGGAGACACGGGAATTAGTTGCTGCATCCATGGAGGCTCACGAAGCAAAGGTGAAAGCTAAAGAACGAAGCCACGAGGAAAAACTGCGAAAGCTGGAAGCCGAATTTGAAACCAAATTAGAGCAGCTTCGTGCAGATCTGAAGGCATTAAAGAAGAGCAAGGAGGAGGACAGCGCTGACGAGCAGGCAACTAGCGACAAAGAGAATGATATAATGGACGACAAAGACCGGGACATCGACCGTTTTAACCGTGAAGACGAGAAGCATCGACAAGAAAGCCCAAATGAGCAGTGCGATGGGCCTTTAGCTATGGAAGCTGAAAAGAAGGATACTGTTCAGGAAAGTGTGTCTGGTAGCGAACGAGATGATAGTAGTCGTACAGAATCAAGGATTACAGGTGGAGAGGACGGTAAGGCTTTGGTTCAACCAGAAAGTCAGAGCATCGATGGGAATGAACCATCTACTTCACCTCAGAAAAGTGTGGACGGTATGGATGGGGATCACAGCGACATGGAGGCTTCATCTTCCAGTCGAGTGAACGAGAAGTTAGAGCTCGGAAAGGAGGACGTGATGCCGAACAACCAACCTGCCATGACTTGTGTCGAAAGAGAGCGTGAGGAAGAAGAGCTTGCAAGTCGCTCTGATACTGCTACTGCAGTTGATCGTCATGAGATTGGTGACTCCATCGAGTCCAAAGAAGATGCGGCCGTTGATGTCGATAAGATGAAGGTGATTGAGCTACGAGCGGAGCTAAAGGAGCGAGGACTTGATGCCAAGGGTCTTAAAGCTAAACTTGTGCAGCGGCTGAAGCAGGCAATGCATGACGAAGACGAATCAAAGTGAGTTTCGTATTTATGCTCGACCAATCTACCAAAAAGACTGTTGTTGTTACTTCAACAGCTTTACCCTGTTTTGTTCCCACTATTTGATTTTGATTGGTCGGTATTTACTTTGTTAAATTACCAAAGTAAATTACCAAATCGTCTACCCAAAGTGTGTAATTTAAAGTTAGGAAACAATCAATTCGTTTCATACGTGTCAAGCAACAAGAAATCTACGATGGAATTGGTTCGTCCTCTATGGCTTTTTCTTATGCCCGTGTTACTACTGCTTGCTATGTGTTAATACTACTACTCACACTCTTTCTCTTACTCTCTTTCTCTTTATATACTATAGGAAATACTATATACAAGCCCTGTAAATCCAAAGCATTACGGGTATCTCACGACTGTGCTACTATTAAGTGGTCTTGTGTTTATGGCGATTTTCTTTACACGTGCTGTAGCTCCCAAGAAGAATGCTCTTGTGGAGTTAGTACTGGCTTTGATATCATCCTTGCTCCTGGGTTTTGGCACACTCTTTCTCTTCCTATGGGCAGAGATTTACGTATAACAACCATACGTACGTTGCTAGACAAGCCAGTAGCAGCCTTTTGCTCCAAGTGTTCAAGACGCGAGGCGTGGTGAAGATCATATGCAAGCAAAAGAGACTGGAAAATAGCAAGACAAGCATACGAGTTTGTGGTGGAAACAGTGGGTGGATGACACGATGAAACGCAATCCAATTATCCACTAACAGTCGACATTAGACGCTGAACAACTTGGTTTGCGCACAAGGAGATCAAAAATATGTTTATTGTTTTTGTGCTGCTGCTCGTTGTCGTCGTGTTTTCATCCCTGCGTCGTGTTCAATGTGGTCGTGTGGGGGGTGACAAATGGCGGTGGAGGACGAAGATGCGGGTGTTTGCTTCTCTCTTTGCTTTTAGGCTTCACCGTTCCTAGGTTGGCCATGCCCTGTCGACGTTATGCACTGCTCTCTAGCTACACCATTGCAACCTAGTTCCTTACCCAAAATGAGTTGCTGTCTACCTACTACTTCCCAACAGAAGCGGAAAAAGGCATGCACACTGCATGCCTACACCGCGTCCCAACACTTGGATCATTCCCACTTGGCTTCGATCTCCCTTCTCCCGTTTTCTACTACTTATGCTGCCATCGACGTTAGCTTATCCGGTATATGATCGACCCCTTGCCCATCGCTGACGCGACATTACCTAGTTTGCGCCAGGCATGAGGCTATAATAAACGGTCGTCACAAACTTTTGCTTGTAGCGGTTAGTGATACCAAGCACCATCATGCCATCCTTGATTGCTGTGCAGTAGAGATGGTTGAGTGCCACGTGCTGCGGCACAGGCAGCAAGCGACCATCAACGGTCGGTGGCGCCTAAAGAATCATCACAACACCACACAAGGTGCAAAACACACATGAGTTAGAACCAGCATCATATCCGTGCAGATAGATAGATAGATATACATCTTTGAACGCTCAAAGAGACATACTTTGTTCAAGATAATGTGCCGCAAATGCGGTGGAAGTGGAGGTGGTTCCTTCGTGTACTCGTCAATCTCGGGAATGTACCGCGAATACGGGTTCTCAGGATCATCATCATCATCCTGTATTTTATTCTTGCCCTCAAAATCAGCCAGTGGTGCAAACTCCGACACATCCACGAAATTATTCACATTGCCTTCGACATCTGCCATCGTGAGTTGATCTGGTGCAAACCGCCAGTCATCATCAACGACAAACTTATACATATGCTTCCCTCTTGTAAGGTTGGCAATATAAGTAAAATCATTGCCTGATCGATGCATAGGACATTGTTTATCCCAACCATTGAATGTGCCCGTAATAAAGACATTCCGTCCTCCATGTTCCCACTTGAATACCATCGGGACGACATCTTCCCTAGGTGGTAGGACTGTTGTATCTAATGACATTTGTGCACTGTTTCTCTTGTTCTTTTCGGTCTCATTTACTTCCAAATGACCTAATGACGTCATTTCTCCATCCATGTATGATACACTAGACGTCGTAGCATCAAGTGGTAGATCCACGTCTACATCCATGGCCTCCATGTGGCTATTCTGTTGGGCTGGATGATTATAATACTCTTGTGACTGCTGTTTGCCATCATTATAACCAGATTGTCCCTGCGTCTGGTCTGTGTCGTTCCATGGCTTGCTTGGTTATAATATGGATGATGATGTAGTGGGAATGCGTTTGGATCGTTCGGGTCTGTACCTAAATTCTTGGGGTTTGCGTCATCGGCTTTACTACTGGCACTGCCCATGCTATCAAGTACTTTTCTTTGTTTCAATACGTTGTCTATCCTGTTTTGTTTTCGATGCTATGTACGCTCTAACTAATGAACTAACTAGAAGAGGATGGCAGGCACGTCTAAGTGCTTCTTCACGTTACTTTGAATGTCGTGCGACGGTGCCAGCTGTTCGAACGACATGGAGCATCCACTCGAGCAACGTAAAGTATAGAGGACATGGTTTTTGGTACATTTTTAAAAAACCTTGTTATTGGAATCGTGACGGCGACGCATCAGACGAAGCTCATCATGTCCTATAAATCAGGATCAATGTCTACTGCTGCTGTTGTTATTGTTGATTGTATGCTCTGGCAAAATGAAGACTGGAGTGTCAATGTTGGCTTGACAAAAGTGAATGTCGCTGGCTGCATAAATGCTGGCGTTGTCAGTGTCTTTTTATCCTGCTCTTCATCATCCTCGTCTTCCAGTACTGCAAACACATTGTTTCCATAGTATTCACGCTGCGTAATGGGCTTGGACTGACGAGTTGCTTGATTGAGGGTTGCTGTTGGCATATCTGTTGGAGCATTGAGTGCAGATATGAAGCCATGAAAACCTTCTACTTCACGTGGTTTCAATGACGGCTGCATTGCATTCGCGTTACTATGGCATCGTTCAAAAACAACAACATTAGTGAGTTCAGAGATATACACAGAGAGTCAACAAGACGCACCACTTACAACTGGAACGTCGGTGCTCCCATCACGAATGTTGGCGATGATACAGCAGCAAATCGTGGTCGCTGCAGCTTCTTTGCAGCCATGCGCTCGTCAAAGTTGCGGAACTCTTCTGAAACCGGCGGTGGTCGCTTCGCGAGCTTCACCTTCTGCTTATTCTTGTGTAGGTCACTCTTCTCGGCCGTAACAACTGCAGATCTACTCGAGGATTATCCAACACATCTCAATATCAAGAAAGGAGCTACAACCTTTGCAACACAATACAACACGCACCTCTTCTCGTGTTTCTTGAGTGCCTTAAACATACCCGCCTTCCTAGGCTTCTTACTCCATGCTTTTTTTCCAGCACTTTTATTCGACTTTAACACTATACAATTGATATCGAGACACACAAAAATAGTATCAACAGAACGAAGCATATAGCAGTCGAAAGATAGCAAGAGCGCAACACACCTCCGCTCTTCTTGGCCATGGCTTTATATTCTAATCTTTGTGTTGACACTCTAAATTTCTCAAACCATTCTTACTAAAATAGACATTTCTACTTGATTTCTATTGCAAAAGTGCTGTATTTCTATCACTCTAACACTATAATAGTCACACAAGGTATTTCTCTATCTCTCTATAGTGTCCCCAATGGCTGCTGCAGATCAGAGCATGAGCCTCATGGATGGCACGTACTTTGTCGGTCGCAAGGAGATTCTAGACTGGATTAATAATCTCTGTGGTGTGACACTTTCTAAGGTCGAACAAACGTGTACAGGTGCCATTGCGTGTCAAATTCTTGATGCCATGTATCCAGGTAAAGTCCAGATGAGTAAAGTTGATTGGTCCGCTAATAAGGATTATGAATACATACAAAACTATAAGGTACTTCAAAAGGCCTTTGTACAGCTCAAGATTGATAAACACGTTGAAGTTGATCGTCTCGTACGTGGCAAGTATCAAGATAATTTGGAGTTCATGCAATGGTTTAAAGCTTTCTTTGAACGCAATGCCTCTGGTCAACCGTATGATCCACTAGCTCAGCGTGATAAAGGAAAAGGTGGGGGTCAGTATACACAAAAGTATGGAGGAGGTGTAGCTTCGTCAACGGCTCCATTACGTCGAAAAGTTGGCGCAAGTACGACAACGTCGAGAGTTGGTAAATTGCCGTCGGGGACTTTGACGAACGTCGGGGCGACACGAAACGCCAAGATGTCGATGGGGATGGCACGTCATCCTGGTGATAGCGTCACGGACACGGATGCTGCCGTTGCTGCAGCAACAGCACCTTTGGAGAAAGAGCTGGAGGAGCTCATGGCCAAGAATGAAGCTTTAACGAACGAAAGCGGAGACCTGCGAACGATGGTAGGTGGGTTCTGTGTCATTCAAGCAGTACTGTAATGAGCTGATTGCATTCATTTGAACAGGTTGAAAGCTTGGAGAAGGAGCGTGATTTTTACTTCAACAAACTGCGCGAGGTTGAGATTATGCTGCAGTCGGCCGAAGATAGTGATACAAATCCATTGGCTCAGGCTGTTTTCAAGATCCTGTACGCTACAGAGGAAGACGGGGTGGGAGATGAACAGGTTGTGGAAGACGAACAGGTTGCGGGAGAACCGCAGGACGAGCAGATGTAAGACTCACGTGATGTAAAGTCGAAGGATTGTATAATGTCGCTTAAAGGGCGTTGCCAGTCATTGACGAAAGACATAGCAAGCGTGTTCTGCATACTGCGTTAACAGACTCAAGGAAGGTTGATAACGAAAGATAAGAATGGAAATCAAGGGATCGACGAGATTTTAGGATTGCACACGAGCTGCCGGGAAGAGCTCACGAATGAAAGCAAACATCATGTTTATGTTTTCGATGTTTGTGGTGTGTCTTTGATCTTTTGAACTGCTCTCTACAGCAATGACGTCTCTGAAGTGCTTAGACGAACGAATTTTTGTTAAGAAGGCCTCGTTTAGCATCAATGGATGTAACTATACCATAAAGACGCCATTAGTGTCCGGTTAACCTAGATCTAGGTTAACCTATAACGTTTGTACCCAAATGATCTACAAAAGTCTGTTTTTGTGTAAAAAAGAAGACGTCAAAAATTCGTACATACAGCATTGTGTACCGTTAGTAATGAAATGTGTTTTTTATTTTCAGATTGTGTACCAAACTTCATCATGTCTGATATATGTGGTACTTTACTATCAGTCAAAAGTCAAGAGATAAAGTGCTGTCAACAATAGCACCGACTAGTGTACATCAAATCGACAACGTCATCATCAACGCTCTAGATCACCTACGTAAAAGCATCAGTTTCACTCCAAACCACGCCAATCTTCAAGCATTCTTACAAACTAGTGTAGTACGAATATGCCGTTGTCTCTGAACTTGACGACGAAAGAATGCACTGCCTATCGGGCTCAAACATCTATAACGGAGCTCGTCGTCCTGCTGCAGTCGCGATCTCATGGACATGGACAGAAAATCACTCAACGTTGTGGCAGCGGTTATGCATAGACCACCGCAAGTCTATGAAGATGTCAGCAATACAATTACAGCGAACGGTGAACACGTTTGCTTTTGCACTTGACAAAGACGACCAAGCGAGTGCATTAGTGCACGAAAACTGATTGGAGACACAAAGCAAGTGCTCTCAGGAACGCTCATACTTCGAAGTTTATATGCACAGCATGGCACACAATATGAACGTAATGCCAGCCTCGTAGGATTTACGAAAGCACCTGCATCTAGTGGCAAGAGAAAACAAGTAGTGACGGATTTCTTTCTGCTTTACGTGTCGTCCGATTCTCATTTGCATCGGTCATCCGTTTCGTTTGAACTGCGAAAACCTTTGTTCGCGTAAAAACAAGGTGACAAGGTGACAGTGCAGCTTGTTTGGATCGGAAAGTCTCATGTATTCAACAACGTTTGTCAAGTGTCTTATTCGGCGGCTCTTTGTCGTTGTCACTGCTGTACGTGGCACGCAAAACCCTGCATTTCAAAGTCCGAACGCTTCGACACCTGGTTCAATTCTGTTTCAAGGTCCAAGCTAACATGGTCCCTCTTGGATTCTCCGTCAAACCGGGAATGTCATCATCATGACCGTCCACACATTCATTAGACCAACATCCTGAACAGATATGCCCCATTGATCTTCATTCAACCACATTCTTCGTCCTCGTTGTCGCGTCGACTCGAACCTGCCATGACAAACTACTTCTACAATTCTGAAGACTAACTCACGCAGACATATACGGTGTGGCGCTCTCGCTCCTGTATTGTGCGTGTGCAGTACGTGCAACTCAATCGGCTGCATGATTGAGATGCATGAATGTTTCTTCAAAAATACCGTCTAATGCTATGGATCTTCTTCATCACCATCATCATCGTCGTCGTCATATTCGTCATCTTGTTCTGCGTCACGGGATTCTGCAGCATTACCGATCGTCGTCACAAAGACTTCTCGAGAACACAAGGCAATCGTGATGGCGTGAAACCCGTCGCATGTGATGAAGTTTTCGTGAAGCTTAAGGGTTCTTAGTCCGGCAAGTCCGGGTGCGCTAAACTGTTCACGATCCGTATCGTCTTCAGACGAGGTCTTCCAATTGCCATCCACGCTGTCACAAAAGCTCCAATTTGTGAAAGGGTCGTCGAGCAAATCTGCAAGTGCCAATGCGTCTGTGTCTGTCAGGATGTTGCGACTGAGGTCTAGAGTTTGAAGGTCACTGAACATCTCGATAGCTTCAAGCAGATCACGACAACCTGTTTCACCAATGAAGTTGTTACGAACTGTCAGTGTCTGTAGGTGCTTGAAGAATGCGCATCGATTCTCAAACAGGTCGGTCAGCTGCTTAATGCCGCGATCACCAAGAAAAGTTGCATCAAGCACCAAATGCTGCAGTGGCACCCTGACCTCGTCAGCTTCTGTTGAGGATCCAGCTAATGCTTGCAGTACCACTAAAACTGTCTCGCTCTCCGTTGCAAAGTCGAACGGAGCAAGAAGCTCAAAGGATTGCAGGAAAGGGCATGCTCCTTCTTTCAACGCGTGAGCAACTTCACAAACCAGTTGGTGACCGTACGACGATGTCGACGCTGTCGACGCCGTAAGCGCTCTTGGAAACACGATACCCGCCTTGAAATGTGATTGATTGGCCTGGTTTGAGATCGTGAGACTCGTAAGATTCTTGCATTCGTGCAGCAGACTGCGCAGTCCAGTCGCAGCTCCGTCGTCGTAGTCCTGTGGCTTTGAACCTGAAGTCAGCGTCGCGTCGACGTGCAGCGACTGCACAAAAGACGGCGCATGAAGATACAAAAACTTGTTCATGGATCTACATCGTAGTAAGTCCGAGCTGTCTAGAAACCTGCAAACGTGTCGTAACAGGTCCAAGTTACAATTCAGGACGCACTCTCTAGCACTAGTGCTGTAGATGAAGCTTTCATCTTTCGCAATCATCAATCGAGGTCGCTGTCTCTTGGTAGTAGAAGCTCGAATCGATGCCATAAAGTCTTCAATAAAGTCTGTCTCGGACCGTTTGCGCTTGTAATGTGTCACAAGACCCTGTACACGTCGCCCAAGTGATGACTGATGAAGATATTCACTCAAGGAACCCGCAGAATGGTACAACATCCATTCAAGTCGCTGCAAGAGCGAGGGACTAGTGTCCATGTTTCCGTTAGTCTGCAAAATTGCGTGTTGCTGTGCCATTGCTGCGTGACTCTGTATTTGCACCATCATGAGTTTACGGACTCGTAGGTCGGTTGGATCGTGCCACGTCGGACTCATGGCAGACTCAAAAAATGAGTATGACATCATAGACGTTTTTACAAATGGCGGACGTTTGAGATCAATTTTGAGATCAATGACACTGGAGCAAGTTGCGAAATGAGACGGTGCGCAATGATGATGGTGAAGCCAATACCTTGAGTATGCAAAAAACGGACGGGAATTACGTGTTTTGTCGCTAACTGATATTGAAGATGGGAGATTTTGTAACGTACCACGTTGTGGAGGTATAACAGATATGGCAGGATTTATCTAGAGACTGACCTGTTATCGTGAATATATTGCCAAAAATGTTCTTTATTGATTGCCCATAAAGAATGAAGTTTGATTATGGGACGGTACGATCGCGTATTGAGCTATTTCAGACATGAAGGCTTGAATGAAGCCAAAGCACGTTGCTTACACATTACAAGTCACAGCTGTATCATCAAGAGTCCGTCATCACGTACATAATATCCTCTTTTATGTCTTTAGAAGTGATGAACACGCTTTGACAACCTTATTTCATCTCGAGAAATTGAAGACGTTTGCATTCTCTCGGTAGATTATGGAAACGTGACACGATCGATCAATGGTGTCCATTTTTTGGACATTTGTATAGTATGATAAGTTTATCATATCAGTTCTGTCGTAAGGCAATTGACAACTCAAGCAAAAGGAAGCAGCTGTGCTGTTTTTTTTTGATACAAAAGCTTGCGACGTGTTTAGAAGTGTCTTCCAATAATAGAAATACCGTGTAGCAGTGGCTGTCAATTGGTGATCTTTATATAGTCTAATGCTTCGATTGCTAGATCGAGTTTATGTCTCTAGAAGGTTTTGTACACATGATCTACTACATACATATCAAAGTGCGTGTCACTGCGTGAATATTCTGCTCCATTTACCTCTTAAACTAAATTCGATGCAAGATGATTTAATATTGATTATCAGAATTGACAGGAACTTTTTCTCTAATCTCCCTCACGTCATTTATCGATTGATTACCACTGTACGATGATTACGTTATAGTAGTACCTTACAAAAACAAGCGACAAATACTGTATGTTATACCGGAATTAGCCGAATCTTGAGTGCGAAGGACAACGTCATACTAGTCCCTACTGACCACGGAGTTGCAGGAAAATGTGCAATTAAACCAGTAGTGTGCTTTATCTTCTTGAGCTCGATCGAACTAGGTCATTGCCTCACATTTAATACCTACGAAATACTAACGCAAAAGCGCTTCATAGTCGTCCCTCATTCAATAAAGCAAAAACCATTCGGGTAGGTCGAGTCTGCAACGTCGGAGCGTATCATCCAAGTATGTCAAGTTGATGCGAGAGCAAACTGACAGCCTCCACTGTGTCATCTTTGAGTTACAAAGACCTACGGGCATCTCAATACAATATTGTCCTTGTCAGTACAATTGTCAAAGGGTGTAATGAGGTCCAGTTCGTAAAGATCCGGGACATGCATCTAGCTCAAGTGCAAGCATGATATCTCACTAGCTCAACCTGGTCTCACGTTTTCGAGTCACCAACAAGACAAATGAGCTTTGTCACACTATTCTATGACAGTATCGTCAATTCATCACGTCATGCCAGAGAAACAAAAGCGCAGGTATATACTAAATGAGGTTTCACTCGCTGTCTTGCACCGCACTTCATTTCTTCCATGTCGATCGACGCTGCTTCTTGGATGGTGAAGGCGACGTAAACTTGGCCAAACGCTGCAGGCCAGTCTTCTTGCTGCCCGAGGGTGATGCCAAAGAACCGCCAGGTCTCTTGAGAAACGGATTCGCCGGTGCCACTGACCGCTCTACGCGTGCAGCACTTTCCTTTGTGGAAGCAGCCTTCGGTGAAGCTAAGGCCTTGGTTTCTTGGGTCTCGTCGGCAGAGGCAGTTTCTTTGTCATCGAGTTCGTCACGAGGAGGTGTAGACGCCGGTCGCGACAAAATACTGCGAGCACGACTGAGAGGCTCCACTTCTCGTGACTTGGGCATGTCTTCCATTGTGCTAGGGTGGAACGCAGCTGGCTGTTGACGAGGCTGAGAAGAAGCTTGTATTACTGACTCTTGCTCGAAGCGCTGGGGCTGTTCAAACTTAACGCGGTACAGCTCGTATAGTTGTGACTGTAGCTGCCGTAGAGAGAAGTGAATAGCAAGTTTCTGTGCAATCAAGTGTGATTTCTCCAGATGTAGACACTTTGCCAAGCCCAACACTCGTGCAGGCTCGTCATTCGAGCAAGCCGTCTTCATCATCAAAATGAGTGCCTTGTCCATTTCAGCCTGTTCATGGACTACTTGGTCCGCAACATTACCAGCATGCACATTATTCGCGACTGCCTCAAGTCCACATAGCCGTACATTCTGCCACATGTGACCATTCCAGGCGTCTTCATTCGTCTTTAACGTATTTGGGAAAGACGCTGTGCGCAACGGAAACGCACGAGGTACTGGACGATGATTACCACGAAGCTTCGGAGCTCGAGCGCCATTTTCGAGCGGGAAATAGAGCAACGAGTCGTTAACCACGCCAAGTGTGAAAACGCCGTGACGGTCCTCCGGCTTCTTCTGCAACGCGTTGCCAACACAGCCGATAGGGAACCAGTTCCATCCGGTGCTGGGTGATAGTGCCTGGATACACGAGAACGAGTCCACCGCATATAGAATCTGGCGGTCATCAAAACCGATCCATGTAAGCTTCGACCAGTTTGATATGTCTTCGCGCATTGTTTCATTCTCCTTGTGCGACGCGAATACATTCCGAGGTGGAGGCGTCATGGGTAGCTGGCCCTTCGAGACCAACACAACGCGTTCACATGACGAGTCCACCTGAATGCGAAGAAGCTGGTAAAGCATTTCTCCATATAGTCCATGGTACACAACAGCCAGCAAAGTTTCTTTTGCTGTCATTGTCACGATGCGACCAGACAATCGCAGTAGCACATAGTCGATGCCGCTTGACGTGTAGATCCGAAGAGTATGCAACGAGGTGGTCACCGCACAAAACTCACGACCTGCAGCAACGCATTCTGCATCCTCACCATCAGGCAACCTCTTGTGCCACGAGCTGTTGCTCGCCCAAGACTCAAACGGACGGTAGAAAATAAAGCTGCTGATAACGTCGCTCTCGTCGGTGCCCGCTGCAAGGTCTTCCCAGTCCTCACGAGTGCGTCGCGGGACAGCAAAAATGGCTCCGTAGTCGTCCAGAAATGCCATCGAAAACATGTAGTTATCATTGAGCTTGAATCCTCGACGAGACTTGTCAGCAAACTCCACCTTTACTAAGTTTTCACTCATACTTGCTCCTCGAATCACCTCAATCTCACCCTCTGGAGTCCAAGCTAGCAATGAGGTAGCATTGCTGCTACGTTCTGTTGCGTCCAACGTACTACCAGGCTGGAATGGTTCTATAATGGTGCGCAATGGGGAATACGCATCGTGCGACGATTTCACAGTTGGCAGAGCTGACGCTGAAATATCTTGGTCGTCAATTCGGTCGTCGCCAGTGGCGTTTGCAGCCGAGCCAAACCCGAAACTGGCTTTGATGGCCTCTACTCGTGCATCGTTATCATCATCATCAAAACTTACTTCATCTTCCTCTTTGTGCTTTCCATCCGCCTCAGCCTTTTCATCTCCAAGTGCTGACGCTTTCAGGTCCTTCGTTCCCAACTTCGAGATCTTACTTGATGTGCTTGCAGCAATCGACTGTCCCATTATATGCTGGGGTGGCGTGTGTCCCGCCGGGACCACGTCCTTAACAAAAGCCAGCTTGCCACCAAGGTGATAGACTACCAGTGCATTCGACTTGTTTGCAAATTGAACACCTAATGCCGGATAATCAATCTTGAACGAGCGCAAGACTGTCCGTGTCTCTAATTTCCAGACAAACACCTCTTTTCCACACGTAGCAGCTGCTAGGTACTGTCCATTTGGCGAGAAGGCAAGTATATCCACATCCGCAGCAATACTTTTGCCAATTGGTAACATAAGTTTACCTTTCGAGACCCATGTATTTTTTTCAAATAGCTCGATAATGCCTTTATCCATCGGTACAGCTAGTACTGTATCAGTACCTCCTGACTGCCAAGCACACTGTAGTAAGACATCATCATGTCTTATATCTCCATGCTTGATGTTAAAACACTTTACTTCCACTGCAGACTCTGCAAGGGCATTTAATTCAAACACTCGTACTGTTGCATCTTCACTACTGACACATAGGTAGTTGTCATCGGGATCGAGTACAATACTCTTGATAGTGCCACCAGTAGTAGCCCCTCCTTTTGCAACTATCATGTGTTCCATATTACTACGTAATAAGACTCTCACAACCGGTTCTTCATCTGCAATTGCAATAAACTTGGACGAACACGTCACTTGACGGATTGAAACCGTCGATCGACGTACGAGTTGATCCAATTCACACGTTGGTAAGAACGTATAGGATGCGACATGACACTCCTCATCGGATACAATGAATACGTGCGTTTGATCGGGTGGAATCGCAAAGGATGGAAGAAATCCATCACATATTTCAGACTGACAAATGACCTTTTCTGTCTTGAGATCCGTGACAAATAAAACACCATCTTCTCCACTAGTAATGATAAGATCTTGATTACGAGACACAGACTCATCATGATGATGATGATGCTTGAATGGTTCTAGTGTTGTGATTAATTGCATTGCACCTTTTCCATTCACATTAACAGCTAATTCCTTCATAGTCTCCATACTACTGAACTAACTTACGATGGTTCGGAAGAGTATGGACTTGGAATTAAGGGTACATTGGTCTCTAAATAAGAGTGAGGGATAGAAAGGGGATGATGGTATGGGTACGGATTTGTATACTGAGTATACGTTTTTTCTAGCTACGGATTTGTATACTGAGTCGACATCTTCTCGCTCTTGAATTCCTAGGTAGTATACGTCAAAAATGGGAGACCGTGGGAATGTATACTATGCACCTACGGGTGAGACAACTGAATGGGAAGATATTCTAGTGAAGAAAGGTATTCTTGCACCAAAGACAAAGGTACCAAATGAAATGCAGGAAGAGGAAGAAGGAGGAGGTGATTCACGTGAGAATGCGACATTGGAAGAATTAGAAGAGATGGAGGATACGTACGATGATGATGCGGAATTAGCACGTATACGTGAACGACGTATACAGGAAATAATGGCACAAGCATCACGTAATAAATTTGGTCAAGTGTATCGTATTTCCAAGGACCAATGGACAAAAGAAGTGACAGATGGAAGTACGGATCATTGGGTCATTGCTTATCTTTGGGATGAAGCACTCGAGGAATGCAAAGTCATGGACTATGTACTACGAGAGGTTGCTAAGAAGCATCGGGATGTGAAATTTGTGAGCATTCAAGCTCAGGCCTGCATTGAAAACTGGCCATCGAAGAATTGTCCGACACTCTTCATGTATCACAAAGGTGCACTGCAGAATCAGCTTCTAGGCATTCGCAAGCTCAATGGACTCGACATGAAGGTCAAAGGTACTTGTGTCATTGCGTGTGATGTGTTGATTGTTTCAATATTGATATTGAGCTTACTGTCATGTGGTTTTTGTTGCTTTGGGTACAGATTTGGAAGAATACTTGGTCAAAGCAAACGTCTTTCAAGCGGACGAGTAATCTGTCATGAGAAAATTTCTTCACAAGGCAAAAGAAGAAGAAGAAGATGAAGCAGATGCATTTGACGATAAGTTGATTATCCTGGCAACAATGTTGTTTTCTTCTATCTATTGTCAGTGATTGCTTGATCTTTTTAGTCCTGTAGTACCTTGGGAACCTTGAAATAGTAGCCTGACTTTTCTGCAGCATTTGCCAACAGCTTTTCCGCACAGTCTCCTGCTGTGACAATATCATCCCTGAGTGGAGCAATGACGTCTGAGAGGACACGACACAAACGAATTAATCGATTGAGACGTAACGAAAAAACGACCGTATCAATGACAACAATTCTACTCCATTTACCAGCATCAAAGTCACTTTTAGCATACACATCGTCAATGTTTTCATTGATCGTCATGACCTGAATCGTTTTCGTGCACTGAATGATCGACTCGACGTCCTTCAGCAGCTCTGGTAGTTTCTTATCATCCACATGTAAATGACATAGTTCAGCTAGTTCACGAAGCTATCAAGTATGAATCAAATACACATAATGAGCTCTTTTGTAGAAGAGATTAAAAAGGCTATTGTAAGGCACCTTCTTTTCTGTCAAGACAGGAGAATCCATAGCATTATGTTCTTGATGAAGCTCCTTAAGTGACCACGAAGGTGTGCGTGGAATGCTTGTAATCTCCCGTAGACCCTTAGGCAGTGGTGAAGTTGTAGAGCTCATGCATTGAGCAGCATTCGTACACATCTTCACAGCTTGTCGAGCCATACAATCGAACTTCCACATGATGCGGAGCTATTCGAATATGGTCGATTAGAATATCTAAGTTCGTCTCTTAAGTTCGCACTATCAGACTGACTAATTGACTGACTGACTGACTGACCATGAAGGTGCCCAAAATGCTGATCGATTATATGCTACGATTTGGTATTCCCATTGGACTATGTTACAGCTATTGGGATCCCAAATCCAATGAAGAAATTCGTCGTGATGTGGTCATAGAAACTCATGTTCAAGTCTTGATAGAATGAGGCTGTAAGGCTGATAATTTTGTTGCTGCACAATGGTTTTCTTTACTGAGCAGGAAGCAAAGATAAAGCCGGACGTGGAGACGAGAACGAAGAAGCAAGCCAAGTTTGCCGAGTTATTACTGCAGAAGAAAGACATTTCAAATGAATCGAAGGAGCAACTGGAACAGGTCACGGCCTTTACAAAAACAAAAGAGCAGTATCTAGCCGACAGGAAAAGAAACAAGTAAGACAAGCACCGTACGGGTTTATACGTTGCAAACAGTCCATACTTTCTCGATTCTTCATCAGTTTTTCATTGCATGTACCGCTGGATACGACTGCAATGTACGGAATCAACCTCCATTAACGCGGCCTCGAGCTGACGCTGCATTAGTTTCAGACCGTCGTAGTCTACGCGAAAACAATTGGTCTGAACTTGTGGTACATCAGAGCTACTGAGGTGCGTGACAGTGTCCAAGCGAAGCGTCACAATGGGTTTTGGCTTGTTGTAGTGAAAGCGCGTACCAAGCTATCAGATAGCACAAGAATGTTAGAGGTCAACGAGGTTCTGAAACATACATTCCTACCTCAAGATCAATGCGCCACTCCAAGTTCCGATAATGCGAGATACTTGTGCCTGTTTCTCTCGACACGCACGCTCGAATAGTTTTCACGTGCACTTGATACAGCTGCAACAAGCGTCCATAGCCAGAGCGTCATTGCTGACATTGATTGACTGCAGTATATACCAAAGAACCAGGCACGCACCTGCGCAAGAGCGTCGACATGGTGCTCCGATAGCGACATTCCTTTCACGACCATCCGAAAGGCACTTTCTGACATTTCAGTCTGTGTAATTGTATGCAACCACCACACATTCATCAAGAACCTTGTCATTCCTGTACGACAGTATCATATACACTCAGATACCTTGGCACTATCCATGAGAGTCTTGGCAATAGCAAGTACTGCCTTTTCCATCTGCTCACTTTCCCATCCTGAAATCGCTATTCATGATTGCAATCAATCAACCACATCACGACCAAGACAACACACAGGACTCTCTACACTATACTCCATACATACTACAAGTATAATAACACACTCACATGCCGTATGGATCAGCCGCCGTTTGCTTTGTTTCTCCGAGGTAAAAAGCTGCACTGCGAGCTTGGACACGGTGTCAAAATCTGCATCCAATGTATCATAAAGAACACTAAATCTCACACCAAAACATGCATCTCCTTATCCAGTATCAATTACAGCAATGTACTCTCAAGTGACAGCGTGCTGAGCTGTGTAAAAGCCTCCAACACACGCTCATCCGTTGCAAAGCTCTTGCTCATACTACTAATGAATGATAGAAGAGGTGTGAGGATGGTGTTGTATTTCAACCAATTACAGAAGCAAACAGGTCATAATACCCCTTCAAAGACAAAATGGCTGCAAATGGCACAAGTGGTGGCACAAGTCGGAAGGATCCAATCTTAGATCTGGCCAAGTATATTGATCAAGAAGTGCGTGTGAAGTTTCATGGTGGACGAGAAGTGACAGGAATATTAAAAGGTTATGACCAGCTGGTCAATCTCGTTCTGGACGACTGTGTAGAGTTTCTACGTGATCCAAAGGACGAATATCGAATTACGGACGAGACACGAAAGATTGGACTTGTCGTGTGTAGAGGCACATCAGTAATGCTTGTGTCTCCAATGGATGGTACATCGGAGATATCAAATCCATTTCTACAACAGGAGGGATAGTATGGGGTAGGACACTGCAAGAACTTGAAACAAAAACAACACAAGACAAGACACATTCATTGTTCATTGTGCAACGTTTTTGACTTTAAAAGCTTCTTCTAGTGTGAGAGAACCATCTTTGTGATTGTAATTACATGGACGTAGGTATTACACGTGTGCATGCACTTGGGTTCGTCTGGTGTCGATCGATTGAATTCACTATGCGGGATCAACAAGACGGACTTTATACACCAACTTCCAGAGCTTACCTGTGACGTAAAACACGTCATCTACGTCGTCGTAGGCAATACCATTCAGAACTGCACCGGAGTTTGCATCAACACCAGCGTCCGCGACAAGTTTTGACAAGTCAAAGATGGTAACAACGGCACCAGTCTTGGGGTTGATTTTGAGAATATAAGGCTGATACCATACATTTGCATAGATGAACCCCTTGGCGACCTCTAGCTCGTTGATATGGGATATAGCTTGCTTACCATCATCAATCATGACATCGATACGTCTCACTTCTTTCATCGTGAATGGGTCCCAGAACATGATGGTCGACGACCCGTCCGAGACGATAAAGTGTCTGCCGTCATATGTGATCCCCCAGCCTTCCCCCGTGACAGTCTCAAATTTAAACTCACGATGCAATGTAAAGCTATTCAACTTGTCATCTGTAGTCTTGTCTAGATCAAACACAAGACCAATCTTGTTCTTCCACGTGAGCATGACCAACTCATGCTTTGGGCCAAGCGTTACACCCTCTCCAAAGAATTCTGTTGGTAAATCATACTGTTGGAGTACTTGTCCACTTTCAATATCAATATGACGTAAACTAGATGCTCCAAAGAGTCCCGTTGATTCAATAAACATCTTTTTATTGTCTCGATGCACAACCGTAAAACCTTGTGTGAATGCTGCTGTATCGTGTGGATACTTGGCCAGTACTTCAACGAGTGGAACTTCAGTAGCTCGACGAGTAGGTCTTGATGATGTCATTTCGACTGCTTGTTTTTTCTCTACATAATTTTGTTGAGGACTAATGGATCTTGAGGACTCTTGCTGCATAACCAGCACGAGCAGACCAAGAGCTACAATAACAGCTACGCCACAAACACGCACAAGAAAACGCGGTAACATGTTAACTTTTCTATCACTATGTTTACTCATCATTGTACTCTCTGTCTGATTTATTTGTGGAAACGTCGTCTGTCCATGATGACGTTGAGAAACATCACGAGCCATGAACGTCAGGAGCTATAGGTATCAATCAATTAATAGAGTGAATTAACCTGATGTCGTATAGGTAAGAATTAGTCGATTCTCAAATAAAAACAAGATACATCCTTACACTTTAATCTAAATCCTTACACTTTAATCTAATGAAATGATAAGTTATAATTAATCTTATTTCAACCAATCGACTGGTTTCTTATGTTGTTGTTATTATTATTGTATTGTATTGTCAATAATAACAATAAGAATAATGGGTGTCCTATGGAATTTTGTCCTCACGAGTCTCCTGCTTACGAACGCTGTGTGTATCCTCCATGAAAAGCGTTTCCTGCGTCGTCGTATGTTTCGTATCTCATACATGATGTATCATTATCTGCTAGTTCTTAATCTTACTCATCGCTTACCGACTATAGATGGATGGCACAAGGTTGATTCGTCCCAGGGTCTGACGATGAAGAACCAGATTGTGGGGTTTCTTATTGCTGTGCAGTATCTACGATGTATGTGTGTGGTAAACCATACGTCTCTCTCTCTCTCTCTCTCTTTCTTTTCATATGGAAGAGAAGAGACGATTGGATAGCAATTGAATTGTTGTATTCTATCAATCGATAATCACGTCATTCACTCATTCATTCTTTATCCCCTTTGTGCTGTGTCTTTCTGTTAATCGATGTGTTTATTCACTTGTTCCAGTTCCACTCATGATCATTAATACACTTATGATCCTATTGGAGCTAATCATGGGCTAATCTTGTTTATCTTTTAAAGAACATTCCATATCCAAGTACTGACTGACAAGTCAAACAACAACAACGACACTCTCCATTCATTCAATTGCAATATTGTTTTGTTTTCCAGCCACAAAATAACAATAAACATGCCACAATATCTCTTTTCTCACCCCCTTTATCTTGCAATCTAACAATAACCACACAAACCCTTCCCATTGTACTATTGTCTTCGTCACCACCACCTCTTCCTCCTTCCTCATGTTTGAAAAGAATCTACAGGATCTAGTTAAAGGTATACGTTCTGTCAAAGGTGATCCAACTCTTTACATTTCTCAAGCACTGCAAGACATTAAAACTGAATTACGTACCACGGATTCGTTTCTAAAAGCTCAAGCTCTTCGTAAACTCACGTATTTACATATGTTGGGCTATGATATGTCGTGGGCTGCTTTCCATGTCGTCGAAGTCATGAGTGATGAACGATTTACCCATAAACGTATTGGATATCATGCAGCCTGTCAAAGTTTTACGCAATCGACGGAAGTAGTTTTATTATGTACGAATCTCTTGAAAAAAGCATTGGCTAGTGGGAATGAATATGACATTGGATTAGCACTGAACGTCGTGGCAAATATTGTCACAAGTGACTTGGCACGTGATTTACTCGGTGATGTTTTGATCCTCATGATGAATGCTTCGCAATCATACGTTCGGAAGAAAGCGACCTTGGTCTTATACAAACTTTTTTTACGTTATCCACAAGGATTACGTCTCTCGTTTGATCAATTAAAAGAACGGATGGAAGAAAGTGATATTACAGTCGTCTCGTGTGCAGTGAATGTCATTTGTGAACTTGCAAATAAAAAACCAAGGAATTATTTAGCCTTAGCACCTCAATTCTTTCGTCTCTTGACGACGTCGTCGAATAACTGGATGCTCATTAAAGTTGTCAAGTTACTGGCGAGTTTAGTACCAGAAGAACCACGTTTGGCACGGAAATTACTCGATCCACTTGCTACTGTGATTCAAAATACACCAGCCAAGTCCTTACTCTATGAATGTATTAGTACTGTCACGACAGCATTAATGTATACGAAAAAAAACGATGGATCACAACCACGAAATGTTGCAGCAGTTGTTCGACTCTGTAATGATCACTTGCGTCGCTATATTGAAGACCCGGATCAGAATTTACGCTATCTAGGACTTGTTGGTCTTGGCAATCTAATGAAATCACATCCGTATGTTGTTATTGAACATCAGGAACTTATTGTAGAATGTCTTGCCGTGGACGATATGACGATTCGTATGCGTGCATTGGAATTGTTGTCTGCCATGGTCACGTCGGAAAACGCAGTACCGATTATCCGTGAACTCATGCGCCAGACGCTGAGTGCTGATGGTGCTTACCGTCATGAACTCATTACTCGCATCTTGCATGTTTGCTCAGTCAACAAGTATGCCAATATTCATGATTTTGACTGGTATATTCACGTGTTGGTACAGCTTGCTCGCGTACCAGGAAATACTGCCGCAATGGTAAATGCATCCCTTTCGTCACTCTCTTCGTCCCCAGGCACCATGCTTGGTATTAGTAGTAGTAATATGAAGTCGGCGGATAATGAGCTAACGAAGCGCTCACATGGTGTAGAAGTAGCGCGGCAGCTTGTGGACATTGCAGTTCGTGTGAAGAGTGTGCGTAGCGTCATGGTGGACGACATGATCCAGTTGTTGATGGAAAAAGAAGCGCTTAGTGGCCCGGGGGCAAGCACGTTGCAGGAAGTGTACTTTGCAGCGGCTTGGATCACGGGTGAGTATGTGATGGAGTTTTTAGATGATGTGGATGACGATGACGAAGAGGAGAAGGACGAGGACGACGATGAAGAAACCGAGACAGAAGAGGAAAAACTTCAGCGACTGGAAGACCTTGTTATCAAGATGCTTCAACCTCGAGCGAATACGTTACCTGCCCACGTTCAGACTGCCTTCATTCAAGCACTTTTGAAGATCCTTACTGCTATAGATGAACGTGCAGATGATGCCACACTGGAGCGTACGGCAACAGTTATTATGGAACGCCTGCCAACTTTTATCCAGAGCGAATACATTGAAGTGCAAGAGCGTGCAGTGTGTCTGCAGCAGCTCTTACTTGCGTTGAATATGGGACTTGGTGCACTCAGTGCGCGAGAACGGACCGAACGTGCGTTTGATGGCAGCGCCTCTATTGATCCAGCTAAGACGCTTGATGTGCTGAACTCGTTTTTTGCTGAACGATTGGCCCCTGTTGGCGTCAAGGCACAGCGAAAGGTGCCACTGCCTGGTGATCTGGATCTTGACGAGCCTATCAGTATTGAAGAGGCAAAGTTTCTTGAATCTGGTGGCGACGTATCGGCATTTTCGAATGAAGACGATCTTGAGGTCTCCTTTGTTAGTCAGGTTCACGCTGGCATTGGTGGAGGTTACAGTGGTATTGGCGACGAATCTTCTGAACAAAAGCCTGGGCACAAGCACAAGCGTCACCGTCGTAAACACAAGCACCACGACTCCTTTTCTTCTGACTCAGAGTCAAAATCTGGACACTCCGATGATGAGAGAAAAGAAAAGGAACGTGAAAATGTGCGTGAGCAAGAGCGACTTTGCAAAGATCCGTTTTACCTCTCTGGCGGTTCTCAAGCACCCGCTGACGCCGAAGCCAACGCGGTAAGAATGATGAGGTAAAACGCTACCCTTTTCTACACTAACTCACTTCTTATCATTATGTCTATTCAAGAGCTTTGCGGATATGATGGGCGCTATGGGTTCTGGTACGAACGGAAAGAAGAAGAAGGCATCAAAGGTGCGATGCAGAATTGTCCATGTATCATAATTACGAGCTGCTAACCTTGCCACCTTTTTTTGCGTATACAGAAGTCAAAGTCTCGCGATATCCTTGAGGTCGAGTTGATGCCTGACGGTGCTCGTTCTAGTGATGAGGATCACCGACGCTCTCGAAAGAAGCGCGTTCCTACGGGAGATGTACGTTTCTTACATAAATGCCTACAGTGGTGTAGTGGCTTTGTTTTCTAACTCTACACAAAATGTTGTAATTGTTCTTATGTAGGAAATGGATTTAGCCGCGGTAGATTTGAGCACCCCTCTAGGCGAAAACGAAAAGGTTCCAACTGACCAGTGGTTCCATCGTCAGACACCGTCTGCCAAGCCTGCTGAAAAGAAATCTACAAAGAAGAGCTCAAAGCATAGAAAGAATCTCCGTCGCGAGGATGACGGTAAGAAGAAAAAGGAGTCGGCATCAAAAAGCTCTAGATCGAAGAAGTGTTCACGGAAACAAGAGAGTTTACTGATTGAAGGCTTTAGCGACGAGGAACAGGAACTAGTGAAGGCTGAGAAGAGCCGTGGCCATCACCGGAGCTCGTCTATAAAGACAAGTAGTAGCCACAAGAAGAGCAGTTCCAGTAAGAATAGCGGTGATGGTGAAGAGAACAAGAAGAAGAAGAGAAAGGACAAGCACAAAAGCTCGAAACATCAGGATGCACCGCCAGCAGCACCGCTTTTACTCTTTTAGACGACCGACCACCGCTTCGTTCACATGGTAGTATTTCTTCGGCAAGATTAGACTTAGCCAACAGCTTGTTGCAAACCAAGTGAGAGAGACCAACAAATGACAAATAGGTGATGAATATTTTTGTTGTAAAGTCTATCGAGTGGTGCGCTATTTGTTTTCCGTCATGAGAAAGTGTTACTTCTTGTGTTTAGCCTTCTTGGACATATGTTTCTCACTGTCCGACGTTTTCTTACGCTTCTCTACAACGGGTGACGCAGTGGCTTCCTCGCTTCTCTTCATCTTCTTTCCTACTACAGGAGAGGCATCAACATAGTCTTCCACAAGAGAAAAACACCGTGAAAATGGTTTGCCAAGCAAAAAGCGCGCACGGTTTGATGCAAGTGGCAATGCGTTCACAAGTTGATCCGTAAGCATCTGATCTTCACTCTGCAGCAGGTACTTCTTGTTATCATTTCCAGCTGTAATCGTTGCTAATTGCTCTCCACGTGTTACTCTAGCATGCATCTCATTGATTTTAATCGTCACATTAGCCAGTGCTGATGCATCCAGCTACAAGAGCAGAAACAAAGAGCAATTCAACTCAATCCACCACAAGAGATATTTGTTCAGGACCGTTGCAAATGAAGCATGAGCACGTACATCCTTGGGCAACTTGAAGAACCACAGCTCTTGGTCATTTTGTATCACTGCTTCACGTGTCACAGCTCCACTGCCTTTCACGCTTTCAAAACCCGGTGGAATCTCAAACTCTCTGTATCATCATTTAGTACCAAGACATCAATCATCGTCAGTGTTGTGCAATGGATTTCAATGGAAAAACAATGCCTTCTACCACTAACTCATCGGAATCTTCTTCAGAGCTTGATCCTTCACCCTCTTCCATCGTCTTGATCATCTTCTCTTGCTCCTGGTCGTCGTTAGAAGATAAAGATGATAAACTCTCTTCATCCTCACGTGGTTTACTCAGATTTAATCGCGTACCAAACGTCATACTGCGTTTCTGGATCTGATTCTTATCTAGAAAGACGTACAAACGTCTGTACTTGCTGATGGAGTAAAGAGAACGAAGCTAAGGATGTTACAACAGTGCGTAGAGACCAAGAGAACGACGTGATTCCTTGATACTTGGCGTCTGCTAATCAAAATGACTGGAGGCTCTGATGGTATTTCATGTACTGTCATTAAACTATGTCACTCTTCTAGAAAACAAATTGCTTTCTTTCATTGGAAAAAGCTGTTTGTTTTATCCAAAGGATGACAGTTTATCCAAAAAAGTGCTTTTAATGGTTGCGATCAAAAGAGACTGTTCCAACTGGTAAAGGTCTTTTTTTTGACAGAGTCATTCATGTAAGGTAAATATTGCTTTAGTGTCAATAAAACGTCTGTGTTTATTAAATGCACGTGTAGAAACAACAAAATCGACACAAAAAGTGGCCTTGAAGCGTCAAAAAAAACCCATTCATCTTCCACGTGATCTATTAAGTCATTCTTCACCCATCCATCAAATGATTCCAAAGTGTGTTCAATGACTTTAAAAGAGCTCATTCATTACCTCTTCTTTGCCTCTTGCTTCTATAACATGACACCAAACGCACTAACTCATTTCGTCGTTTTGCTTCAAGGTTGTCTTGCAACGCAAATCAAGTGCATGCGTCAATGCCGTCGGAATGGAAAAAGGGTTTCCAATCGTCAAAATCAAACAGCTATCTATTCTGGAAAACGTGGACAACTGGAGAGTTTTCTTGACAACGAAGCAGCTATGAGGAAATATGCCGGTGAAGTCAACCTCGATCGTATACGAAATCTAAGCTCTGAAGACCGTCAAGCACTTGTTCGCCAACGACGATCCACTGCAACAAGTAGCCAAAACAAACCTGCGCTACCAAGTCTAACACCACGTCAGCCTTGTATTGAGCACTGGATTTAACACACGAAAAGACTGCGCTGGTTTTGGTTGAAAAACTTGCTCCATCTTACATTATTTTAATTTTTTGGGGGTAATGGTACACTCGTACTGCTCGATTCACAGTGAACGCTGCATTCACGGATGACGTGGAAGGGTGGATGGATAATACCATTGGGCTCTTGCACCAAGCACACTAACCTTCTATCGGTTGCTGTCCAGTCCTATCGTCACACCGTTTGCTCGCTCATCGATCGTCTTCATGTCGCTCTCTTTGTCTCTCTCTCTCCCGATCGCTTTCGTATTTTTAACCTATTTATTACTATTAACTTTTTTTCTTGCTGACATTTCTGTAGCACGAGGCGCACGCAATTGAATTGGTAATGTCGGCACCAAATCTGTGCTTCGTCTGTCATTACAGAATAAAACACTAGAGCTCTGGCTACCGAAATGATTGTTGTTTCTCTTTCTCTCCTCTTTCATGAAGCCCGGATTTCTTCCTTTTTTGTAGATTAATGTGCGTGTCCTTGTAACACGCTCGATCGCGTTGCTCACTCACTCCGTTGCGTTGAAACACGTACGCCACACGCCCAAAGACTTGACGTGCGTGGACCCTACTTCACCGAGCGAGGCTGGTGAAGTACCGAGTGCGTGTTCCGCTTGGAATGAAAGCTGTTTTTGGGCAAATGAACTTGCTGCTTGGTACTATAGTTATTACCCTTATTGCTCTTGGTCATGAAGCTGTAAAGCTCTGCATCCACGTCGGAATTAGAACAAAAGTCGCGTGTTGTCTCGCTCAGCTTGTAATGCAATTCCTCATGACTTTCCATCAAATCCAACTCGGCCAGAATCTCATTAATCTCATCCACTTGCTCCAATTCTTCCATCTCTGTAAACGACAGCGGGTAGAACGCAGGATCAAACAATTCCTCGTCTGCGATTTCCGGCATGGGCTCTAGCGGGTCAGCAATCACAAAGCCTGTTTTTCCAGGTGAAGGAGGTTGCTCGAGATAGTCATCATCTGTGATCGCAGGATACCACGACATTGACGGATAAAATGGAGGAGCCAAAGCGTCTAACGACGATGACTGGAGGGAATAAACCATAGAAGACGTAATTTTCACTTGTGGGGTCAAAGTCAAATTGAAGAATGAAATGATTTGGGCGCATAAGTTTTAATCAATTTCGATCCGGATTGGTTCATTATAGAGCGTTAAAGAGCCAAAGACGTTATTATTATCCAGTAGGAGACGATTTTGTCATAGCCCTACCCCCAAGAAACATTATCACCTACCCACAAGAACTGAACTTCAACAAAACACCTTCATCCAATTGTTCACGTATTTTTTGTATCATTGTGTCTATGTCACAATAAAAAGTATCCAGCTTATGTGTGTCGTGGGTGGTCGGTCAACAGCTTGTATGCGGTTGCACTCGGTTGTCTGTAGTTTGTGTTTAATGAATAAAATGACAGCATGAGCAGTGGCTTTGTCACCAAAAAACCGTTCATTGCATATTAAGTGCGTGCGTATAGCATAGATACTATCTCTGTCCAAACTTCATTCCGAAACTGCTTCTAGCAGCAAAATTCCACCAAAAACGGCTTGAATGATGGACAATACCAAGCACCACTAAATTACCTAACAAAACCTATTTGAGGATTAGTTAATGTATGAAACGACACACTTATCTTTTTCTAATTAAACCTGGGTTCTATCCAATCTGACAAGATGTTTTGGACATATGACACCTAACTTAGTAGCGCGGTTACAGTTTTTGGAAATTTCGAAAAACCAGTGATAAAAATAACCCTGAAGTACTCGAAAAAAGGTTCGATTGCGCTTTTTACGATTTTTAGCTTCGATTTTATGCAGCAACAATGATCGACATTCCAATCCGCTCACAGATATTTAGATACTATCCAGTCACAAATATTATTCATCTAAAACATCCCAATCAATTCATCAATGGTGCGTGTTGCGGTTGTAGGTTGTGCCCATGGTCTACTAGACGATATCTATGCAACCGTCAATTTCATTAACAAGACACAAGCTGACAATCCTGTGGAGCTTTTGGTGTGCTGTGGCGATTTTGAATGCATGCGCAATATGCGCGACTTGGAGACACTGGCGTGTCCACCGAAATACCGAGCACTGCATGCTTTTTACCGGTATTATAACCAGGAAAAATTAGCTCCTGTGCTCACTGTCTTTGTGGGTGGTAATCATGAAGCTTCGGGTTATTTACAAGACCTTCATTATGGCGGTTGGGTAGCACCAAATATCTTTTATCTGGGTGCAGCAGGTGCTATTAATGTTGCAGGACTGCGCATTGCAGGACTTTCGGGTATTTATAAACACCAGCACTATACAGCAGGAAGGTTTGAGTCACCACCGTTTGATAATAACACGATGCGGAGTGTCTATCATGTCCGCGAGCTCGAGGTCTTTCAGCTCTCGCACTTGCAACAGGTAGACAAGTCGCCGATAAAAGTGTTTTTGTCGCACGACTGGCCTCGAGGCATTGAACAGTACGGCAATATATCGCAGTTACTGCGTCGTAAACCATTCTTTGAGCAAGAAATAAGGACTAACACGCTGGGCAGTCCTGCTGGCGAGTTCCTCATGTACCAGCTGCGCCCGCAATATTGGTTCGCTGCGCACTTGCACGTCAAGTTTGCTGCCATTGTTGCTCACTCCGATCAACCAAGTAATGGAGCACATTCGTCAAATGGCAAAACTCTTGATGCTGACAAGACAAAATCAAATGATAAGCAGAACGCTGCTGCAAAGCTACGCTCCCAGGTAAAAACGACCAAGTTTTTAGCGCTAGATAAATGCCTTCCGCGTAGAGATTTTATGCAGATCTTGGACTTGGATGCTTCGGCAATGGAGTTTATATCGATGGAGGAGCAGAAAACGGGTACTGACAGCGAGATAACACCCGAAGCTAAGCAAGATGTTATCCAGTCCAAAGAGGCTATCAAGTCTAATTCTCCTTGTACGAGTACAAAACGTTCGTCGGGACCAAAAATCATGTTCGACCTGGAATGGCTTGCTATCCTGCGCGCAACACACCACCTTGCTTCAGCCAATAAGTTTGCGCCGCGTGTGCCGCAAGAGGAAATGAAAATCGAAGACAAGGACATTGCTTGGGTGAAACAGCGTTTACGAGAATTTGTTGCAGAAAAGAAGCTAGACAAGGTTCAAGAAGAGTGGATCACTGATTTTGTAAAGACCGCACCAGGTCACGGTAAAGAAGAGGGACATGGATCACATGTGGTGACGGGTAATCCTCAAACGGACCTTCTTTTGGAGATGCTGAAGCTTCCACATGTCGTGACCGCACCATTTGTTAGCGGTGATTCAGTAGTAGCTGCCTTTGAGGACCCGAACGAGATTGCTCTAGAGGATGATGAAGACACCAGTGACTTTGATGCAAATCAAATGAACATCAAAGACGTTACTACCCCAACTCTCAATCAAACAGTCCCAGTAAGTGCAGAAATTGAGACACCTATAGACTCGTGCGAAATCCACCTTGAGTTGTAATTTGGAATCAATGGTGCATCCTCTGAATGAATACGACTATAGTTGTGATACGGATAAGAGTCACTATATACTACAATATATATACACCATCAATCATTTTGCAGTATGAAAGAAACACGTCAAGCGTATATTTTACAAGAAATTTACAAATCTGATACCGTAATATAAGTTGCATGTTGCTTGAAACATCTTGCATTTGCTCTCGCACACCTTTTCGTCCATATGTTTTTGACGAGCACATAGCTCTACTCTTGATGATAAATTAGGGTGAGCTAGCAATGATAAAATTGACTATTGTGTTACTCCAGCGAAATTTCTTGACAAAGTTGCTGCAGCAATTGATGATAGTTTGCCATGTTTTTGTAACTAAAGTAACTGGTGTACATTCTCTAACATGACGTTTTTGTTACTATATTCAAATACTATCCAATCAATAACAGTAACCTCTCGATCCGAACGTACTGTGTGATGAAGACATGGGTGAGAGAGGCGACGAAGCGTACGCATCAACCGTATTGTGGACCGACACTAGAGTATCGAGTGGATACATTACTTCTGTAAGACTCTTGCAATATCGTCTATTGTGGTCTGGACTTACAGATTGTGGTCTTCTTTTGCAGTGATTCTGCTTTGCAATCAACATTTATGCAGCTAGATTGTGACGAAGAGACGAAAGCATTTCTTCATGTACGTAGACGTAGATAAAACTGATAGACATTGAGACAATAATAACAATAACAACAACAACACCTTGAGTGCATATGATATACATGTGGTTTGTCACATTTTGGCATCCAGACGTGTACAGGAGGAAGTCTATGGGACTCATTGGGTTCTACACTACTTGGACTCTTTTACTCCCTAACCGACGCGAATGGAATTCTCGGACGTACGTTGTACCAGTATACAGCACTATACTGACATATCGACTCACGTTCCTCTTCGTCTCCTTCTCTACTTAGGTGGTCAAATGTTTGTGCTTTCACATGCTCAAGTCCAGCAGCTTCTTTCTCGCAAGCAAGCTGTGGCAGGAGGCGGTGGATCATTGCTTGACATTGGAGCTGGAGACGGACACGTGACCGCGTCGCTGGCCTCGCTTGTGGACGAAGTGACGACGACTGAGGCTTCCGCTCCCATGGTGGCTCACCTGAACAAACGAGGCTACAACAGCGTACAAACCTGCGACTTGCAGCATGAATTTGTCCAGTCACGGAAGCCTTACAACATCATCAGGTGCGTTGTCGCGTTATCGCAGAGTCGACCCTTTTCTGGTCTTCATCACGTTGTGATGTAGTTCTTTTTCATCATGATGAATTTTTTTGAACCCAAACGTTTTACTATTCATACATAGCATGCTTAACGTATTGGATCGTGCCGACAAGCCGCTTACAATGCTCCATGAAATTCGTGAGATGCTAAATCCAGAGAATGGTCTCTTTCTGCTAGCAGTGGTGCTGCCGTTCTCGGCTTTTGTGGAGGTCGGCACACAGCGCATTGCACCCACTGAGAAGTTGCCAATGCAGGGTGGACTTTGCGCACAAGGCGCATCCTTTGAGGTCTCAGCCAGCTTGTTACTACGCAACGTGCTACTCCCCGCAGGCTTCAAGCTCCGTCATTTCAGTCGTGTACCTTATTTGTGTCGAGGGGACATCCACCAACCGTATTATGTACTCTCGGACGCGATTTTTGTCCTGGAAGTCGATACAAATGTAATGCGTTCAAGTACATAAATCTGCTGTCAACTCTCGCGTTGGCTTCTACTGTTCACAACAACAAAATGTCGACACAAGAACCACCGAACTTATAAAACGACTTGGAAGCGGGAAACACATTACAGCGTCTCTAGCAGCGAGTACTGACTGAATAAAGTCACGTGTTGTACGGTTTAAACTGGTCTCTTGAGCGTTATGGTACGAGACAGTACTAGATCATCTATTGCTAGCGAAATCGTTGTATATATGTTATATTGTATTCATTCACATGCTTTAGAAGGTAGGTTGTCAAAACGAAACAAAAGATGACCACCATTTTTCGTGCTGGGGCTAATAGCTCTGTAATTTTAGCGAATCAGAGCAAGTATTTCGTTCCAAGCGGGAGAAAAAAACGTTTATTCATTGGCCAAAACCATGTCACACTGTACTCAAAGCTTTTTTAATCGTGGTTTTTGTATGTATGGTACGGTATGCTGAATCGTAGTATATATATATATATAGGCAGAGAGTACTTGCTTTTTCTTTCACAATTCATTTTGCGCAAAAGTTGTCATTTGAAATCTCTATAGTACAAGAAAAAGGCGAAACTTTTTACAATTCAGGGACGAGAAAACTGGCCCAAACGACAGATCATAAGACTAAAAATAATCACAACAACATTCCCATAGAAATACCAATATAAAACAATGGCACCATTAGCTGAAGCATTATCACCGTCTTCTTATGACTCCGTCACTGTTGTAAAGCAAAAGAATATGATACAAACAGGACGAAAAGAAGACGTAGAAAGTGAAATCTTGTTAGGTGAAGAAGAAGACATTGTTCAAACAATGACGACGGATCCTGCGACAGAACAAGAAGAACTCTTTCATCCAGCTCTTGGCAAGTTTGTAAACGTTGTTCATTCTGGAGCAGTAAAGAAACGTGTACGATTTGATCTAGCAGAGATTGTGGAATTTGAACCAACAATGTGGACAGCAACGGTCTCGTCTGAAGGTGTACCGGTGAGCATGCTGGATGCGCTAGTTGTTGTGTGTTGTTAACCACACAAAACAACGTGGAAGATCAAAGAGAGAGATCTAATCATCATGTGTTTTGTTTGATGGTTTGTTTGATTGTCTATTGTGTAGCTTGGTATGTCTATTGATGTCCGACGTCGAATCAAGCGGCCATTGGAGATATACGAGATTGAGCGTGTCATGCAGCGCATAGATCGTCAAGAGTACATGGAGTTGGGATACCTTGAAGCAGAAGAACGATTGGATATTCTAGAGAATGCGGGTCACTCTATTTCTATGATTAGTCATGTTGAACGTGATACACTTCGAATTAATCGGGAACGATGGGAATCGAATGAGTACGATCTCATGTATCAATATGGACTGGGTGAAGTACCGTTGATAGAAGATAGTGGTCTGGAGATGATGCAACAGCTAGACGGTGACGATATTATGCATGTAGACGATAGCAGCGAGAATGAGTTTTTTTTTTGGAGGTAGCGTCAGGAATATGGTCGTGGACGCTGAAGTATGTTTTGCAATGGAGGACATGGACGCGTACGATGCCATTAATATGCGAACTTATGATGATTTGAGCATTGACTATGCCTCGGACTGCATTTTGGGCGACGATGAAAGCTCGGACGAGAACAACGAGCTTCCTTACGCCATTGACTCGTTTGATTCTCCTCATAGCTGCGACTTTTTGGAGATGAGGACATTGCCATCCGATATGTCAGAATCTTCCGGCCACATGCTTGCTGCTGCAATAGCCACAAGCTGTGCTCAATCCGTCTGTACGACTTTGAGTGCTAGCAGCTCGACAGAATCGACCGTTCTGTCAGTGGAAGTGGCTCCCGTTTTACCTGTATAGACTTGTCGGAGTGCGCGAGAATCTCTGTGTGCTGTCACGGATGTAGATAGAATTATGTGCAGCTGAAAGTCGTGCGATGGCATCGTTTAGGCGGTTGGATCGCGTGAAGTGCCGAAATATTCCATTGGTATTTTAGTAAGCAGGGAAGAACCTTTTGCCCCATTTTTCGAATGGTGCTGCTTCTCGTATAATAATGATGCAATGGTTTCAGTGTATGACATTCTTGTCACATGTAATGATAGATAGCCGATTGTAATGAACAACCTAGTAGATTTCACAGGGAATAACTTCCATTCATGTTTGAAAAGAGGTTGTCGCTTTTATCAGTTTTCACAAAGAACCTGTAGATACTAATAGTATTCAATTTCTACAATATATTCATACTAACAATCTCACGAATAGCGTTAGCAAATATATTATCCGTACTTAATCGCATACCCATCGTACTATCCCATTTGACGCCTTCGAGCCACCGACTTCATTATTGCAATAGGGACGTGTGGAATCTGTGTGTCAATCTCCTCTTTGTCCTTTTCTTTGCTCTCTTGCTTCCTTCACATGTCTCTTTCCTCTCTCACTCGTCTATCAACACGTTCATTGCAATGCTCACACTCTATTACAATGCGTTTACTATCAACTATCGCTCCATATGATCCACAAGTACCACATTATGATGTAGTTGTTGTAGGTGGTGGTCTTGTGGGTTCTACTTTAGCCTGTCAACTCAAGAGCAATTCACTGTTTCAAGGAAAGAATGTTGCAGTTATTGAGACCACATTACCTTCTATGGATTCACCTAGCAGACGAGAATTCACCTGATCTTCGCGTGTTTACAATTACTCCAGCCAGTAAGCAATTGTTGGAGACAAATGGTGTCTGGAATCTGATTGATCATGGAAAGAGTGCTGTATTTAAGGACATGCAGGTATGGGACGCTATGGGTGACGGATTCATTCGCTTTGATGCGAAAAAGGTGAAAAATGACGTATTGGGCTACGTAGTAGAGCACTCTGTACTGGTGCGTGCGTTACACGACCGTATGAACCAGTTGACTACTGCCTCGAATGACAGCTTTACTCCACTCAAGCTCTATTGTCCAGCCAAGGTCAAGCACTTTCAACGCCCTACTTCGGTCTGTGGTATCTCGGAGATTGGTCTAGAGGATGGACAGCGCATGAAGGCTGATTTAGTGGTCGCTGCCGATGGTGGTAACTCCATTATTCGTACGCTCTCAGCTCTTGGAACTTGGGGATGGGACTATGACCAGCAGGCTATCGTAGCCACTGTCAAAACTGATCGCGTTAACGAGACTGCGTGGCAGCGCTTTTACCCTACCGGCCCTATAGCTCTCTTGCCCATGCGTGACGGATACTCGTCTGTTGTTTGGTCATGCTCGGCTGAAATGGCCAAGGAGCTTACGACGCTCAGCCCCGATGAATTTGTAGCACGTTTGAACGATGCCTACTCTGCTCCGCCGACGACTCCTGTACCGCCTGAGTTTCCTGGTATTCCAGTGCTGTCGGACTTGGTAAAAGGCGTGCATCACGCTGCAAGTACGATCATGTCGGCAGCGGCTCTGTCAGATCCGTTTGTCGCTCCGCCCAAGATTGTAGCGACGGTAGGTCACCGCTTCGCCTTCCCGCTCAAGTTGAAGCATGCGACCAAGTACATTAAGCCAGGCCTTGCTCTCGTGGGTGACTCCGCGCACACGATCCACCCGCTTGCTGGTCAGGGTCTGAATCTTGGTCTAGGTGACGTACAGGCTCTGAGCAATCTCCTTGTGGAGGGTGTCAAGAGTGGTGAAAATTTCTCGAGCGAGTACTTTTTGCAGCAGTACGAGGACGAACGTATGAAGGCCAACATCACCATGCAGTTGGCTATGGACGGTTTCAAGCGAATGTTTGGCCCCACTCCCGATGCATTGTCAGTGGCACGCAACATTGGCATGGGCACTCTCAATGCTGCAGAGCCGCTCAAGAACCAAATTATGAAGTACGCAATGGGTTTGTAAATACATCTAGGGCAAATATGTAGACGGTGAGTGAGCTGTCGATGCAATGTTGTCATATCCTACAAAATATCCTCTTGTCAAGCACGGAGAGAGCACGTTAGTCGACAGTCATTGGGGGACTTGGAACTTATTTCAATATTCTTCTGCTATTGTTTTTCCATCAACTTAGTCTTGTTTGGATTGTTTGTTGTTTGAAAAGAAGTGACGATTGACTTCAAAGATGGAGATATCTCCAATTCCAGGGGTAGCTTGTGTATCATCTTGAAAGCACGTAGAGCCTTCAGGTAGTGGCACTGTATGGGAGTCAAGAATAGTTGCATATGACTTAAGACTTGGTGTCGACAGCAAGTTAAGAGCCTTGTAGAGCACCAATGAAAAGAGGTACGTCACAACCATCATCGCTGGGACTGCCACCGCCCAATGTTTCGATGGAAAGTAGGTAAACCCGTACGCTCTTAACGTCACTTCGGGCACGTATGCCCATACTAAGAAGAGCACTACAACAAGGCAACACATACAAGACCTCGGTGTTATTAGCACACGATTCTTTCACGTCCATGCCAAACAAACACTAGGGACGCACCGTAGAAAAGAGCAGATGCTAACCACCCCCCAAAGCCAAAAAGTTCCATTCGCATAGCATGCAATCGCTGTAACTCCTTGAACGCTACTTGGGTAGAAGCAGGTGGTATCACGACCTTTTCATTTGGCGGATCAAAGCTTCGTGACGAGCTTGGTCCATCACTTAATACCTTCTTCTTCCGTGTCATGACGCTCTTAAGTGCGTGACAAGTTGAAAGTATGGTAGTGTGACATGGTATTGATACAAAAGAGAGGTGCATTCGATTGATTCCAAGAGGCTGCACATGTTTTAAGCCTGACACATACTTCTTGTCGCCTATGACTACGTGGGCATGGAGTTCATCACGTGCTAGATACCAAACACTCGTCCATTATTGCGGAAGCAGCTCTGTTGAAGCAGCATCACCTTGGTTGTCATTGTCTCCGTCTCGTGCAATTGGAATTGAGCTGATTAGCGCACGCTTCACTTGCTCCGTACGTAAGACTTTTCGGCGTATTGTACGGAAGAAACCAACAGGTGGTGCACCGGACAATGGGTAAACATCGTCCGTGTCAATGTCTTTGACTAGACGAAAGCAGCGAGTGCAATGTTCTTCCTCCAGCTCGTGTCGCGTAATGATACCGCGTACGTTGTTGTGGCGGTTTACGACTACGAGATGTCGTAGACCAGCACTTCGAAAGAGGCGGTAAGCGCGTACGAATGGCGCTTCCTCCTGAATCAAGTACGGGGTCTGATTCATGTATGGTGTAAGATCCACCCACAAAGCACGGTCTTCCTCTGCTAGCGTATACAACTCGTCTCCAGCGATACGACCGGCGTGAGCTGCAGCTTGGAAATCCTGGTGCATTGGAGTCGGAATTGGGTACCGTGGATAATGTGCCTCCATATCATGGTAAGACAAACAATAGTTGCTGGCAAGGGGTGACTCCAGTAACTTATCATCAACTCGGGGCGTATTGTTCATTTCCAAATCTCCCGGGCGACGGCGGCGAAGACTGCCAGTCGTGGCCACATCAGGTTGGTAAGAAGCAGGGTGCGGCTGACGGTGAAACGGCTTGGGTTTTTCAACGCTAAAATCATGGTGGCTCAGCAATACATTTAGCTGCTTTCGGAGTATTACACCTGCAAAAAAGCGGCTGCCGAACGTTGGATCTTCCACAATGACAGGAAATGCATTGTGCTTCGTACTCACGAGCAGATCAAAGATGACGCCAGCGCGCTCAACAGTGCGCAGCGTCTTCGGATTCGGAGTCATGACATGTTTTACACGCAAGAAAGCGCCGCGTAATGGTGGATTCCAGTCTAAAAACGGAGCGCGACGCAGGTGAATATGGATGTCATAGATACCCTCATTAAAGTAATTTCCCACCCAACGAGCAAAAAACGATGTGAGAATGAGTGGCAGACCAAACTCAATGTTGCCCGTACACTCGAGAATGATGACAGTGAGGGAGATGGTCATACGAGTCACGCCGCCAAGCATCGCCAGGCTTCCCACAAGTCCGTATGTCCGTGGGTCGACAGTTTTCATTCGCTGTAGCCCGGTAAAATAGTTGATCACTCTCGTCCACAGTCGTCCATAAGCTGCACCGATGAGCAATGCCGGCACAAACAAGCCGCTTGGGATTTTTAAACCGTAGGTCAAGCAGGACAGGAAAAGCATCATGAGCCAAAATACCACAAGATTGCGCACATCAAATGAATCTGGCGGTGCGTGAAACAGGTGCTTGATGGCAACTTCTCCTCCTGTCAACATCAAAGACGCTAAATCGTTGTACTGGCCTTCGGGGCAATAAAAGCGCAGCAACTCTTTCTTGTATGGGTATTGTACGGTTTCGTCAGTTTGGAAACACTCTGCGCCTTCCATCGATACGCTTGAGCAGCTCTCACAAATGCAGGCTGAACTATTCTTCTTCAGCATTTCCATTCCAAACACAAAAGCCTTGTTGGGCGCCATACCGGCACCACCAGCGTTTGCAAGATAAATGACGTCTTCACGCGCACGAGGAAGTTCATGGCATTTGCCTAGCAAAAATGGTGTCGTAAACAAAAGCGATGAGATCAAAACAGACAGCAGTAGAGCCTCCATCCACGCGACTCCGCGCGTGCGCACCCAACGTGAGCGTGTTTTTGCTAGACGCGTATTAAGCCCATTGAACAATGCTCCTTGCAATCCGCCACCAATACCCATCATAATAAAGAGCGGAACCTCCCAAATCTGGTATGTACTCGATGTAAATGGCCCAAAGCTAAAGCTGCCCGTGTGACTGCCAAGTGTACCCCACGACAGATTATCATTCATTCCAGAGAGGAAGAATGCCAGTGTAAACGTTGCTGACATGGCGCAAAAAAGCGTTCTCCACGTGAGTGTCTGATTCCAGAACGATGCACCTTCCTCCAAGACAAACAGAACTCCACCGATAGGAGCCCCAAACGCCGAAGCAACACCAGCTGCAGCACCACAAGCTACAAAGTCACGCTTTTCCCTATCATTTCGGAAACCTCCAAAATAGGAAAAGCTGCGGAGTGTTTAGTCAGCATATTTTCACACAAATACTTCTCTTTATCGATCTGACAAAGTACTGTTTACCTCGTATCGTAGCCGATTGTGGACGATTTACCCTGAGAAAGCCCTGCTGCAACAATTGCGCCGCTATACAACAACAACAAAAACTGTCATCGTCACTCGCTCAGAAAACAAATCAACAGTATATTCCAACCTACCTGTGAATCATTGGCCCCTCTTTTCCTACTGGCAAACCACCCGCAACGGAGCATACAGTGCCTATGACTTTGCAGAAAAAAGTACGTAGGCGTAGCATGCGTGGAATCTTCATGCCATTAAGCGTCATCTTGACTTCCGAAATACCTGACATGAACAATCGTCAATAGTGAGTCTTTGCGTCTCTTCTTTTTGACACTAAAGTCCACACAACACAACAACACAAAACATTACCCGATCCAGCGGCCACAGGCTCTCCAAACGAAGTGACAGTAGCAGCAATTGCCACAAGCCCGAGGTTAAATGCTACAATACTCCAAAACGTCGTGCCAAAGACCACGTTCTTGGCCAGTTCGTGTTGGATCGTGTACTCAAGAAGATGCTGCTTCAGTGACGTTAGAAGCGTCGTAAAATAGAGCATAAAGACCGCTACGAGTGCCGTAATGACGCCTGTAACGAGCGTAAGAAACCAACGTGCGTAGATCAGTCGGTTTTTCTCCTGTCCATTGCGATATTTGTAGCTTATGCCCGATTTATTGACAACACTCTCGAATAGATCTATAGCAAGATGACGTAATCATTACATATCATCATCATATAGTTAGCTTCAGTCGTACGTAGCATCCATGATAACATCCTTTATATAGTCACAAACCATAATCTAAACTCTCTAGATCAGTTCTAGTCCATAACATTCTGATGTATCAATCAATAGTTTTTAACTTGGAATTTCTATGTCTTCTAGTCGTGTAAATATATTACAAACAGTATGGAATGAATGACAAGGCAATCAGTTGCTTGAAACACAAGTTACTAAGCGATAAGAAGTAGTATTAGCAGCAATATGTAAGCTGCATTCAGAGGTTCCAGGACGACAGCTTTTAGTAATTGAAGACATCTGTCGAATTTTGACCAATCCGTGGAAAGGATGGCAATGGACAAATTTAAAATAAATTTGAAAGGCTATTTGTTTTGTCATTTATTATTTAATAATGATAGATATGTAGTATCAGAGGTAGTCAATGGATGAGAGGATAAACCAAGATATATCGTTTCAGAGAGGGAATGGGCGACTTTGAGATTTGAGTGGCAAAGCAGGAAGAATCATTCAGTGCGTCATGTCATCGCATCTCGAGCGTTTGACGCGCTTTTATCAAAAGTATAATCCTGATAAAGTGCATGAGATTAATGGTGTATTGGAACGTTTTAAAGGGCGAGAGACGCAGTTGTTTGCGACACTTGTGAAGAAGTATGGCCCTGAACCCACTGCAGACGAAGTGTTGAATGTCGCTGCCACGTCGGACGAGAAGGAGACGGCTACAGTAGATACGTTTGAGTTGCAGGAGTCACAAAACATTAACTATCAGCGACTATTGGCTTTCTATCAAAAGTATAACCCTGAGAAGGTCGATGACGTGGCTCAGGTGCTGGTCAAATACAAAGGCAAAGAGGGAATGCTTTTCAATGCCCTGATTAAGAAATACGGCCCAGAGCCTGGTGACTCAGACGAAGACGTGGACGAAACATTGCAACTTGATAGTGAGAAGGAGGAAGAAGAAGTCGAAGAGAATGACGAGAGTGGTCAGCCGAAGCTACGTAACGTGGTCTACTGTCCCATTGACACGTTTCCGCCTGAGTACTGTGAGTACGGCCCCATGTTTAATGAGTGCAAGCCGTGGTTGGCTGAGAATTGTCCGGATCTTATGCTCACCAAGTACAACCGAACGGTAGCAGAACTACTGGAGGTGGAGCAGCAGATTGCCGACGGTGTAGAAGGCATTACGCTTGAGGTAGTTGGCAAGACCGTCAAGAAGAAAAAGAAGAACAAAATCGAGGAGGCAGCTAAGCGAAAAGAAAACTGCATGGTGACCATTTCCATGAGCTCACGCAAGGGACGTAAGCGTCTCACTTTTGTCACTGGGCTGGAAGACTTTGAAGGTGTAAATATCAAGGATGCATGCAAGAGCATGGGTAAGAAGTTTGCTTGCAGCTCGTCATTATCTAAAACAGACCAGGGACAGCAACAGATCCAGCTACAGGGTGATTGCGTCACGGAGTTATTGGAAGTGCTACCAGAAATGTTTGGTATTCACGAAGACCAGATTATCGTCATTGATGAGCCCGTAAAGGCCGTTAAGAAAGGTAAGAAATAGCTAAAGCATCTAACGTAGCTCCTCAAACACCCATAATAATGGTACCATTTTGTGCTCGTAAGTGTGAAAACCGTTTGTAAAGTGTACTCAATGCTCTTAAAGTGTCGATAATGCCACCCAACTGTCTCCTTCCTTCATTTTTAGATCATTTCTTAGCTCTAACAGACTGAAAATGGGTGACAATATTCTGGACGAGATGTCTCTCTCGGACGACGAGATGCTAGACAGTTTAGCGGACGATATGCTGATGGAAATAGCACAGGAGAAAGAGCATGAACCATTGGAGGTTTCAACCTCTACATGGTCTCAAAGTGCCGTGTCAACTCCTAGTAATGTGGCTCCTTCAGTCAATATGCCGGATTTAAGTCAAATGATGTCACAAATGATGCCAATGATGTCGAGAATGTTTGGTAACAACAATGCTGGCAGTACAAACTCCTTGCAGCAAGTGCCAGTGTCATGGCAGGAACTTGTGAAGCGTCATGTACCCAGCAATGAGCAAGAAGACTGGCTTACGACTATTGACAAGGACGCGACCAAGTTACATGCTGCGAGGATCTCTAAGACTTTTATCAAGCCACACAGCCGCTCGTACCGAACAACAGCATCTCCAATGCCTAATGTTTATATGGAGGTTGGCACGATGCTGGCCAATATGCTAAATGAGGCAGTGTGCTCTGCTCAACTGGAGCACAACCGGCAATGGCAGGAGCTGAAGGACGGCGTGGTGTCTCACCTTGCACAAACTGGGATGACAAAAGTGTTTGAGAACAAGTTTAAAGAGATGCTGCGGCAGCACGTTGCTAATGATCCCGACTATTTGGCGGAAAAAGACAGCGAACGGTACTGCAACATAACAAAAGCGCTCTCAGTATAATGCAGATGATGATGTGCGTTGCAAAAGGAGTACTACCTTCAAAGTAGAATATCGAGGAATTGGTGTGGAGTTGATAATCTGCTTGAATGTTGTCGCTTTACTGCTTACTTGCTACCAGTAATGAATACATCTCACAACTTGTCTGCGCCTTTGTATCAACTTGACTTACTTAGCTCTCCATCGTTTTGTAATCGAACGACCAATCCGTAGTATGCTGCTCTACCTTATTATACCGCCTTTTCCATTCTACTACCTACTCCTCTTGCACCCCTCTTTGGAGGCAAACCAAGTGCCGTGCAGCTTCCACTCCATCGTCACCTTATCCAACGAGGCCAAGCAAAGTGCAGTAGTTTATCACGAACCTGATTCTTGCGAGTTGTAAAGCAAACGATCTAACGCAGCGTGTAGTGAAGCATATGCATGGACTTGGACAGTGTAGTCTACCCTCATTCCTTCACGACTACTGCTACGTGGAGATTGCATGCCTCAAATGACAACCAAACACTACCATTCAGAGGCTTATGTCACTCGCTCGCACGCAAGCCGAGACTAGTAGAGAGCTCGTGCATCTCAGCACGACGTTGGACAAGCGCGACATGAACTATCGAATCAGCAACGGCCGACATTGGTGCAATCTTATCTATCAATAACGAAGCTCATGACCAAGTGAAACAGTCCAATTGCTGTTACAAAGTATCTGTTCTAAGTCGGCAGCATTGTCTCATTGATTGACAGATTGATTAGTAAGCTGAATGTCGCAATAGATACCAACGATTGGTTGTAAAAACACCATGATTGTGGTGATTGGCTGAGGCGTCGCAATCGAATTCAACCCTGTAAACATGTCGACTTCAGGTGTGCTAAGCAGGTGCACAGATCGCAAGCTCCGCTTACTTTGCCTACATGGTATGTACCAGGATGCAGTCACCTTTATGAGTAAGATCAAGCACCTGCGCGGAATCAACTCGGATACAAACGTGGAATTTATCTTCTTGGACGGGCCCATCATCACACTGCCACCCATTTTGGCGCGTCAGAGCAAGCAGCAGACGACTATAGCTCTCACCAATCATAAGCGTTTACACATTGTCACGAAGAAAACAAAATTTCGCGCGTGGTGGAGGCCGTTGGGCAACCACCAGGAAGGCTCTAGCAGCTTGGACGAAGACCGGAACATTCTCATAAACCTCCTGCGTGAGAAGCTGGATGAGGTTGGAGACGTGGACGGAGTTGTCGGATTTTCACAAGGAGCGAGTCTTGCGGCGTGGATGTGCTCGAAACAGGTGCATGAATGCAGACGAGAGCAAAAGTGAGTGAGCGGATGAGGTGCAGGCTCTGACACAGGTTTTGCTTGTAGGCTTGCGTTGAACTACAATGGTCTCCAAAGCTAGCTGTGCTAATGGGAAGCTATTTGGGCTCTCCACAGTTTTCATTGGACTCGGGCGTTGTCCCAGACATCGCGTCGCTGCACGCGTTTGGCTCAAATGACTTCGTTATCCCAGCTACCAAGAGCCAGCAAGTGGTGGACATATTTAAGCAGCAGGAGGTGCGTATACTTCTATCATTGTTTAGCGGAGTCTAATGTACTTGTGACTAACACAGGATCATATCGATTGCACACACAGACTCTCAAAAATCGCGTGCTAACTTCGGTACATACCCAAGGCCACGTGATCCCCAAATGCGACGCATCAAAGAGTCTGTTCGAGTCATTTCTTACTTTCGAGAGAATGAGATTGCTTGGAAGGTCTGTCCCACACGATGATGTGACGTTATCAGAAGCCCAGATGTCGTTCCAACGACTCTGCGCTCTGTAAACAAGCAATAAGGAGCCCGTTACGTGCAGCCATGTGTAATTGTATCCAATCATATAGCTCCATTTAACATTTAACATATTTCACCAATGAAATGCTGATCTTTACCCATACATAGCCAAGAAAAAATTCAGAGCACAATTGAGATAGAGTGAGTGAGTGTATTAAGTGCGTCGTTCGATCATGTCTGCTGAAGAAGTTGCCAAGGCATTTGTCCAACACTATTACACCACATTTGATACAAATCGACCGGGACTTGCTAGTCTCTACGTACGTTATTCATTAGCTTTTATCTTTTGTTCGAGAAGATCCGTATGATAATAACATGATTGTATTGTTTCTTGTTGGGTGGTGGTAATAATACTTAAAGCAAGATGTATCCAACATGAGCTGGGAAGGTCAGCTATCGACAGGTCAGCAAAATATCATGGCCAAGCTTCAAGGTCTTCCCGTCGTTCGTCACGAGTATCCGACGGTAGACATCCAGCCATCCACGTCGGGGAACGCCATGATCATTTTCGTGCAGGGCAAGCTTCAGATTGAGGAGAATAACCCCATTCAGTTCACGCAGGTGTTCCAGCTCGTGTCTCACCATCCTGGCCAGTACTACATCCATAATGACGTTTTCCGTCTTCAGTATGGATAAGGATCTAGTCTCTAGTTTAGTTCCAAGTCGCCAGAAGACCTTTTTCTTTCCCATTGCAACCAGTCAAGTTTTTTGCTGTGATCGGAAAGAGATGTGGAGTGAGGAGAGGTTTTTAAAGGAAAGACATGCTTTATGCAGCGACTTTGAGCTACTTAGCTACTTATTGTGCATGTTGACAGTTGAGAACGACTTAGGAGACGGAAAATGTGGTAATAGATACTCTAACCTTGATGAGTCAGTGGTTGGCTGATCTGTGCTGGCCCTGCGTTGCTGCACTTACAGCTAATCGCGCTTCTAATATGCTGTGCTTTGTGCAGGCTTTGGATGGACTATTAGTTTGTGATAGGGAACAGGCTATACCATTGTTTGCATTAAAGTAGGAGTGCTGCTGATCTTTAACAAACTGTCGCTCTTGCTGTCGCCAAACTGCTCACTTCAGTAAATCCTAAGATCTATCTGCTTTTTTGAACATCTCCTCCCAAACTGGCGGCGGTCGGCCCGTTATGGTTTAGCTGCTCGTATAATCGTCGTTTTCGCCGCAGGCATGGCCAGCTCATTGAACTGTTAATGCAAGCCACACGAAGCAAGTAAATCTCACGACCGCTTTGTCATAATGCCAGATCAGTCACATTTTCCTTTTCTCAAACGCTCGGCGCGTATCAGCATCTTTGACGGCGCCAAAGCTCACCCAACCCGCAGAGAACACTCACGTCCGAACGAGGTTGTCTTTTTTTCGACCTCAGCTCTATGAAGGACGCGGTGACTGGGATCAGTAAGCGGAGCAGAGCTTACTGATCCCAGTCACCGCGTCCTTCATTTCTCATATAAAAAGCTTATCATCAACCACAGTGCTGTCTCGCCGCACCGCTGCAGCGGCACCACCAAGATGTTGCACGCAGCACTCGACGTCTCAGCTTTGGGACCACGGGCACGCGGCAACAGAATAGTAGCGATCGACACGCTCTCACCATGCGCTACCCGCTACACGGAGGACATTAGACGATTTGCAACAGCCTAGGGAACAATATGAGTGGTTGCAGTAGACGTCATTGTCGCTTGCTCTGGCAACAGCACACGCTGCAAGCCGGGTAAGCCTGTTACATCATATTGCCACCATCATTAGGTGTCATTCCGGATATTTTATCTTACAGGCGATAATATTCGTGAATATAACCTTAATTGGTAATATCCAGAAGCACCTGCTCATTCACTGATACAAAACAGCCAACACAAGCGGTCCAATCGCAGATGGATGCGTGCAATGGATGGCCGGCAGACAAAAGGATAGTTGAGTAAAAGGCTTTAGCTATACTGCATACATTTTAATATTATTCTTACAACTTAGAGTCACCAATTAGTCTATTGCACTTCCTTTTTGCCTGTGTACGTGAATGACGAAGCGCCTGCTTACACTGTTATCAGTAGAAGCATAGAGCGCTCCGTTCCACCTTACAGTGGGGCTGCAAATGGCAAGCGTCAGGGAAAGACGTGGACTCAGCGTCTCTTCGTAACGATTCTATATTATAATCAAGAACGGTCAAAGACCTAAGAGATGAATATGCCTTAAAAGGCTTGCTCTAGTTTACTAAAAATTGAAGCTAGCTTTTTATTATTGCTTGCGACCATCGCTAGTTGGTACACATAAAACGTAATTCTTTCGTATTAAAGCTATATAATATATGCAACGGTGGCAGTTACGCTACCTACTATATGTTGATATACAATGTAGATACTTCTTTCTTGTGTGTATCTACACACCATACCGTAGCCTGTAGCTTCCTTACACCCTCGCCCACCCTACTTGTCAACAATTTGACTCGTCACGGTTTGGGTGAACGGCAGGTACTCCGCTGAGCGATTCTCGTTCCGAGAACGAGTCGCTGAATGTCATGAACTGCATTGTCGGCCAAGAGTCGAGGCATCAAGGGTGTGGACCCCGGTAAAGTCGCGTGTAGTGGCAAGTTATCCACTGAATGATGATGCTTGTGACAGCACATCACTGAATGGTATGGATGACATTGTCGGCCAAGATCCAAAGCATCAAGGGCTTGACTCCTCTTAGTGCGCGTGGAGGACACTTAAATCCATTAAGCTATGTGGCTGGTGATAGCACATCGATGAATACCGAAGTCATTGCTGGACGAGAGCCTAGTAGTCAAAATCTAGACTCCTCTGGTGTGTGCGGTGGTACGTAATCCACTGAGTGATGGGCTGTTAATAGCGTATCACTTAATATCGCGAATGGTATTATTGATCATGTGATAGTCAGTAGCATAACCTTGATGATGTAAGTGCAGTGGTACGTGAGCCACTAGATGGAGAGTGTGAGTTATGCAACTCTTCGTCGTATTTTGGATGTAACATCGCCTCCTCTATGAAGCAATATAAGGTGTGACCTGTTAACATTGAGGGTATATCGACCCCGACCTCTCTGAAGTGTACGTCTTCTGCAAGGAGGCGGAAACAACACTAGATGGCGACTGCGAGACGCAAGGCGTCTATAATTTCTCGTAAAGAGCCTAACAAGACGTTATATCACTCGCTGATGGTATAACTGGAGGTTTCAGTAGCAACGTCAGCCTCGAAGCCTTTCTCCTACTTGATGCTATGCTAGAGCTTGACGAGATATCAGCTGCGAGTTTGCGGAAGCCTTAAAGGCTGACATGGTTGCCATACGACCTGATGAGTAGTTAAACTCGTCTTCACATATGGATAAAGCTGTCTTTAAGGATGCAAAAAGGCGGTCAATGTTGAAGGGATCAGCGATCCTGAAGTATTTCTCGGCTCCTTATTATCCTTTGGTGAAGTAATTTGAGACGTGGTCCGTCATTACCCGCCTTCAGCGCTGCCTTTAGATAGAGGAGAAGAATGCGTCATGAATTCCTAGTTCCATACTGCGTGGACTCGGCAGTGGCCTTTACCAAAGGATCAATGCGGCGTCATTGACGCGTTCTTTGGTGCAAAGCACGCTGCGAGTATGGTGAGGGAGAGCATGTTTCCTCACTCCACACCGGCATTGGTCTGCGTAATAACGCATCAGACAACGTATTTCCTTGCCTGGATTATACTTCACCTTGAAGTTATATTCAGCAAAGAATGAAAGCAACGGGTCATCCTTGAGGCGACTGCGTCTCAGTGCATAATGAAGCGTGATCTGCAGGGATCACAAAACGCCTTGAGCTAAGCCGATGAACTCGGAATTTGACGAGAGCATACTTCATAGCAAGTAGCTATTTTTCATGAGTGGGTACTTCTTCTATGCAGCCTTAAGTTGTCGATACTCACTAGTGATCACACGCTCATGCCCATCGGCGTCTGCTTGCAGCAATGCAAATCCTATATAAAACCAGACGCGTACTAAAAGGGGGATAGGAGCTGGAAGGACCCAAATCGAAGCATGAAGAAGACTGTACTTGACTGCTTCAAATAATCGCGGTGTACAAGATACCAGCACCACCCAACAACCTTCTTCAGGAGGTTCAACAATGCCTTGGCCAAATCAGCGAATTTCGCGATATACTTATGTAATTATCTGGCAAGGTAAAGCCACGTCCGTAAGTCTTTCTTGTTATTAGCAACCGGTCAATTGACTATGGGCTTTACCTTAGCGGGATCCGCTGGAAGGCCTCACTTCTCAATGAAGCATTCTAAAAAGGGTACCTCTTCAACGCCATAAAAGTACTTTGATGCATCTGCATACAGCTTATTAGTATACATGCACTCGAGCATGCTCGCAAATGGTCGATGTGGTTTCTTACATCCAGATTTCCGTGGTCTGCATGACTACCGATGTCATCAAAGTACATCGGTTCATACGCCCGATGGGGTCAGAAGAGTTGCGTCATAGGACGATTAAACGTAGCCGGGGTGTTCAAAAACCCTTGTGGTATTGCCGTCACTCCCACAGCATACCTCTGTGAGCGGGACATCACTCGTTTGCATGGGAAAACTGGTAGTAACCATCAACCAAGTTGAGTGCACTGTACATCGTATAGCCAACCATGTTGTTTTGCAACCCATCCTTTCTAGATATCGACGCCTGTGTCGGAATGGTGACCGCATTAAGCTTAGTAAAAGCATGGATAATGCGTCACTTACCATTAGAATTTCTGACAGCGATAATGAGATTGCTCATGTGGCGACACTGCCGTCTTCAATTCCTGACTTGATCCGTGACGCATATGCACACGATGGTCATCTTGCGTGGCTCTGTATCATGCTCTTGAAAGCGACGATTTGAAGACTCGGACACGAAATTGTCGGCACAGATTTTATGATGAGGAATTGAACTATCAAATCCATTATGAGGCGCGCGATACTGTTATCAGCGGACATTGTGCCTGAGAAAACTTACGTCTCCGTTAGACCGGTTTATTGTTGGCTTAAATTGTACATATGAGTAAGCACGTACGTGCATTCGTGTGAATCATGTCAACGGGTGAAAATTACACTCTACACAACTGCCCCGCTTGCGAGCTTATCCGTATCTATGTTTGTTGGGGATCCATGAGTATGGACTTTTTGTTTGGCCGGAAGCACAGATATTGTGATCTTTATTGACCAATTGAGCAAGATGAATTATCTAGCGGCTGTGCCGGACTCAGTTAATAGTGAGGTTACAACAAAGCTGTTTGTCGATCGGCTTGTGCGTTAACAGGTCTAGTAGGGCTTGTCATAGGAGGGAAGCCGATGTCACATTCGTAATCCACCTCTTCCTTTCCTTGAGCTAATCAGGTAGGTCTTGTGAGGCCAAGGGGTGACGTTGCTTCTCTGGCAGCTTTGACATATTTGATGACTTCGTCATGGCTGCTTGCATTCTTTCTTGCCTATAGCAATACTCAGTTACGGTCAGTGTGAGGCTTATGAAAGCGTGGACGAGGGCTTAGACAACCTGACCTCGATGAGACAAATGTAGACTGTTGACATGTGTATCAACAGTCTGGTGGGAGATACACATTACGTTATGGTGTGTAAGACATCTAAGTAAGAAGCACATAGGTAGGAGGTGGCGTTACTGCCACCCGTTACATATATTACATAGATTTGTCATTAGACTATAGTTAAGCTTGCATGTTTGGCTAATTAGCGATGGCCGCACGCAATAATAAAGTTCAGTTTGCATTTTAACCGAATAAAAGTATACTTCGAAGAGAGTAAAGCCTCTTCGAAGTATACTTTTGACCTAATTCTTGTAAAGAATCGCTAGTTCGTAGAACTCAGAGACTGTGTAAGTCTAAGTCTTCCTCTGGCGCTTGCGATTGCAGTCCTGCTGCAGAATCGGTTCCTTTAGACTACGTAAGGAACGATAATGTCAAAACGGGTCCTTTCGTAGTCTAGTGGAATCGAAGGACCGGTTTTGACATTATCGGCACATGATACTGTGACCATTAACGTTACCAAAGCAAACTTTCCAGCGAAGAATGAACGTAGCAAGTAGTTCGTGAAACAAAGAATCTTAATGTAATTCTTTTCTATTTGCATCTGTTACGCAAGTGTTCGAGCCTCAACTCGATCGACTAATTCAACATTCGTGACATTGTATTGTAAATCTGCATTAGCGGCAGCAACGACGAGCTTGTCCAAGAACTTTATCAACTTCAAATTAGAAATGACACTAAAGCACACTATCAACTGATGGACCAATCGATTTTGGCGCGATTGCACGACAAACCTTCACGATCATTGTTGACTCTAAGGATACGCTTCTTTTGGGCCTACTTCATATCTCTACTTTTAAGTGTTACTTCAACCCGAACTCAATGTAGTGAGTGTATCGATATCATTGGCGATCATGACCATTTCGACGGCGCTACGAGAAGTACGTCTCGTGTTCTCATGCTTTGCCCGCTTTGGGGGAGTAGCCTTCTGTTTTATGCAAGTGGGTGACACCATTAAATGTGTGGGTCCGTCCATGCTGCCGACCCTTAATCGTGACGGAGATATTGTGTTACTGGACAAGTTTACGCCCAGACTGTGGAAGCTGCAGCCAGGTGAGGTCGTGATCGCCAAGTCAATGTCCAATCCTCGCCAGTCTGTCTGCAAGCGGATCATTGCCCAAGAGGGTGAAACTGTGTGTGTGCGGCCTAGATATTCGTCGTCCGTGGTGGAATTTCACAAGGAAAGATGGTTAAATTTTGTTGTGACTAGTTGGGAGCTTACTGGGTTTGACGACTGCTTTTTTGCTTCATCGTATTTCGTATTGCAGATCCCAAAGGGTCACGTGTGGCTAGAAGGAGATAATAAACACGACTCGCATGACTCTCGATACTATGGCCCAGTGCCGTGCGCACTTGTGCAAGGACGAGTAGTAATGAGGGTGAGAAGCGGTGAGGTGAGGAAGGACGAGTGGATCATATTTGTACTGACTTCTTTCGACTTGTATTGCGTACAGATTTGGCCGCTAAACCAGCTCAAGTGGATGAAGAAGGAAGCGTCTCCACAGGCATTTCGTGAGATATAGGTAGAACCAAGAAACGAGCTTGAAATGCTTGTACTAGTAAATCCCGGTACACGTCTGCCGTATTTCTTCGGCGTGAGCGGTACGTAGACAGCAAGAAAGTGGCAATATCATTTTATTTTCTGCAGTGCATGAGCTAATGACCTTGCGGGCGCTGTTGAATGTGCTGATAGGTACATTCGTAGGAAACAAAGGAATAGAAGAAGAAAATACAAGCATATAGCCGCGAACTATGCCGTCAAAGAGTTTGCATCAACAGTAGATTGATTTGCGGTCTCGCCCACATTGATGGACTCAATCATGTCAGTACAGCTGTTGCTTTGGGTGTAATTACCTGAAGTTCGAGATGCAAGAAGTTGGGGAAAGTGTTTTCCGCTGCAGTAAGCTTGAATTATGTCACGGACTGAGCATACAAGTTAACATCCAGATTGGCTCAGCTGAAGAGATTGTGGTCAGCCTGAGCATTAGCTCATTCAATTGCGATTACTTGGACCAGCATAAGCCTAATTCACTCCATAGGATGACGTCGGACTACAGAAAGCGACCATTGCTCTCGTCTCTATTGGCTTCAGGGCCAAGATTAGTTGCATCCGTTCCTACTCGTCCGGTGGTGTCTCTGATACGCTTCAAATGAATATGCAATGCTATTTTCTCAATTAATCACGACTTGTACGACGAGGCTAGCAACACTTTCTAATATCACCGACCCAATTGAAATTCTATCCTCACGACTTTCATTCTATTCTAAAGGCTGCAGAAAAAGTTAAAGTTGCATTGCTATACACACAAACGTTGAAAACTACGGACGACCATTTACAATCAGATAATACCCGTCTCTAACTAAAAGACAAAGCGCTTGTAAATCATTATTCTGACACTTTGATTTCGTCGACAATGACGATGAGACTGGCACGCAATGGCGTCCTCATTATGAGTTGGGCGGCCATGACAAAGACGTATTTTTTTGATATCAACTATGGAATGGGCGTATCGATGACCCCGACAATTCCTGACGGCTCCTTTATCTTTGTGGATCGTTTATCGCGACGCTGGCGCCATTGGGAGCGTGGGGATTTGGTACAGCTTTGGTCACCCACTCGAAATCGGGGCGAGACCATCACTAAGAGGATTTTGGCTTTGGTAAGTGGCAGTCAATCATGTACAAGAACCACATAAATATGCCATTGTTGGCAGGTGTCTAAGCATTGTATCATTGCAGGATGGAGATGTGGTGGAGCTACAACCGCGCTTTGATAAGGAACGCAAGGGAAAGATAACGGTCCCAAAAGGTCATGTGTGGGTAGAAGGAGACAATCCCACGTGCTCCGTAGACTCGAGACATTTTGGTGCTGTTCCTGCCGCTCTTATAGTTGGACGACCCTTTTGGATTGTAAGTTTGTCGAAATACTTGGTTTGTTGCTTGACAAAATGACTAACACCACGCAGATCTGATGCTTTTTGTTACAGAGGTAGAACAGCCAATTAGACTGGTACAATCATACCAAGCACAATGCTTTTGTTTTAAACCTCTACGTTCATGCTCTCCACTTTGATGTTCAAACTTATCTGCAATTGAACTGACTCTTCTTCATTTACGACCTTTCTTGTCGAGTGTTGTTTCTTATCTAGTGCCAATGAAGGAGATCGTGTCATGAGCTTTTTAGTCCTCTCTTTATACCACAATTAGCGCAAAAATTAGCCTGATCTGACGGATACGTAGCCTGACAGTGCGAGCAGTCAAGTGGTCGCTTGCTATCACTTTTTGCAGTATCAACAGAAGCTGCGACTGCAGTAGTCTTCTTCACTCTTTGTTTGGTCTCGTAGATGGAGTGATAGTAGTTCATACGCTCAAGTTCCTCTCTTCCATCCGCTAGCAACGCCTGCACTCGATCTGGATCCTGTGTATTAATCTCATCGTAAAACTTCATCTTCACGTACGTCTTCATCATCTCACGCTGTTCCCATTGTGGACACCTGCGCGCCGACCGTAGACACTGCATGTACAGCTGCAATACTGACCGCTTGCGCTGCATTGTTAAAATTAATAATAATTGCTTTCCATTACCATTCAGCACTTTGATTGGCTATATTGATTTCAGCCAATGATAGCTATCAGTCATTTCAATAGGTCAGACGCAGCAGAGCCGCCCGTTGCAGTCAAAACTTCAGCATGAGCTGCTCCCGCACATTTAGCCACGTCCTCCGCGGCGGCCTCAGTATCAACGTACGTCGTCAGGCACTGGTCACTCGTGGTGACCATGCGCATCGTCCACCACCTCCTCCTTTTGCACGCATTAAGGCGCCCGCACAGCCGCTACATGAGGAAGCAGAGCTGGTTTGGAACGATGGCGTCTCCCCTGAGACGCTTATCGACTTCGACGCGCCGCACATTCCTAAGTATCAAGCGTTGAGACACTGGCTCTATGGACTAGGCTTCTTTGTCACGCTATTTGGTGTCGTAACGATCTACAACCCTGACTCATGGCGACAAGCAGTGCGATTATTTATTTACGAATAGAAAAGATCTTGTAATGTCATGGACTGACACGATCATTGTTGTATTGTTTCTTGTTGTGTGTATTATGTCAGGCTAAGCGAGGTAACCACCTACCAGATCTGAAGTGGGAGCTGGGTGAAGCTGATGAGCCTGAAGGAGAGATGGATGAGTAAGATGTAGACAGGTGCTGGCTGAAGCGTGGAGTTTATCCTGTGGAAAGCAGGCTGTTTTCAGACGGAGAGCACTGAACCCAGGCAACAACAGCATACAAATAACAGAGAATGTAGCACAAGGTGTTGAAGAAAGAAGAGAATGTTGTTTAGTATTACTATGCATGTAAGAGCATCATTGTGAGGTTGTAGTGTAAATTCACTCGATTCGCGAACGGCAGTAGTTAGTACTTGCTTTATGTGGTTGGTATTGTCACATACCTTCCTATGGTGACGATTTTGTGATTCGATTGGCAACGATTGAGTCGATGATACCAAAAGCCTGTGCCTCCTGTGGGTCCAAGAAAAGATCGCGGTCCATTGCCTGCTCGATCACTGTGATGGGCTTTCCCGTATGGGACGCATACAGGCTGTTCAATCTGTACAAATGAGCAAGCACTTGGTCTTCAGCATCATGTTAAAACAATCCGTTTACGGTTGCATCCTACCTAGTACGGAGCTTGATGATCTCCTCAGCATGGATAGCAATATCACTGGCCATGCCCTGTGCCCCTCCTGAAGGCTGGTGGATCATGATCTGCAACATTTGATCACAAACAAAAAAATCAGCTTCTTCCAGCTATTATCGCCGACATATATCTGGCATTGAAAGACTCACACGAGCATTTGGTAGTGCAGACCGACAGCCTGAGGCACCTCCTGCAAGCAAGAGTGAGCCCATGGATGCGGCCTGGCCCATGCAAAGCGTATTAACGTTGGGCTGGATGTACTGCATGGTATCGTAGATAGCCAGACCAGAGCTTACGACACCCCCAGGGCTGTTAATGTACATGTACACGTCCTTTTCGGGGTTCTCCGATTCAAGGAACAGCAGCTGCGCAGTCACAAGAGATGCCATATCGTCGTTTACAGGACCGTGCACAAACACAATGCGCTCCTTGAGCAACCGCGAGTAAATGTCAAACACGCGCTCCCCTCGTGGTGATTGCTCAAGTACCATGGGAACAAGTGAGCTCACAATGGAATGAAACCCTTGACGAAATCCTATAGTCTGTAGCAGCTTCTTGGATCTCTGGGACAGCATTGCTACCGAAACGGTCTCTTCAAGTATCAAAATCAAATTAACAATAAGGATGTACTGGTACTTAACATGAGAGTTCTTTTGACCCTTTTTTCCACAACCATATACCATGAGCTTGTTTTTCGTGTGTTGTGTGCAGATAGTTATATAATTATTTCTGTCATGCCATGGTGGATGAATGTACAAGTTTTTATCTATCTCACATAGCAAGTGTCAGACGGAATCGTTTGTTTATTGTCTATAGCGCCACGTCGGCAACAAGTTTTGTGATTTCTATAATCGACTATTTCCCAGCAATGAAGTGTCCTGTCAATAATATACCAACAGTATCTAAAAAGACGCTTTCATGTGGGACACGATACGAATAAATAAGGCATTCAACAGCAACAAGTAGATACAATGTTACTAAGACGTTCATATTTCAAGCAAGAGAGAGAGAAAGAGACTCGTCTACTTTGCAGGTACAACTTCATCCAATGCCTGGTACATAAACTTGGCAAATATCGGATCTAATAGTGCTTTCTCAAGTGCTTTCATCTTATTTTGACTCGTATCAATCTATTCCATAGCAAAGAAATAATAACCACAATACTAGATGAGAACCCAAAGGTTCTCTATGTGTATAAATGTTAGAATAAGTCAAGGATACAAACCTGAATCAGCGTCTGTGTGATCAACGAGTTTTTCAGCATCTTTTTCACTTCTACAGACTTTTGAAGCACTTCCATCTGTTCATTTGTAAGCTTTTCAGCCTCCATGTCCTCACTAACAATTGCTGAAGATGATGTTGGAGGTTCCTGTGGCTTCTTAGGCACTGGTACCGGCTCACACGGTGTCTTCTTATGCTCCTTACAACACACGAGACTACAATACGGCACTCGACATGTCGGACACTTATATTTAGCCTCGGTTGTCTCACATACTGCACACAGCTGAGCCATATTTACCACCAGTCTATTGTTGACATGAACCAAAGTGCTGCGAATCAAATAGAAATAGTCTAGTTTTGTAATTACGAAAAACTGACCTCAAAAACTAACAACATGCCAATTTCTAAAAATACACAAGTCTGTTTTGATTGGCCATTCTAATTATACAGATAATAAAACTTGACAATTGATTGACCTTCCGTTATATTATTATTAACCAAGCAGTTATTTATTGCACTTGACACTCAAAGCACTCGTTCCTATTGTCCCAACGCCTACTTCCTCCTTCTCCTTTCTTCTTATCACTTAATTGTAGTATCAAGATGCATGAACTTCAGTGTGTGACGAAAACTTATGCATGGGGAAAATATGGACTCGAGAGCTCCGTTGCTCAATTAAAAGTGCGTCAAACACGTTTTTTATTCCCTACAATGTTCCGAATGTTTATTCTTGTTCTGATTGCTGACGCTATGGAGTATAGGAAGCTGCAGATGATTCATTTCAGGCTGACCCGTCTACTCCATATGCGGAGCTCTGGTAATTGACACTTGTTGCCGAGACATTGTGATTGATACAAAGGTCGTTAACATTTCTTGTTGTTGTTTGTTGTTGTTGCTGGATTCTGTCAAAATCTTAGGATGGGAACACATTCCAATGGTCCATCACGTGTGTTGCGTGAAGATGGTGGCGAGTCACTACTTTTGAGTGATTATATTCAGACGCTTCCTCACCACGAGACAGGAAATTTGCCTTATTTGTTCAAGGTACTGTCTGTGCGCAAAGCACTGTCCATTCAGGCCCACCCGGATACCAAGCTAGCTAACGAGCTGCATGAAAAGTTTCCAAAGATCTATAAGGACTCAAATCACAAGCCGGAAATGGCTATTGCTCTGACTCGTTTTGAAGCTCTGTGCGTAATAGTTTTGTTGTTTTGCTGAAATGAATTGCCGATGCACAGTAGTTACTTACTGATCTGGATAATTGGAACATGTAATTTGTAGTTGTCAGTTTCGTAAAGAAGGCGAGATTGCAAGTCATCTCAAGACAGTTCCTGAGCTCTGTGGGCTTGTTGATGTCGAGGGTACGTCGCTGCAAATGTGGACGATATATGGAGTGAAATGCTGACCGATGTAATGTATCATGATGATTTTGCAGTCGCTCAGCGGTTGGTAGCACAGCAGAGCGAAGCATCACTGCGTGACTTTTTCCGCTGTTTCATGTACGCCGCATCGGACAAGATTGTAGCCCAATTGCATGCACTACGTGCACGACTTCAAAAAGCATCGCGTTTGACGGCACTAGAAAAGCTGGTACTGCGTCTGGGTAATGATTACCCCGGTGATATTGGCTGCTTCTGTCCGTTTCTGCTTAATTATGTGACGCTGGATCCTGGTGAGGCCGTGTTCCTGGACGCCAATGAGCCCCATGCTTACCTGTCTGGTGACTGTATCGAATGCATGGCATGTTCGGACAACGTTGTTCGTGCCGGACTAACTCCAAAATTTATCGACAAGGAAACGTTGCATTTGATGCTGACCTACCGCACGGGCAAACCTCGTGTGTACAAGGGGGCATACTCAGGGCGATGGCGTTGCAAAGTTATATACCTCTCCAGTACCGGAATTCGAGGTTGAAGCCGTTGAACTGAAACCTCATCAGCGATATACGTTGCCAGCACGAAAAGGTGACTCGATCATTCTTGTTACATCTGGTAGCGGTTCGACCGTCGAGCCTTCTGGTACTGGTGACGGTCGAGTAATGTTTAAGGGCCAGGTATACTTCTTATCAAAGGGGGAGATCCTAGAAATTCAGGGCGGTGAGGAAGGTATTTCAACATTCCGCGCATCTCCAAACGAAAGCTTGTGTCATCGCGCAATGCTTCATTAGACTTTGAGTGGCGTACCCAAAATGCACTGTCAACTACACGGATAACTAACACAACGGCAGTGATGTCATGGCACAGCGCGTGTTTTACACGTGCAAGCAAGAGGAAGAGGAAAACAACCACGCCAGTAGTGCATGCAACACCTCGCCACCTTCCTCTTATCAGTGCGTTTGCGCTTTAACTTATGCAGCTTACAGTGGGTATAGGTCATTTTTAGTGAGCATCAAACTTTGTGCAACCTTCCGCATGACCCACTGCGCCTCAGTGGGGCCTTCAAGTTTCGGTACGCATGCACCATGCCAGTCGTCATGCCCTGTCGGTTTATAGCCAGCAATTGTGTTTTCAAAGTCTTTCCAGTCAGTAGCGACTCCTTCTTTTTCTTCACCTGTGGTATGCATTGGGTGCTCGTTCTCGTGTCTCTCTCCTTCACTGATGAACCCATCGTCCGCGTATTCAATGACTTCAGCGTCAGCGTCTTCATAGTCGTCGCTGTATTGTGTTCCGTTTTGATCCTCGAAGTCAGAAGAGCTATAGCTGTAAAAGTTCTCTTCTACCTCGTATTCACTTAATGATGTATCAGTGGATCCATCGTCATCGTCACTATCCGCATCTAGCTCCAACTCACGCATCATGGAACTCTCACTAAGCGAAGGTGCCCTATCAGTACCATCCGAACCGACATCGTCTAATAACATGGTAGAGGGTTCTAATAGGTCTTCATTGCCTTCCAAGCTTACTGCCCGAGCTGCGGGGTGCAGCCAGCAAGATTTAGGTAAATCAATATGCATTCTGGGACTGCCAGCATCTCGTTGTCGAAGGTTGTCACGTTGTCGTACGACCTGCATACTGGGCCCAGTACTCTCCTTGGAGCTGTAGTAAATCTGCAAGCTGTCGATGCATTCCTCGCTATACTCGGTCTGGAAGTTTGGATTCATGAGCTCCTCTGCCTCTGCTTGAAACCGCAAGTTGTCATCATTATCATCATCAACCCCTTCATTGCTGTTGGAATGGCTACCGCCGTTTACGTGTGGCTTTTCATCTTGACTCCATGCAATTAGCTTTCCATTGCCACAGACTAACAGAGGGTGTGGCCGTACCGCTGTCGGTATAGAAATTGGTAACTCTTCGTCGATTCCCTCATCAGGCAGGAACCTATGAGTTTTCATCGCAAATGGATGCGGTTTCTCCTCTATCGTAATCACAAGTGGCTCTGGTGTACTGCTTCGCTCTGGTAGACGAAAGCTTTGCGACGACTCTTCTAATACGCTTGTATCTAGTAGCTCGCACTCACTGCGTATGTCTGGGTCATCAGCATATTCAGTAAAAGGTTTGATCGGCATCCACTGCATGGGTAGTACCTGTGCTACCTGTGAAGATGTCGTCTGATCTAATCGCAGTTGCCTTTTCTCCCTGGAGGAGCGCTGAGCAGATAGATTGTTATTGGGGTGGAGGCGCCGTCTACCAATTAAAGAAGCTGAAACATGTTGCGGGGTACGTGCTGCGCGGTTTATCACCTTCACCTTAAGCGAGCCGCCTGAAGCCACAAGACCCTGCATGTGGTAGCAAATGTACGGCATCGCAAAAATTTCGTCCATCGTAGGCCTTTTCTCTGGGTCCTTGTCAAGCAGTTTGCGCAGCAGGTTGGAGACTTCCTTGTCGTAAAAGGGGGGTACTTGGGCACAGTCTTGCTGCACAATTTTGAGAATGAGCGTGAGTATGTTCGGTGCGTCGAAGGCGTGACGCAGGGCAAGTATCTCATACAAAACACAACCTAGTGACCACACATCGCTTGCATAGGAGTATGGCTTGCTCTCACAAACTTCTGGACTCATATAATATGGTGTCCCTACCACCGTCTTTGCTTGGTCTAGTGTCGAATCCAGTGTCTTGGCGATGCCAAAGTCTCCTAATTTAACCACGTTATCAGTCGTAAGGAACACATTGCTGGTCTTTAAATCTCGATGTAATATACGTTGGTCATGTAGATACTTGATTGCCATTGCCATCTGCACAAACCAGTCCAGTACTTGGCTGATGGGAAAATACCCTCGCGGGTCGTTCATATTGTTGTTCGAGCCGACAATCTGTTCTCGAATCTTCTGCTGCTCCTTGATCTTGTCCGCCAAGTCTCCGCCATCACAATAAGCCATGACAATATGCAGTACATTGTTTATGACAAAGTTTTCCTTATATTCGACGACGTTAGGGTGTTTAAGCTTCGCCAGGAGCTCTACTTCACGAAAGGATTGGTCCTTTTCCTTGAGTGATAATAACTCCATAGGAATTTTCTTAATAACAAAACGATTCTCGACGCATGTACGCTCTTGTACAAGATGTGCCGACCCGTAGCTTCCACGTCCAATGCATCGGAGCTCTTCAAAGCGCTGCATACGGTTCGAAAAAAAAGAGGAAGATTGTTCAACGTCTTTTCAAGATCGAGTCCGTAAAAGCATAAATAATTACAAAATCTTTTGAGTAAGGACAATGTGAGGTTTCGATTGCAAGATTTCGCTCTAAGCGAGCGAAAAATGACGTTAAATGCTGTCGTATTTTGGCTGTCATTTTTACCTTAACAATTCTAGCTGAAAAGCCGTCAAAAGGATTAGTGATAACTGATCATTTCGTGCCTGCACCAAGCTAATGCGAATGATTCCATGCATTTCTACACGGCATCTCTCTCTGTATTCATCATGATAATGTAATGTTCTTGCTGTCTTTTCCCTCAATCGCTCGCTTCCTATGTTGTTTTTCTTGTCTTTGATTGTTAGAAAAATGTCAAAATCCATTCAAATGCGGTTATTCCTCTTCAGGACTCTCATCATCGACACGTGCAACCCTTTATCAATGTCCACTTCCATGTCCATCACCTTCATCTTCATGACGACGAGCAGCAGCTTCTTCTCTTTCCTTTTGGGTGATCACCACATTCATGCGTGTCAACTATTCATACAATGTGAAATCATTGAGAAAAAGAGTGAGTCAACAGATACAAATCGTCCATCGTCACCACCATTCATATCCCCTCACCTCCTTTTTTGTGGTGCAGACATTCAATATAGTCCTCGACCTGCTTGCCACATTGACCAGAGTACTCAGTGTCCTTCTGCTCCAATATCAGCACATGGCAGCAATTCGTAAACAAAATTACACATTTACCAGAAAATCGAGTAGCACTACCATAAACATAAGACGACTATCACACTTACGCTACATTGCTCTACGCCCTTCCAGAACTGGTAACACCGACCTTCGCGACCTTTAAATCCAAAGCCCGATGACATGTTACGATTAGTATTGGTATTCCAGAGGTGCTTGAGTTTGTCAGCCGCACATCTTCTATAGCACGTTTTTGGCCAATCCAAAGCAACCTGTAGAAACTAATCAATCTGTCACTTTTAACGATCTAAGTGCGTCTAAATCAGTACAAAGAAATATTCGTAACTGCAAAAATGTGGTTTTCAATCAAAAGTTTCATTATTTCTTGCGTTACTTCAGAAACGATTATGTGATCCCGCTTTTGCCATTTCAAATAGATTATCTGATCTTGACTATAGAGACAGACCGACAGATAGATAGACAAATAGACAAATAGACATATAGATAGAGAGAGAGAGTCAAGATGATACTAAGTAGACAAGTTGCTGCTTCTTTGATGCATCTCCGACGACTTTTATGCACGTCTTCCATTGTGTCGATGCTTGTCACCTTTGTGGCCATGACAACCACTGTTACAGCCAAGGAGGCGCCTTGTTCGTCTCCCGATGAATGCTGTTTGCTCTGCGGTGACGATTCGGAGCGCTGTGCTCGCGGTCCGTGCAGTATGAACGTACTCACACGCGTCGTCTTCAGCATTAGCATGCCCACCAATGACGTTGGCTTCTGGGACGTTATTTTCTCCTTTTACGGCATAGTCCCGTACCTCGTGCCACTGATCATCGCGCTTGACTTTATCTTCCATCGCCGCAGCTGGACGCGAGTTTTCGCCTTCCTCTTTATCCCCATTTTTGCCATTATCAATTCATTTGTACTTGTCTTGAGTCTTGGCGAGTGCAGCGAGTGTGATCGTCCGTGCGGTTGTTGTGTCTCCACCAACGGAATGCCGTCGGGCCACGCTACTAATGCCATTGGTTTGTGTCTGTGGCTGATCCTCGAGACACTCTTAGGTGTTGGTAAGCAATGGAGACTGACCACCAAGGTGGCTATATGTGTTTGTCTCGTTGTGCTCTTCGTACCAGTCCCATACAGTCGCATGTATCTGGGCGACCACACGGAACTGCAAGTTATCATTGGAAGCGCCAACGGAATAGTGTTTGGTCTCATCTACTTTTTTGTGCTTCGTTACGTGGTGAGGAGACGGTTGCCTGGCGCCACGGAGCGAATGAAGCAAGGCTGTTTCCAGCATTTGAAGATATTCAACGATTTCTACATTGTGAATGAAAACATGATGAGCTCGGAACAATGGTATGTGAATTTTGAGCAGAAACTAAATTGATTAAACTAGGAATATTTGCTGTATTGACTAGACCTCGAGGCATTGCCGTCACCGATATCGCTCGATGAAGGCTAACATATAAACTGAGTACATGAGACCAATTATTGGGTGTTGTTAACAACGCGATGTCGAGTGAGATGACGGTACTAGAACATTACATGCACCTGAGATCCACACTTCGTGTCATTCGACATTACGTGTGACGACACATGTAGCAATTTGGAACGCTAAGCAATGGTGAGCATTGTGACCAGCATTTAGCCCCCAATCAACAATGGTTGTGCTAATGTACTTGCTTCCTTCTTGTCCGACACAGCGAACAGAACAGTATCGACTGACAGCACAGAACATATTCCGCTCACTGAGGCATGCGAACTTGCACTGTCCAATCCAGTCTGCAGCTCTGTGACTCCAACGAGACGGAGCATCCTTGTCAATGGATGTTGACACCTTAAATGGACAAAATAAACGGCTTTATCAATACCTCACCTAGGCAAAGTTCTTCTTTTCTTCTTTGTCTTCTCTAGCATGGCAACACCTCCATTTAGCAGCTTGCAGCTTTTACTCAGCGCAGCTGCATTGTTGTCTGCTGCTGCTATAGCCAACAACGACAGTGGCGACGATGGCAACAACAATTACATACGCTGCACAACGTTTGCGCAGTGCTGTATGATGTGGGGAGACAACTCGAAGCGCTGCAAGCGCGGACCTTGCACGAATACGTGGATCATGCGCAAGTTCTTTTCGCTCAGTATGCCGCGTGACAGCATTACATTTTGGGAAGTGATTATGACAATCTACAGTATGGTGCCACACGCGGTGCTCATTGTTATCATTGTCGAAACCTTGCTACGTTCGCACCGCTACACGCGCGTATTTGCAATCCTGCTACCAATCATCTTGACTGTCGTCAACACCGTTATCCTGGTGAAGCTCCTAGGCGACTGCAACGAGTGTCCGCGTCCAGCTGGATCTTGTCTCGTTACTAACGGACTGCCATCGGGCCATGCCGCAAACGCCGTGGGACTATGGATCTGGATCGTCCTAGAGACGGCTGTAGGCGTTGGAGAGCGTGTACGTCACTGGACAATGAGTCGCAAAGCGATCGTAATTTTCATCGCCACAATAGTATTAACACCAGTGCCCTACAGTCGCTACTTCTTGGGAGACCACACGGTACTGCAGGTGGCTGTTGGATCGGCCAATGGACTCGTGTTGGGAGTCGCCTACTTTTTTTTCGTTCGCTGGCAAGGCATGCATCGTGCAGTTGATGCTTTCGCGCGAATTATGGCGCACTGCATCAAATTTGAGACCAAGGATGACTTCTATCTGACCCACGGCCAGATGCCACTGGCATCCGGTGGCGACGGCACTATGGCGGACGAAATGGCCAGCGACAACGGTGAGGGTAAAAATGTTGGGGCTCGTGCAGCTCACACTACAGAACAGAAAAGTCAAACATCATATGTGCAAGCGTAAGCCTGACATTTGATCGCTGCTTCTTCGCACGAAATAGTTCCATGACAAGTGTGTTCACCCGGATTCAAACATTCAGCGGTAAAGCACATCATTTACCGGCTTGCCATGACGTTGCATGCGGAAGTAGCTTGCGGGCAACTTGGTTTTAGCACAAAACACTTCAACGTGTTGAGCATAAGCGATAAGGGCTCAATGCAGTCTGCTTCCTTTCAAGAACACGGCCGCAACGAGACCAAGCTCGAATCTCGCGCATGCTTGTAAATCTCCGACGCGCCGTCAGCATTAAACAAGCAAGTAGTCCAGAGTTTGTAGTTCTCGAATCAAAACCTTTCTACAATCACTCGAAGTGTTGTGCAGTCATCGCCTGCTCACGGTCTCCATGCAGCGTACTTCATTAGTAGACAAAAGTACCTTGCCGACTACACTTTTTTCGTTGACTGTTGCAACGCTTTCGCGTGCTCACGCCATGCTTGCGATGAACCACTGATATCACTGATTTTTTTGACTCCACAGCGCTATGCAACCTTACCTCCACCTTTATGCTGGCTATCAGGTGAAGTTGCCCGCAGCATCCAGCAGACACCTCGACTCCCAACTACCGCCACGCACATTTTTCGTGTCGCCCACGCTGGACAAATCACTTGCTTGAGGCTCATGGTAATTTCATTAAGCCAAATCTGGCGTCGAGTCCTGCAGTAGACCCGTCTAAGTCATCAATACCGTGCGCTCTGGCAGAGTTTGCGTACTATCTTCTTTCTTTTCGTCCTCATTGACATGCTCTCCACTACGTAGTTTCATTGCTTTTGGTTAGTCGAGACGTTCCCCCGAGCATATTATGTAGTACACTTTGACCTTGCCATCGGAACTTTTTTCGTGCTTTTCTCAAAAGAAGAACTCCGATGGCAAGGTCAAACTGCTTTGGAATCTCGATGATGCTGATCGTCAATGTCAGATAAGTCTCGCTCACAATTTTCCATGCTGCTGCAATCTTCTGCTGTTATTTTACCACAATAGAGATACTACCTTAGCGAATAGTTGCAGTCTAGATCATGGTGACTTCAGCTGGTTTAGACTAGATTTTATTACGGATTCTAAAGTCCTGCAATCAACTCAACCACTCCTCTTCTTCTCTCTTCCAAACACTGCTTCACCTAATTCGGTATGAAGCCATTAAAATGATGGCCGCTTCCACACCGCCAACCAACCACCCGTAAATGCATTTAGCTGCTGTGTTGCTTGCTGCATGGCATCCAAATGTCCACTAAGCTCCTGTAGAAACGTCGTGGCTGCTGTGATAGCCGTCGCGCAATTCTCGTACGCCTCAATCCGTCGCTCTACCCCTGCGAGGTACTCTTCACGGCCACTTTGTTCTCGCTCTCTATTTTGTTCCAAGTGATCTTTTTCCGTATCATGAGGCGTAGCATTTGCGCTATTGACGGCCTCCTCCAAAGGCTGTTGCTCGTCCATTGGGTGCTATGCTTTTACAATGTTTATACCGAGTTTTGTATGGGATCAATTGTCGTGTCACTTGATTTGTTAACTAAGTCTAAACGTAGTGGTATGCCTTTCCAGAATAATGCCGATATATACATCATAGTGAATGACTACGTATTGGTATAACATCACTTTGCAAGTAAATCGTCCTTCCACTACCTTTTCATAGCGCGTCACGGTTCAAGCATCGTATCAGGTGGTTCACGCCCAGAAACACAACAGAGTAAATATTAGCGATACTGCAACTGTCATCCGCCTCGGCTTCCTCTTGGTCATTGGACAAGTGTAGCTATATGGTGTTAAACAAGTGAGCAAGACAGCAAAAGGTGACAAGAGGGACCAGTGGGTGTTCGTTCATACCCCAACAAAAACCCAGCAGCAAGTCAATTACAATGGACCAAAACATAAGCGTCAGTACGCCATCAACTCTCCAGTCATGAACGGATGCAGCACATTCTATTCTTCCAATATTTCCTCTTTTCAATGTCACATGTCTATTCTGAATTACTAGCATTGGCTAGCGCCTTCTTGGCCTGAATCTCCGGAGACAAATACCCACGCTTCTCATAATTGGTGTAGTACGAAAGCTTTGTTGGGTTTGGACGTGCCGACTGCGGGATCGTCTCAAACTTGTGCGGCTTCAGCAGGGCACGCAGTGCCAAACGGTTGTGATACACTGAAACGATGCTGCCACCGGCCGCTTCCACTGCCTTGATGGCTGACTCGGAGGCTTGCGAGACTTCAATGTCCAGCTTGGACGTGAGGTGCTGGCTGCCGTTGCCCAGCAGCTTGATGCCATGCTTGACACGTGAGCAGGTCACAATGCCCGAGTCCACAAGCTCCTTCATTGTAATCTTTTTGCTGGTGTCCAGACGTCCCATGTCCACAAAGAGCTGTAGTTTATCCACGTTCAGTGTTTCCATCGGCGTTGCAAACTTGTTGTTGAAGCCGCGCTTCGGTATGCGCTGGTAAAGAGGCGTCTGTCCTCCTTCAAAACCAGGTCCACGACCAGAACCGCCGCCAGACCGCGCCTTCTGCCCCTTGTGTCCGCGACCCGAGGTCTTGCCCTTACCCGAGCCGATACCACGACCCAAACGCTTGGCACGCTTGTGTGCACCATCATTATCGCGTAGATTATTGAGACGCACGCCTTCAAACGCTGATGCAGTAGCTGCAGAGCTGGCGAATGCCACACGAGCCCCACGAGCGGTGGGTAGAGCCCGTTCTAATGCCTTGAGACTCCACATTCGAAGCGAAGACACGAATGTTGCTTGAATCTGTGGCGAGGAGATTGGTCGTACATAAGTGAATACTCTCATTTCTGTTTACATTGAAGTATAACGAGTTTTAACCACTCACACACAGAAAGCATTGATACAATTGACGACGTTGCGACAAAGTATTGTCGTATGACGTTATCATTTTTATGCAGGGGTTGATTTGAAAGCTCGTGAAAGCTAGAGCTTAGAACAATGGACTGCTTCATGGAAAGATATATCTATGTAAGCTCAAGTCTGAGGAAGAGACTGCATTCAAGCTCAGCGCAAATCGGAACAATTCTCTACGTCACCTTCGCAAAATCTTGTGGTATGATTTAGAGACGACCTCATTCTAAAATAGTCATGCTTCGGAAACAATGCTACACGTCACATCCCACTGTAAAGCGTATCGTGCAAAATCTTTGGTATGATTTGGAGACAACCGCATCGCTGGAATCAGTCATACTTCCTATTGATCGTTATTACAATTAATATGTACAGACTGTAGTTGGCCCATATCGGTGCTGCTTCTTATAATGACAGCAATACTCGATTTTCAGAGACACACTCAGTGGTCTAGTGCCTTGTACTGCACACGCAGCCAGTCGTTCCTAAACATCTTGAACGAGCGCTTTGGCTGGACTAGTGTGCGCACTAAATAGAACGCTACTTTCGATCTCACGGAAGTACCATCACTTGCATATCAAGAGATTCCGATTTTGTTTCGTGGTTTCGACGTTTCTGTAGTTAAACACTCGGTATCATTAGATGTTTCGCAATGCACGACGAATCCATTACATGCCATGACCAACCGAAGCATATGAAGCACAATGTTTTCCAGTATATCTTGTCGTCTATTCCTAGGTGAGTCTTTGCATGAATAATTATGCCGGCAATGACAGGTCGGGTCTGTCTTTCTCGCTACATTATACTTGTACATAACGGAACTCGTGAGTTAGGTCAGCTCTAGAAATGCGACGCTAGTGCATGCATGACATATGTAAATGTAATGCCTTGTCTCTATTGTTACATTCAATTGTGCAATGACAAAACAAGAGAAATTCTACTCTCATCAAAATCTAGCATAAGCTTTTTGCGGCGCTAGTATCTTGCACTACCGCATGAATTTGAATCACGCACTTTGGTCGTCGTGAAAAACATACGTAGATCATCTCCTTGGCAGGATTCAATTTGACATTGCTACATATTCTGTAGCGTTTGGCGTACGAGATTTTTACCGGCGGAGCAATTATGCACTTTTAAATTAGCAATAACGACAAACGACACTACATCCACCACGTACAAATGTTCTTGATCTTTGCGGTGTGTGTTCTCGTTGCGAGCAGTAACTCCTGCACGACTGTTACTATCGTCATGTTTAATGTCTCGAGATTCTTCAATGCTTGACAATCAAACATTCAGCTGGCGCCGTGGTTGTACAATTGCATCATCTATCGTTTATACACGAGAAACGTCAAGCAATAGTGGCAACCATGGCGGTATTTACTTACGCTCAGCCGCATGAAGTTTTGAGTCGGTAAAATGGATACGGACATGTCACCGAATGCAATCCAAACACTTTGGCCTATAGATAAAGGCTGCTCCTTATGAAACAGTACCTAGCGTCGATACTCTGCTAACAGATGGTGTATATAGCGTTTACATAGACGCTATACGGGGCAAAGCGCAAAAGCAGATATGTAGGCCCTTGTCGTCAGTATTGATAAGATAGAGCTCCAAATCCCACTTCCATCAATGGCACAAAACCACACACATCGGCTGGCTACACCAAAAACACTGAGCATAGGCTCACTTTGCGTAAAGCTACGATTGAAGCTCACGAGACTTTTGAGAATCTTGAGTCGAAACACTTCATTCATAGTGCACGCGCTACAGATACATTCGTGACTTTCGACGCAAGCTAATTTATCAGCTATTCTTGTTTCGTATGGCGCCGCTGCAGACACCTCTAGGAGAACTATAACACGACTTAAGCGACGTGTTGCGGCCTCGGGACAACTGCCTTCTTTTGAATCTTGCGGAAGGTCCATAGAATGACCCAGATACACATGACCTAAATAATAAAATGTTGACAGTTAGACAGATGCAAAAACAAAAGCAGCGGAACAAGTCGAGCTTTTCGTACCTGAAAGACGTGAAGCAGGTTTACGGTGCACTTAACGTCTTCGCACAACCTGCCGTTCGCGCAAAACAACTCGATCGGGGTGCTTGTGCGTTGAATAGCCATGTACATCTGAGCGGCCACAACGACGAGCGAGCACGTCTCGACCACAAACAGAATTTTCTTGATCTTAACAGCGTGGCCCTCCTGTGGACGAGGATGCGTTTTTCGATTTCGATGCACCGCAGGGGGAGCCGTCTTCGTCGTCACTTATGTTCATGTCAAACGACCGGTTGGACACTATGCGATCGGAATAGATACTCGGCATGCGAAGCTTCAGCTGTCGCTCGTACTGCTGGAGACGGTTTAACACACGTAGTCCGTAAATAAGGAAAACGGTGCTGATGATACCCAGCATGCAAGCACTCACGGTGAGCTGCATGTAGACTAGGCCTTGTGGGTTAAAACCTTTGGACAGGAAGAGGCACATGTCGTACAAGACCTGGAATGTCCATACAACGGCGATAGCAATGCTTTCTAAACATACAAGATGCGGAGGCTTGTCGGTCACCGCTGCGCCGCGTTGGATTATGGTGGCCCAGTAACCCAGAGCCATGATGCTATACAATCAAGACAAGCAGCGAAAATATCAGTCAATCATTTCGTCTATAGAACAAACACAAGGTGTGGTCACTTACTACACGGAGTAGAGGGCAGCGGTGCACGTATCGGCGAGGAAGGCACTAATCGGACGCGGGATCACATATCCATAGCTAAGTGGATCAGCGCCACGGATGACCATGGTCACAGCACCATAACAGCAAAACAGGAAGCTATACTGTTGGAGCAAAGCACCTTCATGTTTTACGGAGCGAATATAAAGAACAACACTGGCAGCGACGCTAATACCTCCTAATGCCAGATAAACGGCTTGGACAGTACGGTACGCACTAATGTCGTAAGATGCCAGTGTTCGAGTGCATCCGTCCTCTGTGTACGCGAGTCCAAAGTCACACGTGGAATCGGTGATATTTACCATTCGGTTTGAACCTGTGCTGCCTTACCAACTCTCTGGCTCAAACGAGTAATATCGCGCTGTGCTAGCTGAAAACTGCCGAGAGTCGGGACTTGTATGTCGCGCCGTGTACTGACTGAACGTGTTGACGACCACGTGTTGAATTGCTCAAGCTTTTTTGCGAAATGTCACGACCAATTTCGTTTCTGCACAACAAACTGAACGATCTGTAATAGCGGCTATCCATAATACAGAGCACAATAGGCATGTCTGGAAACCACATGGGCGACAACTGGAATCATATGATGGGAAGAGTTATGCTACTTACTACCAATCCGAGCCCTCGGTTCATAGCCTGGCGAGTTTGACACCTGTATATAAATGCAAGTAAGATGTGCACTAGATTATATAGAGGCAAAGCATTAACGCTCGAACGTCAAGTATTATTAACTTCCAGACGAGCTAAACTCCTGACCATGATGAATCTGCCCCTGGTATATCTGCCCCTTTGCATCAGATTCTAAGGGCTGTCTGTATATTAATTTTATTCCTACATGTCATCTACTACGTCTATCATTGAATACATTTTGTTGTACTCGTTGAAGCCCTCGCGCGACTTAAGAACTCGCGTTTTTCTCGCTCAATGTTGCGTTGACGTGTGTTCCCTCTTGTCACTATTGTTTAGCAACACTAGGACGACGCGAGAGAGAAAAGCGAAATAGGATGCAGCCACAGCAATCGTACCGTGTATTGCCCCCTCTCAACACCATGGCAAGTGCATTTCAACATTTACTACCGCTTTTGTGCATTGTTGCAGGTAAACGGTAACTAGTTAGTTTCGGCATGGTCTCTTAAGTGCGCACTAGTTTTTCTCTAATATAACTACTCTACAAATTACTCTTTTCGTAAGGTAAATAACATGTTTGAGTATATTTCCGAAAAAGAACACCAGAATCAATATATAAAATAAAGTTTTAGAACAGTACATCTCTATCCTGAATCAAATCGCTTTAAACCACATCTAGGTTTCAAAATTAGGCAAATCTAACGTGTCAGAAAAGCTGGGTAGTCAGGTAGTCAGAAACAACCACAGCATTCCTTCTACTTTCTCTCGCTTCTTCCTCCTCGTCCACCTCATTCAATAGAGACAAACAAAATGATGAAAGCTACAAGTGTAACGATTAATACGGACAGTGTCGGTGGGAGTACGGCGGCTGCTGCGCCACCTAAACGTAGCTTTATTCAAAAAGTAAATGATGTAAACAAGATGGAATTACCCAAGCTATTACGCTATATGCGTCTAGGTAATGTAATTTGTTCGATTATACAGATTTTTGCAGGAATTGTGGGGATTACGTCATTCATTACATTGAACATTACAGGCACACTAGTGTCCATTTACGTGATTATGTTTGGTATTCTCTTTTTACTCTTTGAGTGCCGTCTATCGCGTATGGAGACAGCTATTCGCTCTAATTTTGGGTTTCTGTACAGCTATAAAGGTCGTGCTGCGTTTATTTTCTTTATTGGGTTCTTGGACTTTGGTATTGGCTCTGCACTTGCTACACTTGCTGGCTTTCTCATGTGCTTTAATGCTTTTATCAACCTACTCGTCATGTGCCGTCACCCCGAGTTCAAGTCAACGCTTAGTGCTAATGCGGACCCGACGGCTGGATACACTACAAGCAACCAAGAAGCTGTCAGTTTTATGAGTAAGAACCCGGAGCTTGCATTGAAAGCTGGACAATATGCCTTCCAGCAGGCAGCCCATACACGTCACTAAGTTGATGAGCGGGAGAGTAGCAGTAGGTGACGACGACGTGCTGACTTTATATTTGACTTGATAGTAAGCTAATAACGAGTTTTTTTTCTTTGCAAAAGCTGCTTGGTTTTGAATAAGGATTGAATGCAGAAGAGGTCTCTTTTCTATTGATACAGATGCAGGAGAAGTGGTATTCAAGCAATGTGATTTTGAGACGGTTTCTATGACGGCTCACCGGTCTTGCAAGATGGATCAGATGTAGAGAATTCTACCTTGTGTATGTTTGGCATTACATTGGCTTTGTATGATACTCAGGTGCTGCATACAATCATAGCGCTTTACTTGGTATCACCACGACATGGTTGAAGATGAATGAACATGACTAACTATTACAACAACGTTTTTCCTACAGCTACTTGCCGCAGCCAAAGCCAAGCGATCTTGGATGTAGTAGACCATGAGCATCTTGTTCACAGAGAGCATCACGCTGTGATTGTTGTGAGCCGAATGAATCCTCGGTCGTTTTGACGTTATAGTCTGCTTGATTGAAAATGTTTTGTGATACAGTGTACGTGAGCAGACGTCGATAGTCCGAAACGTCTACAGCCTTTATTCGAAGCAAGCAAGGCACTACTGCGTGTGTAAGTTGCTGAAACGAACCGCCACCACCTTGTTTTACGACACGTCTGACTGACCATTACAAATTAACTAACTAACACGGCGTAGTCTTATCGAGGGTTGTATGCTGATTGGAATCAACATCGATTGTTTGGTTCGACCGGCTAGAACATGCATTGAGCTTATACCAAGAGGGGACTACGGAGCGAGGCGATCTCGTTCAGGAAGTAGTATTAAATGGTTATTAAGTGAAGCTAGCCTACCAGGATTGCAAATTCATAAAAAGGAGAAGGTAGACGGTACGTAGCATATGCTACCAGCAGCAAGCTTAGAAAGCAGGGGCACTTGTTTCATGGACTGTGCACTCGAGCGGTCCCTTGACCGGTAGTGTCGCGCTGTAGTCATACGTGATCTGTAACGGATCCTCAACCGTCTTGATGTCGAGGCGACTGAACAGCGCAGTCATGACGGTCTGCATCTCCAGCATCGAGAAGCGCATACCAATACACTGGTGCGGACCACCACCGAACGTGATGAACTGGAAAGGATTGATATACTTCATCTTGCCGGTTTCCTCGTCAATCCAACGATCCGGGTTGAACTCAGCGGCATCGTCACCCCACACTTGCTTCAAGCGCGCAGAGGCGTACACTGACATGACTACATATGTTCCACGCGGCACGAATGTGCCTTCACAAAGCGTTGTAGACTCCACGGGCGCACGGTGAACGCTAGTCATGTACAACCGCAGACTTTCCTTGACCACGGCCTCACTGTATGGAATCTTGGCCAGATGCTCCATCGTGGGGACTTGCAGCTCACCCGTCATGAGCTCCGGAAGTTGCTTGCGAATCTCAGCACGTAGCTTGGCGAGCACATGTGGATGGCGATTGAGGTTCACGATGACCCACGCCAAACTGAAGCTAGTGGTCTCCTTGCCAACCAGGAAGAAGTTCATCATTGCGTCACGCAATTCGGCCGGGTCCGTCTTGCCGGTGTGATCCACGAATAGAGTGAGCAGGTCTGTCTTTGTATTCCAGTCCTCATCAGTCTTATTCGCTATAGACTTGTGCAGGACCTCATTAAACAGTTCAGTGGCGACCTTGATGCATCGCTTGAGATTGCGCTCGTCGCCAATGTTCAAAAAACGCTTTAGCTTCCAGAACCACGCAGGCGACTGCATGCGCGCACCAAAGACCTCCGAGTAGCCGTCAACAGCTTTGATGAATGGGTGGTCCATTTCGGAATTGATGTCTCCATCCAAGCCGTGGAGGTCCACACCAAAGCCAATCTTTGTGAACACGTCACTGGAGAACTTGCCTAGCAGAGAGTTCATGGGAACCACGCGGCCTTCCCTCGCACACTGAGCCAGTACGTGCTGCAGTTTGATGGTCTTTTCAATGATGACTTCGTCCATGACATCTCGCAGCATCTTCATGGAGAACATGTGACTGGCAATGCGACGCTGCTTAAGCCACTTCTCACCATCCACACCAGCAATACCTTCGCCGAAGATGTCGTGCTCAAGATCCACAAGCTCTTCGCCGCGGCCGAAGTTTGCAAATTGTGTCTTGAAGACATCTTCACACGCTTCGGGGGACGTGACGATAAGGACCTGTGGACGACCGATAATACTAAGCACCCAGGGCTTGCCACCACTGATCTGACTTTGCTCAGCTATCCAGTCCTGCAGGCGATCTTTTTGATAGAACATCACATCCAAAGTGTTACCCAGAATTGGCAGGGTCGACTTGGGGCGGTGTAGACCCTGAGCGTCCAGTGCCAATGTGATTTTTCTCTCCTTGTACACTGCAACTAAGAGCTTGTAGCCCAAGTACAAGCTGCAAAGCGCCCCAGCAGCAAGTACTGCCTGCCGTTCGTTCACTTGGTGCTGGCTACTTCTCCACATGCTTGAACCTGTCCGATAAAAGTTAATGAGAAGCGCCAAGAAAATTCCAAAATGGAAGCTTGAGTGCAGCGAGGTATTTTGTCGCAAGGTCTTGCAACTCACTTTGGATCATGTGCGGGTATCTAATCGCAGCAGACTACTGCAACTTGATTCGTTTTATCGCTCCTCATTGGCTTTCACTAAGGCCAATTGGTCGTCTGCGATATCAGGAATTCAGCTGCAGCAATGATGTGCTCGAATATCTTGCTGACTGGCTTCGAGTCGATGGTTATATAAACGTGAACAAAAATGTATCTTCTCATCAAATAGTGTCTGTTTTCAGAGAGCTGTTCGCTTCACCGGATTGTCGTCTCGACGTCGACTTCTAGTGGCTTTCTCAGTAATTTCTGGATGAGTCCAATGTAAGTTATTCGGGCGTCATCTATGCTAAAGAAAACGCTTCAGCGTCCAGAAACTAGACTGTGTGAGACGTTTGCATACAATGCGACACTGTAATCAATACGTGGTGTATGTCGGGTAGCACGGTCAGATTTTAGACTATGGAAGACGGCACTTATCAGCTTTGTGCCGACATTGGCTGACAAATGAGCTCTATGATCACCTCATTTTTACCTCTCATGCTGTTTATCTAGAGCATGCAAGATGTTTTACAGTGCGCTTACGTGTGCAGCTGCTAAGCCGATGTGATCCCGCTGAGAAGGGTTGCTTCCCGTTGCGAGCCACACCATCAAGTCAACTGTATTGCTAGCAAAGGTCTCGTCATCAGTGAGCTTTTTGTGTTGTTACCCAGGATACCGGTGCTTGGGATGCTAACGTAGCCAGAAAGCTATGTTGACGATGTCAAAGAAGTCCAGGATTAGAAACCCAGTGAGAGAGATACAAGAGGAGATTTTGAGGACTGAAAAAGTGATTGCCATGTTGAGCTTCTCCACAACCTTTGAGCGCTTCTATTATATAAAAATCTTCGTCGGATAACAAGGTGCACAGTACAATAAACATTCTTATTAACTCATATTAATCTTGTCACCATGTGTGACGGTACTGAAGCTCAAATCTATACGTCTTACAACTTTGCCCAGACACTGCCTATGAAATAGATCAAAAAATTTAGATTAGGTTCCACATCCAACTAGGTCCATCAATCATAACCACGTCCCATGTTCGATTTATATCGAAACGGAACCGGTTATAATTGGTAACCGGTCTAACAGCTCCGGTATATTTGATCTTCCAGCCTATCAAGGATCAATAATTGGATCTTCTAGCCTATCAAAATCATTAACCCCTTTCTGCTAGCCTGATCGGGATCGGCAATTTGGCCTTCCAGCCCTATCAGTTTCGGTAACCCTTTCTGCTAGCATGAACGGGATCGGACTCGGATCCACGTTGATGTTACAACAGATGACACATGGGTAACGTGTTGCTATGGAATGCAATCATTTCTGTACGTACTACACACTTGGCAGATCCTAGCAGACGAATAAACGAGACTATAGGTTTGGTATTTTGTCAGTAAAGAGCACGGATTTCGATGTTAATCTAAAGATACGATACGACTTTTCGCCCGCCGGGTAGCACTTTTGGCCTACCAATCGACAAGAGACATCAACTGCATTACATTGCAAGTTCCAACCCCTGGATTGTTCGTTCAGGGCGCAAACAGCTCTCAACATTACCCCAACTGCGACCGGACGCAGCAAGAACGCTGCGGACAAGACAAGTGCAGGACGAATCAAGTAGACAGAAGTTTTGACGGATTGAGTGGTCAGAAGAACCGAGACTAATTAGATAACAGCGAGAAAGTAGAAGATCGCAAGACATGCTCCGACCGCGTGATGATTTATGCATGACCGAAGACCAATGTCGAGCCGATAGGGACTGACATCTTCCCAATTCGCCGAGAAGATCGTAACCGCCCTACTCACGGGTATGCAAGATATACGGAATCGGAGTGCCCCCTCCTTTAGTTGGTATTCTTAGCCTCGTGAGGGTTGATTCGGGATCCTTAACTAGTTTTTGGAACGTCGCTCCAACTCACATCCATCTCGTTACTAGATCTTCGTCATCATTTTTGCTCATAAAAAATTCCAGCTCCGTAATCACAGACAGTTGAATACGCTCAATCATGATACCACCAGCTTCTGCTTCGGCAGTTGCCAAAAATGGTCGTCGCGATTCGTCAATACTCATACTGTAGCCGAGGTAATATAGAAAAGCTACTTATGCACTAGGTGCAGAGGAAGACTAGCTCCAAGAGCTGTATGTCTTAGAGCTCTTAACCCTCCCAAGGCTAGCTTCACAAGATTTTGCCTTTTGATTGTAAACAACCACGTCTCCAAGAGACTAGTATCAAGATACAACTTACTTTTTATCAAGGAAGAGAACGCTCTAGCACGTATGCTATGCAGAGCAGGTTTCAAACTGATTTATTTATGTTTATCTTCTAGCACTAAATATAGAAGCACATACTCTATACTTAATGCTAGTCACTATTTACCTGGCTCTGTAGCCTATTAAAAAATATGTAAACATGTATGTTTACCATGCTTAACTAAGTATAGTGACCACGTGGCTCTCTGCCACCCCTCGTACCTTAGGTATGGGTCACATCAACCTACCACTGTACCCAAGGTACAGCCGCACCACAATGGTACGGCAGGTGTGTATGTACAATACACACCTCTGTAACGCCCACCAATTCGTGGGACCCGAAGTGCCCAGGATTATCGAACCTAACATGGAGTTCTGTCGATTCCATTTTCTTCTCACTTTGCTTGGCTCGCAATAAAGTGCCTCGCACTTGCGTCTAAAGCTTTTATTACACACGCTCTGCGAGCATCTGTGCATTGCACTCACGCTAATTAAGCACCCTAGTGTTACGACACTTGCTCCTTGAGCATACCTTGCATGCACTCACGCTTAAGCATTTAATGTTACGACACTTGCTTATACAGCATTAAGTGCCTAGCACCTAGTTTTAATACCCATTAGTGATTACAAACACTTTTACAGCACTGTTTATGGTGCGCTTGCTCCATCATGTTTGGTGCAATGCGCCATAACATCTTTGGGGACGATGACAGAGACGTTGACTTCAGCAGTAGCGGCACCGAGTCCCCGTCGGATCATCTGGCCCAGCGCTTACCACGCTCGCCAATTGAAGGGCATTGTTCGCGTTCCGTGTCCTCTTTCCCAAGATGAACAACTGCGTTGCGTCAAGCATCAACGCTACCATCTCGTGAGGGCGCCGACGAAGAGGTGTCGAATCCTCTTGAAGCTGCACAGCGTCGTCACATTGATGTCTAGCCCTGAACGGCCCAAACAAGCCTTTTCACGACGTGATTATGGGCTCGTGCCCCGGAACCCCAATAAGGCATCGCAATCATTGCGTACGTATGTCATTGGGTCTCAGGACTACACTGCTTACGAGATTGCGGACCGTGCTGTGCTGTGTAAGCAGCTCCTTAATCTACTAGATATTACGATGAAATCATACCAGGAGCGACAGTTATGTGGATTGCTTGTGCATCCACTGAACGACATACCAGTGGTGCTTGCACCAGGTGAGACATCTGCGCAAGATGATCACCATTTCACTCGTTAGGTTGAACGAGAGTGTATGCTCCCAAGTCTTTCTGACTTGCGCTTAGCGCTAGAGAGCAAGACGTTTGATTAGAACGTCGTATACCTTTTACACTAAGCTCAAAGAGAAGCCCAAACTATCTTCCACATACAGGTTAAAAACTTGTGAGAGCCAAGCTTCTGAAGGTGTTGCCGTACCTCTCACGCAAGTAATGTACCGGCGTTTGCTTCTTCAGAAGTTCAGAGGTGAAGCCTACTAACCTTGCTTCCACATATTTAGTGCTAAAAAGCGTCCGGCGACAGCTGTCGTCGTTTCTGAACGCCTCGGTCAAAAGCGTCAAAGGCGTCCGGGCAATCCTGCCGGAGGGTTATCTCAAGCTCCCACGAGCCGTACGACTAGGGATAACCCCGCCACTTCATCTGATATTGGGTATGACCTTGGTGACGACCTTGAGCCAAGAGGCGCTCAACGTGGAGCTGTTAATGACCCAGTTCATCGATCAGCGTCGGTGGGGTCGGTGACCCATGGACCCATGATCTCTGAAATCGAGCGTCGCCTGAAAATCCTGGAGCGTGATGCTCTTGGGTCAGTGACGTCTCTTCTGTCATCGCTCGATGACCGTGTCGATCGACGTCGTCTGTCCTTTGAGCGTTATTGCTCTGAGATCTCAGATCACTTAGCGGTGATTGAGCAATCTCAAGCCGAGCTTCGTTGTAAACTTCACCTCCTAGTATGTCTCCAGAGTCCAGCTGCACCTCCGGGTGCTTCCCGCCTCCTTCGGCCGGGGATTCGGGGACAACCCCTCGAAGTTCACCGAGGAAGGGTTGAGGTATGGCTTTAGTAAGCCCACATAGAGACACAGGATGTGTTCTCATCTTCTTCGGAAGGTTCAGCGTATAGGCTAAACCTTTCTTGCTTATGACCTTGAAATGTCCGATAAAGCGTGGACGAAGATTGGTTTTATATACCGCCGAAACGGCACGGCTAGGTAAATTCCTAGCGTTTAATAAAACAAAATCTACCACTTTGAACTCATGTTCGTTCTTCCTGTCTTTGTCACCTGCTTATTCCTTCTGAACATCCTGGATTTCGCCATAGCGTCTTTGACGCAACGTAATTCGTCAAAACGCGTTAACAGAAACGCTTTTACCATCTTGCCTATCGCAACAGGGCTGATATTAGCCAAGACTTTGGCTATTTCTCCCCCACTAAGCTCTGATGTGGCAGGAGGCAGCGTTAACGGAACGCGAGGATTAACCAAACCATTTACATAGAATGGAGTAAAGCCTGTCGAGGCCCCCGTTATTCAATGTAGACTTTATGAGTGAGAGCATCGCGCTCTATTGCTTGGGTGTTTCAGCACAAACGCTGCGAATCATGTCACCAATAACACGTTTCATGCGTTCGGTCTGGCCAT